AGCATATGTAAGTGAACAACAGAAATACATCCAACAACAAATAAGCATTATTAGAGAGGCAGGGGAAAACCAACAACCAGCTCTTGCCTGGCAAACAGTAAACGATATCAGTGGAAGAAAGCGATCGTCCCAAGCAAAACTCAAGGCATCAAGCCAGGAAGAGAGATTACAGAAATGGAAAGAACATTTTGAGAATCTATTAGGAAAGGCCCCGGTTATCAAGAACATACCAGTACAGAGAATCATAGAGGAAGAGCTTTCTATTAGAAAAGGACTTTTCACAGAAGATGAGCTGGAGGAAGCACTTAAGAAACAGAAGGGCAACAAAGCAGCAGGCTTAGATGAAGTGCCCCCAGAGGTGTGGAAGTCAGGACACTTCAACGATATCCTACTAATGTGTTGCAACGGCATGTACAAGCAAAGTCTGATCAAAGGATGGACAGAAGGATGTATTCTACCTTTCCCAAAGAAAGGGGACCTGTCACTTGCGTCCAACTATAGGGGCATCACACTCATGCCTACCGCAGCAAAAATATACAACACCATGCTTCGAAATCGTATACAACCTGTAATGGAAAAAGTGCTGCGTGCCAATCAAAATGGTTTCAGGCAACATAGGTCAACACTAGGGCAGATCTTGATAGTGCGGAGAATTATAGAAGGGGTGAAAGCAAAGAATCTTGAAGCAGTTCTGCTGTTCGTAGACTTCTCAAAAGCTTTCGATTCTTTACATAGGGGAAAAATGGCAGAGATACTGGGAGCGTACGGTATTCCAGATGAAACGATTAACGCTGTCATGATGATGTACAAGCTGACCAGATCGATGGTGCGCTCGCCGGATGGTGATACAGATTTCTTTACCATACAAGCAGGAGTGTTACAAGGAGACACCCTGGCTCCTTTTCTGTTCATTATAGCCCTAGACTATGTTTTGCGCACTTCTGTAGACCTCCATGCAGACTATGGCTTCACCCTACAAACAGCAGAAGTAGAGACACCCCGCCAAAAAGATCACGGACGCGGACTACGCGGACGATCTTGCACTACTGGCTGACTGGATCTCTGGTGCAGAGAGACTGCTGCATGCACTAGAAGAGGCAGCCTCTGGGATTGGCCTCTATGTAAATGCCAAGAAAACTGAATTCATTTGCTTCAACCAGAGTGGCATGATCAGCACCCTGAATGGAACCCGATTAAAAGAAGTAAAACAGTTTAGCTACCTGGGAAGCGATATCTCATCCACAGAAAAAGATGTGCTAATCCGTATAGCAAAAGCATGGAGTGCGCTACAAGAACTGAGAGAAATATGGAAATCTTCTCTACCTGACAACACGAAAAGAAACTTCTTTAGAGCGGTGGTAGAGTCAGTACTGCTGTATGGGTCACCAACATGGACTTTGACAAAGAAGCTGGAAAAAAGGCTAGATGGAACTTACACACGGATGCTACGTGCAGTATTGAACAAGACATGGCAGCAACATCCTACTAAGGAGGAGCTCTACGGAGACATTCCAGCTGTGTCTGAGCTCATCAGACAGCGGAGAACAGGTTTCGCAGGACATGTCTACAGAAATAAGGCTGAGCTAGCTAGTGAACTGATCCTGTGGGAGCCCAAACAAGGGCATTCTAAACCTGGGCGTCCTCGTATGACGTACATAGACCTGCTGGCTGCTGATGTGGGTCTTCCAAAGGAGTACCTGGCGAGCGCCATGACGGACAAAGTGGACTGGCGAGAGAGGGTTTGGGACCGGGAACTACAACTCCCGACATGATGATGATGATGATGTCCAAAGTGATACATTGCTACAAAATGATGAAACGGTGCCGACATGCCAACAACGGACACACGTCTTTGTTTGTAAACTTTAATACTTGTGCCATGAAAAGGACTAATTAAGTTTATATTTGACTTTCTTAATTAGCAGTAATTGCAGACAAGTGGACAGAGAAAATTAAACCATGTACAGTAATGGTCTTGAAAAGACATAGCGTTTCTCCAATGAAAACATAGGGAAACCAGACCCAGTGTCTTCTCACCACACTGCAATATAAACATGACCTTCCCTTGTCCTGGTAACATGCTGAGATGGACAAAACAGGACGTATGTATTGATGGTTTCAATTCTTTTAATTTTTAAAAGTACAGTACGACTGTAGTGAGTGTAGATCTATAAGTTTTGGTATATTTATTTTGTCCACGATAATATTCTGAGGTTCAAAGTCAAATGTCATTGGATCATTATGCATTTTTCTCCGCTTCAAGTTGACTTCAAGGCGCTTCTAAGTATTGCTCACACAAAATTGCATTCAGATGTCAAAATAATGTCCCAAGCTTGTATTGGCATTAGTGTCAGTGTAATCTACACAGAGATGAAATGTTGTGTATATATAGGAAAAGTTATGTTGTTGAGTTTCCATGAAAAACGTTGTCCAGTCCACAACCAAAATATACATGTACTTTCTAGCTGAGGACTTGTCCTATGAATTTGGCTGGTGTGTTTACAGATGTTAACATTCTCAAGATGGTTGCTCCAGCCTGAAGTAACCCCATGCCCCCAGTTATTTTTGTAGGTCCCCTGTTTGCCCCACAACTGGCTATCGGATTCAGTACGACTTTCCTACATGAAACAGGAGAGGGACTGAGTATAATATATTTGTCAGAAGCGCAAGAGTAAGTAGAAAAACAAACAGGCAGAAACAAAGTTGGTTGAAAGGGTGGAAAAGGCATGTATGGGAAGGCATGTATGGGACACGAAAGTTCAAAGAGCAAAGAATGTTCAGCCTTCACCCCCCAACAACTCAAATGGCTTGTCCTATGATTGCCCTTTACTTGATTAGCTGTAGTTGGGACTGAGGCCAGGTCACCCCTTTATGGCAGTGGGACAATCCTTCTGGGATGTGGAGTCCAATTTGTCTGCGTGGTCAGACTTGGAGGAGGATTTTGTAGTGAAAGTTGATCCGACAGTGTTGAGGACAGGCCATGTTGGCAAAGATGTTGATAGAAAACAAATTGCAGGTCTGGACATGGATGTGGGATCATGTACCCTGCCAAAGTAGGTTGAATACACAAGATGTAGGTGGGTGGGTGTTGTATCCCTGAAAATAACTAGAATTCTGTTCAGCTAGTTAAGTATGGAGCTGTCTGTTTGGTATGTTAGTTATTAATATAAATCGTTGTATGTATGGAGTCAGGACCTTAAGTATCATACGTACATGTATACATAAACTCATGTCTTCTTTAAATTAAATGTTTGTTCGATACTAGTATTGCACAATTTGCTTTTTTCACTGTCACCTCAAGTACAATATTCCCTTGTAATTTGAACCTGTTTTGAAATATTCTTATGTAATTCATACATTAGCAATATTGAATGAGTTTTCTGTTGTTTTGTTTTTTCCACAGGTCCCCTGTTGACCCCAATGGCAGCTGACTGAAGCAGGAGCAGTATAGCACACACAGACGACACCCTGGAGTCATGGCTAGCGAGAGATTAACTCTGAGGGTCTTCCTACCCAACGGGACCTTCAACTCGGTCAAGTACAATGATGGCACAGACGTTAAGGTACAGAAGTGAATATTGTGCACTGAATCATGTCTACTACAAATACTAGTATATACCCGGTAATGTCAGTGGTAGAGCTGCTCCAGAAAAACAAGTCTTCTTGTGCAAATCTTCCTGAGCAATTTTTCTGAATACATTTTGTTATACTAGTAGTATAATACTACATGTACTTTTAAGCACCAAGCTTTGCTATGTAGACCAATGATAATCATGTATCTTTCTACATGTACATTTCGTTACAGTTGTACCAACATTAAGTCAACAACAGTACAGGCTGTGTTAATAAAAACATGGCAGTAACAGTATGTAGATCTCAAGGCCAATCTCTTTGCATTGCCTGTAGCACAGGCACAGAACTGGTTAGACATGCTGCAGGCATGTTAGAAACTGGGCGTTGCTATAATTGAGCAGTTTTGTGCCAAGTTGTATTCAGCAACTTTCACTGGTCCTCTGTATAACACAATGGAACAGAATCTATACCTTTTCATGTTTGTCTCCACTTGTATGATTTCAACATACAAGTAGTCATGATACAGTATCATGTTATAAACCCACAAAACAGAAAGATTATGGCTCTCCCAAAGCAATGAAGCAAAGGTGCTCCACCTCTACCCAAAATCCTACGTAGCTCCTCTGCCAAAATACTCAAAATCTAGTTTTCTCTAAATGACAATTTTTTTTTGTGACATCTACCAATTAGAAAACTCTCCCCTGAAAATTTATGGGGAAACCCCTGAAGACATACACAGAGTCTCTGATATTGTCTCCATCTTCCCAGAATATAATCCATGTTGTGGTTGGTCGGCTGGCGGCCGGTACGCGGGAGTACGAAGCCTGCTACGCCATGAGGATCAACCACACGCAGTCGGAGGAGACGTACTGGTTAAATCCGGACATGGCCATCAGCGAGGTCAGCGAGCTCTACTGGAACATCCACCCTGCAACAGAATGGAGGTAAGGGCTTCTGCAACTAGCATGTCGACAGAATGTACTGGGTCTGTGCGAAACCCTGATTTTTTTCACCGTTTTCGTCTGTTGCATCAGACTTTTGCCTGTTGCAGGTGATATCAATCCCAGCACAACATCCAGCTTAAATACAACCTTATATGAGCTTAGTAAGACCACACTGGCTTACTGTTCTTGGATTAGAAGAGATAATGCTGACCTTGAAGATCAACATGTACATTGTAAGCAGATCTGAGGAGAAAGTCTTACCTTGGTATACCCTGTCTCAGGAAATCAATTTAAAGGTGTCTCTGCAGACTTTTGTTTTTGTCTTTATTTCTTACTTAATTGTCACCTTCAAATGTATGAGAACAAAGAAATAAATTGTGTAGCACACCTGAAACCTCGTAAAGAAGTTTTTAACATTGCAGAAAAAATATCAACAGTTTTCAGCTTGAAGCTTTACTCAAAGAATACTGTAGAAATAGAGGAAAACATTTCCAGCCCTGTAATACCGAAATGTTTGGTCTTGAAAGGCCAGATGTTCTTGATATCACCTACAGGTACCTATTACCCATGCAAATGGGAATAACATTCCACGGCAGCTTTAAGTTCCTGTAATTTCAAGAACTAGCAAAGTGTGACTTCCTGCACCAGGTCAGGCTTGATATCAAGCAGGAAGTTAACCAATCCAGAAATATCTGGGAGAAGTTGAAAAATAAACAGTGTTTAGAGTTGCGATGTATTTCATCTAGAGTATCATAGTTCATCTGGACTATCATTTAAAAACAATGTTGCAGAAATGGCATTAGATTTGAATAGAAATTATGCTAGTACTGCACACGTATATTGCATTACATCTTGCTATCGAGGGTGATACATTCATGGACAAAAAAGCACTTGAAAGTGTCTTAAAAAGTGTTGTTGTTTTTGCCTGTTATCTATGTAAAAGTGTTGATACAATATCCAAGTTATATGTCCTTACAAACTGATTGAGTATTGCGTGTGTTATTTCATGTTTATTCTCTATTCTAAACTCCTTGCTTGAAAGCACACTGAGGAAAGTCTCATGTTTGTTCCCTGTAGATTCGAGCTGCGGATTCGGTTTATCCCCAGAAGTTATAAGGATCTGCTGGAGAGAGACAGAGTCACTTTCTTCTTCCTGTATGATCAGGTAAGGACCAGAGGGAAGGAGTTGGTTATTTTGATACTACAGGTGAGATTTGTCAAAGTACAAGGTGGACATTTTTAACTGGTAACTTATTAGCAGGAATGTCCCATGGAAACATGGGCCCAAATTTACAAGGTTGGTATCATGATTTACATTTATACCTGTGCAACTCAAGACATTTACCTATGCTAGTGTAAGTCCATCAGTGTCAACTTTTCGATAAAAAGACAATATTTTATCCACAAAAACATGCCTCTTACATGTGCATGTTGATGCACATTCTTGACATATTTTCCAGCCCTGATTGCTAAGCCCCCACCTGTCTAGCTGATAACACTCCGTCCTATTACAGCCGAACTCTGCCCATCTAGAAAGACTGTGATCCTGTTTGTGACCCCCGCTGTCACTCAGGGAACCAATCCTGTCCCAGGCTGGACTGTCTGGCCCGAATACGTCCCAGCCAATTTTAGTCAAGTCCTGGAAACTGTGTTCACTTAACCAAAACACTAGGACGGCATTGTCTGATGACTGTAGATATATCACACTCAGTGTATGTACGATAATGTACAAGCTTAAGGCTCCCTGAAACATCAGTGCTTGTGACATGTTATGCATTGTGAGAATAGTGTGATACTTACGTTTGTATTTAACATGATTCCCATGCTGTGGAAAGCATTTATTTTAAGATAAGATAAGAAATGCATCATACCTGCTATATATATGTGTGCATTGTACATGTATCATATAAGAATCTTCAATTTGTATATCTTTCTAGGTATTGCCTCCTAAAATCTTCATGTAATGTACCGTAGTACATACTTGAAAATACAAAACTATAAAAAATAACAAATAATTTTTTTCATTTTCTCAATAAATTTTCTCTTCATCATATATTTCTTTGTGCACAAAGAGTTTGTAACAAATCCTTGGCAAGGAATAAACTTTCCATTTGTTTGCTTCCAAAAGGTACGCACAGACTACATGAATGAGCTGGCCGATACCATAGACCAAGACGAGGCGATCAGACTGGGCTGTCTGGAGATCAGGTCAGGCTGTGTCTCACGGATACTCTTTATTGAACAACCTGCCAAATATCTGTAGAAACCTAGAAACAAACCTTCACTGTAGTGATTGTTGACTACATGTATCTGCTTGATTGACAGCTACAGTATAACAACTTTAGGGAAACATATTGTTTTTGCTCTGTTACTTCTTCTTCTGACCTGGTCAATGACCAGACTGTCTCTCTCCATGGTAACATGTTGGGTTACATAATGTTGCAATTTTATTGTAGGAGGGATTTAGACTCCTGTCACCATATATGTGAATGTGTTTGAGTAAGAATTAACAGAGCAGACCATATGCGAAGGTAAACATCATGTAATTGCTTTGCAAATGTTACCTTTCTAGTTACTGTAGATTTTAGATGGGTGTGGAGTTTACACCCTAGCATATCTGTGTGATTTACCTTTTGCTTCCCGTCTTACCTGATGTTGTGTTTGTCCATGTTACAGGAGACTGTTCAAGGATATGCCGGAGAGAGCACTGGACAAGAAGGCAAATTTTGAGTACCTAGAGTAAGTTTTCACCTACCTTTCCTAATGTTTAGTGCTGGCATGTATTTGTTTGGTTGTTTTTGTTGGTGACATTATTGTGTTATTCATGTTGGAGGGATGATACACCTAAATCCTGGATCTGCAGTACCACTACCAGTCAATAGGGGGCATTCCAGCTTCATGAATTGTCACCAAATAGAGCACTGTGACTTTATGGAAGTTGCTATTAATACAAATGGTTCAACAGTTACCTTAATCTTCACTTGATTATGATTTGCATAGTACTAAAAACCTACCTACATGTCTCCATGTTCTTTAGGAAAGAGCTGGGACTGAAAAGATTCTTCCCGAAGTCAGTCTTGGAGACGGTCAAACCCAAGAACATGAGGAAGCTGATTCACCAGAACTTCAAAGACTATGAATCCATGACAGAAGAGGAGTGTGTGTTCAAGTTCTTTGGGCTTATCTACAGATTCCACAGATATGACCAGGAGAAGTTCAAGTGTGCACTAGGGGTGAGTCAGAGAGTACATGTATAGTCATCTTGAACAAAGTTTTTACTTTTATGTATACTTTCAAATATTCTGCCACTGGTTGTTTTTTTAGAAGTGTGTTCAAAGTATGCACCAGGACATTTGTCTCATCCTTCTATGATAGAGTGTGAAGTGTATTGAATATCACTGCCACAAAGATGCTGTCCAAAGACATGGAAATTTCATAAAACAAACATATTGTTTGTCAATTCCACGAAAACAAACATATTGTTTTTGAATCTAGTATGTGTGGCCTTACCCACTTATTATTAGATATGGGTTTTATTCCCCATGGTGTGATGATTTTTACAGTTTGAATTTTGCGCTTACAGAAAGGATGGAGTGTCTCAGTAGAACTAGTGATTGGACCAGATGTGTGTATCAGCTACACTACAGACAAGGGAGCAGCTGTGAGTACTCCAGACTAGTGCATTCTATCCTAAGAATAGACTTTATGTCAGTCTCCCACTCAGACATGTTTAATTAGACCATCCTTCCATGGATAATCATAAAGCTACTCATCATATGAAACAAAAGTTTGTTACATACTGTATTTGACATGGCTGATCTACCCAGGTGTATCTGGACTTTGTCAGTACAAGGTGATGTGAAAATACTGCACTAGATTCAATGTTATGTAAAGCCCTAATATCTGTAGTTCATATCAGGATATTCATTACAGATGTTTTGATATGTTTGAAATAAATAGCTTCTAAGCACATTTTTCCTGTCAATATTTTGTAGCCCAATCAGCTGGCAGACTTTGCCCAGGTTCACTCCATCAAGACCACGACTGTTGAGCCTGAGAAGAAGGGATCTCTACAGCTGGAGATCTTTGGTGCCAGCGAGGTCAGTACAGGCCATGTTCCAGTAGTATGTCTTCTGATTTACTGTGTACAATGAGTCACTTTTGGCCCATTATATAGTAGTGTAATGTTTGTGTAGTGTGTAAGTTGAATGCATTATTTGTTTCCCTGTACATTTGCAATTTTGATCAGGACCAATAGGTGGCATTGCTGTACCACTAGACATATGGCAGGCATATGATAGCTGTACTGTATTCATAGCTTGGTAGCAAAAGCAACTTTTAGACTTTTAAAAAGGCACATCATATTTGATATTAAGATAATCTGACAGTGTGTGACCATCAGTTTTCATTGTTTTTTTCCCCAGACGCTGACCATCACGACACCCTCCCTGGCCATAGCAGAGGACATGGCTAACCTGGTGGATGGGTACTGTAAGCTGACCCACAACAGCACCACTTCCCTCATCACCCGACCAAACGGTCAGCACTTCCCTGCTGTTTTATCAACTTTTTGGGGATCATTTGCATCATACGAGATTCACTTCTCTCTTTTGCACTATTCTAACTTGGTAGGCAACCAATTCAAAGTTGATATCAGCGCTTCCTGATGGAAACGATGCATCGTTTGATGCAACATTTTACAATGTAACTTGTAAGCAGCTTTCAAATTTTTTTTCGTAGTATTATGATAAACAGTAACAGGCTGGGCAATAGTACTTTTCAATGTATAATCTACAATTATGACTATCTAATACCTGTCTCTTCTTTGCAAGCCTTTGCTTTGTAAGATGTATGCTGCTTTTTCTTTATTGTTCTTTGTAACATTGCCACATGCTTCCACATAAATATTACACTCAATCTTACGTGATCATGTCATTTACATACACTGTTGCTCCCATACGTATGTACCTTTCTTTCATCACTCTCAAAACCATCACAGCCTTTCCTTGTCATTTGTACTGTTTGTAGTGATGTGTTGGTGTTACACTGAAGGTGTGTCTCTTTTTTCTCTCTCTCTGTCTGTTTGCCTATTCCCTCCCTGTAGCCTTCCATATATTCCAAGCCGGTAAGCGGAGATTGTCTGCTTCCCGGCAATCCTTAACCAAGTACCTCCAGAAACAGTGGCAGAAATTTCTAGGTTTTTCACATCTCATTTTTCTTTTCAAGTACTCACTAAGTAGAAATTTACAAGTCATTTTTGGAGTATACATGTAGGGGTCCAGGTTTCATTTCACCTTTACTGTAAGTTTCTTCATGTTGCTTTCTTTGTTGTACAGTAGCTTTTACTTTTCACTTCAGCTTCTGTCTCTACATCATCTATGTGCTTGCTTTCTTAGGTAGATGACTAATGCGATTGACTGCTCATCTGTATGTATCTGTAGCCATCTTTGTAGGACTCAGTTGTTACTACAGGATGCTATTAAATGCAATAATTTATGTCTTACTGCAAGTATGCATATGTAGTTACAGTCAAACCTGTACTAGCGGTCACCTTTGTATAGTGGTCACTCGGCCATAGCGGTCAGTTTTTGCCGGTCCCTTGAATTTTTCCCATTGACGTAAGCATTAAGAATCGTGTCTATAGCGGTCACTGTTCAACGCGGTCAGCGGTCACCCCATTCCGGTCCCGCCGGCATGTCAACACCGCCGATAGCGGTCGCGGCTGGCCGTAACCCGCTAAGCACCACGGCCGTAACACCACCCCACCTCGGGCTACGACCGTTATGAGCCTTGTGATAATTTTCCGATCGCTACATTACTAAAATGTGAACTGAAAATTAGACTCCATATGTGTATGAAATAAAGGAAAACTGACTTTTGACACAAAGTTTCTGCGGTCGCGGGTGTCTTTGATATCTGCGTTTTCCCCAACACCAGTGCCGTGCGTGCCGCATGGAGCTTTCAATGGACTCGGCCGCTCGGCGAAGATTACGGCAAATTATCTTTACAAAAAAAACTTAAGAATATCCATATTTGGTTTCTCGATTCCTTGAAATGCGTAGATATGTGCATAGCTTCCGTTTTTCATGGGCATAATTAAAGAAATTTGGCTCGAAAATGCGTTTCGTATTTTTCCAAGATGGCGCATGTAAGCTGCAGAGGGAGGTCAATTGGGGTCATCGGAAGACTCTACTGTTATGGAGGTAGATACACCGAGTTTTATTTAACTTCATTAGCGTCAAATGACGTAATTACATTATGAAAACATTTGAAATACATTACTACAATTAATTTTAGATGTAAATTTAACACTGTAGTGGATATTTTAGAAAAGATATAAGTCTGAAAGGAGAAAATTTTCTGTTGACTACCACATTGGCATAATGGTAGAGGCAGACAACCCACGCGGGGAGAAACCCAAGCCGTAAACAAAGGAGAGTTTTCGCTAAGTTTTCATGTTCAAAAACGGAAAGTAACTGGCAACTGACGAACAATTATTTTGCTGTTAACTAAATAGACAGCATCTTGGTACAAAATAACTTATTTACGTGGTTGGAATTCGCTGTGGCGTATGTCGGTCGCGCGAAGCAAGTGTTCACCAAAGAACAAAAACATGGCGATGTCGTTCTCTTCCACTTTTCGACTAACAACAACAACTACTAGTAACGTGGCGATTGCGGAGAAACGATGGCGAAAGCGGAAAGACGGACGCCAAACTTATTCCAAAAGGTGGAAGTGATTCGACTGGCAGAGAGAGTGAGAAGAAATCGTCGAAAGCTGAGCTTAGATTAAATGATTTTGCAGTCGATAGAAATTTGTTTGGAGTTGAAAGTTTGTTGCTTGATTTGCTTTCTTTTCTTTAGCCACATGTAGTACTAGTATGTACACAAGAACAGTAAATGACAACCAGTGATTTTGTATGTTTTAAATTATGTGAATGGTTTCATTGTCCCAGAATAGATTAACTGAATATGTTGAGTGTATGTATCTTTGATGTCAAGTTAATGTTTCCATGCAATATTTCTGTATTTCTTTTTTTTTTCAAGCAAGTACAAAATAAAGTACAACTAAAGCAAAAGAACAACAAATTATTGAACTAACACATGTACATATAAAAGGGGTTTACCTTTGCAAATGTATGTATTCATATGTTTCAGAATAAAGACATCACTGTTGGTACTCAAAGCATGTGTCCCTTTTTTGGGGGGGGGGTCAACTAACCGGCTGTTTCTCTATAGTGGTCACCTGGCCATAGTGGTCAAATTTGGCCAGTCCCTTGAGTGACCACTATAGGCAGGTTTGACTGTATTTAAAAGATTACAGATAGCATGCCACTTGAGTGCCTTTAGAGTGAAAAGGTGTGTAGATCCTAACTAGGTTTTGTTTAACTCCAAACTAGTATAATTTGCACACAAGTATGTATCACACTTTAGAGTCTCTTTTTTTGCCATAAAAAGCAAAAAAAGTCAATGAAAGAAAGCTTGAATCCTTCCCTCTACTGACTTACAATGAAGAGTGCATAATTGATAAGTGCAGGTACAGGACAGGGTTAGTTTCCATGTCAGTTTATTCCTATAATTTATCTCAGGACAACTTCTGCTCCTCTCCCCTTCCTGTACTGATCTTCTAGTTTGTGAAAACAGGTTTTGCTCCCATTGTAACACTCACTCACTCATTATTTGTACATCAGGCTCACTGGAAACCTAAATCTAATCGGGTAGCATCTTAGTTCTTTGATGTGTAAGCATCTTGAGTCGGCTGATACGGATGTATCCTGTGGTTTCTTACAGATAGCAGAAGAGCTCTTCCTGTTCCTCCTGGAATGAAGTGAGTATGCATGTCACCCCTGTTTTCTTGATAGACTCATCCAACAGCGAGCTTCATACTGGCTGTTTGGGTTGATGCCACCTCTTCTGAAGGGGTGGTAGAGTAATTCAGAATTTATATCAATGATTCAAAGATTGTTTAGATAAGGTAGCTTGGGGGAAATATTTTCCCAGCACGATGCAGGAATATGATCCCCTCCTACAAGCAGTGACCCTCCCTGTAAACTGTGACACCTTAGATGACCATCATGATTCACCTGAGGTGTCAAGAGCTTCTGAGTATGCTTTTTATTGGGTACTGATTAATGATGCAGCTGCAGACAGTGTTATTGTATTGTTACTGCCAAGACTAAACTAATCAGCCATATTGGTGTAGTTTTAAATGTTTTATTAAACATAGGATTACTCATACAATGTACATGTATTTGCAGTTAGATATTCTGGATAGTAGCCTTACAGTTTTGTAAATATTCTGGATAAGTAGCCTTAGACTTTTGCTAATTCCTTCAGTCAAAATCTGCACATTACGTGTAGGTACCAGTTGATATTACTATTCTTGTTTAGTCCTGTGAAAACCTTGTTGCAGAAGATTTTAGAAGACTGTACTTGAGTTAACTGTTGATTTGTGCTTTCGTCCTTAGCAACGCACCGAATGGCAGAGAGAGCAGAAAAAGTGATGCTTCCAGCAAGAAAGGTTCCCTGGTCTCAGGTGAGTTAAGTCATTCATAAACGTTAAGAGCATATTGTATCCATTTCTTATTGACCAGCTGAAGATTATTTGGATTTTCCAAATTCATAGACATTCCCAATTTGAAAGTACCATTGCTTCTCCAATGATTCGATGAATCCTAACAATTGTTAAAATAAAATAATTTTTGTTACTACCCCCGGTATACATGTACATTACAAGAGATATCGGTAGAAGACAGTTGTTGGAAGTTCTCTTGATCTAGCTTCCTGCTGTTGTAATGTCCGTGTATACAGTATGCATTTTGATCCCTGTTCTTAACCCTTTCCCCTACTCTCTCAAACTTACCCCCATGCTTACTGGGATAGGTACATACTGTAAGTAAAACACTTCTGTCAAATTTTCTATACTGTCTACTAGTATCTGTGTATTCTATACCTTAATATTGTGTATCTGTCTCTGTTATAGGGCTATTGTATGTCATCTTGCTATCATCCACCTGAAGAAATTATGAGTTATTGATTTAACATTGTACACATGTATATAATGCGCTGTTGAATACTTGACAACTTCTGGGATTGATATAAGAAGTACAGTAGAATTTTGGGATGAGGGAAATATTTGATGCCTTTGTACTGTACATACTGTAATAGCCAAAGTCAAAGCTATCTTTGGAGTTGACTATCTCTAGACCAGTTCCTGTTCTCTCTGATCCTCCTGTATTAAACCTTGCTGTGTCTGTGCCTCTTGTCTCTGTGCTGCTGCCTGTCGGACCTGCTAGTGGCTACCATGACAACCACTGATGACGAAGATGAGGGTAAACTGTTCTGTCTCTGCTGTGCATGTCACTTCATGTTCAAGATATTCTCACATATCAGATTCACTTCTCTACCCCACTACTTTTTTTTTACAAAATCTATAAAAAAATTGTGTCCCTTCCTCCAACATGATATTTTCTCTTTGATGAGAAATTTAAAAACTGAGACAGGTATTTTCTATTTCTGTATGCCTGTGTCATTTTAGTCTAAGGCATTTACCAATTCCTTCCGACATGATAACTCAAGGAAAATGTTGAAGACTTCTTTCTTTCACTGTACATCTAGATACTCCCTGTGGAGATGATATTGTACTATTTTTATTACATTATTTTGTATTACCTTACTTGCTAATTAGACACATCCTTGTGCTGAAGAAAAGTTATCTTTTATGTTATGTTTTTTTGTGTTTTGCTTTTTCGGGTTTGTATGTGGATGATTAAAGCGTCTTGGAATATGTTGGAATATCTTGGACTGTGGCTTTTAGTGTCATGTTGATGAAAACTAACACACAACATCACATGTGCACAACATGAATGTTGTACCTGCAACAAAGACAAACATGTACATGTACAACCTTGATCTGTGTTGTTGAGCACATTTCTACTGGCTGTGCACAGTATTACACATACACTGTAATGAGGTGATACCATGGGCAAAGAGGGGAAGAAGCCTGCACTAAGAAACAGAATCTGTGGGAACTATGTAATATAAACTATATGATACTGTATATGTCATGAATGTGCTCAGCAAGTACTCAGAATGTTTTAGAAGTTACAGTGACTAAACACATGTCTGTCTTCTGTTGCATGTACATTGTGTTCTGTTGGGTGATGTGACTAATTTTATCACAAAGGTTAGATATGTAACTATATAACATTCTATATGACATGTTCACGTTGCTATAGTCAAGTTTGTTTAGAAAAGGTCTTGAGTATCAATGTTACTATTAAAATGATACCAGCTATTTCTGATTAGATCCAAGTATTTTTTAGATAAAACTAGTGCAGAGCTTGACTGTTTATTTCCCATTGTACAGAATCTGATGACTATGCAGAGATTGTGGATGATGATGACTACTCCATGCCAGCTAGTAAGTGACTTCTTTTCTTTGTGTTCCTACCAAAATATTTAAAACTTTTCCAGATCTTACAGAAGCAATTCTATCAGTCATTCTTACTTATGTTTACACATATCACTGTGGCTGTTAAACCTTCTTAAAGTTGCCCTAACCAAGTGATCATGAGACCAAGTAGAGTGAATTCAATGAAGCTAAATGATTTTCCATGCAGCAGTATTGCCCTTTTGTCCCGTAATCCAGCTTTATGTTGCTCTCCAGTTAACTTATTCTTGTTGGCTTCTCAATGAAGCTATCTGCCATTGTCAGCTGGTGGTAGGCTGGGTATAATTGTAAATCATCAGTGAAAAGAAGACTTCCCCACACAGTTCTTAACAATAATCTGTGGAGGTTTAGCTGGATTGAGCCAGGCTCCAACAGGGGAAGAATCTTTTGTGTCTGTGGGCTAAGCACCGGCATCCTTTCTGTCACTAACCTGATTAAAGCATCCATTTGGGTCGGAGATAGATTCTAACAAAGATGTTGGGGTGCCCCTGCTTTCTGATCAGAACAATGCTCTTTTTCCCTACCCCATGAAGCAGGTAATGGCATTAAAATGGATTCACCATGCTCACCATTAATCATGAAGCTAATTAGAGGGATAGCCCCGATCAGGACATATATTGGATATGGAGAATGGGCAGAGTAGCATTTTCCTAGATAGGTCTTGCGATATATATGATATACATTTTGTACATGTATACATATATAGTATTGTATTGATGCTCCCTGTGTTGTGTTTCTAAGCATAGTAAATTTTATATTAATTATATTTGTAGTTCTGACAAAGGAGCCACTTACAAGTACATGTGCATGAATCTAGATTTTCAAAGCATCAATTGCAGCAACTGAGTGACCATTAAAATCACTAAAGGGTGCCAATCATTACTTTTGGACCTTTTCCTAGAATGGCTTTGCAAACAACTGATACTGTGTCTCAAGGTCACTTGGGCATCAGGCCAAAAATCCTTGTGGTAGGGAAGATATGTGGGAAGTACAATGTAGGTGTGTCTAGAAGTTAGGGTACATGTCAATGGCTGACATTCAATACAGTAGGTTGCTTTCAGTATGTTTTTGCCAGGGTGAAGTCCCAAGGAAAGTACCACTTGTTTGTTCACCCCCTTGCTCATTCGAAGTACTGTATGAGTTGCACCCTGCAAATCCATATACATATAACCACCTTACCCATTGGCTTAAGGCTAAAAAGCAAATTATGCCTATTTCCCATCCCCATATATTAGTAAAGGCACTTGAGTGTCATAAATTACTTTTTTGTAAAATTGTTATTCAAAGCTAAGAACATATTATATATATTATAAAGTTACTTAAAGTTCACAAAACACAGTACAGTTTGAAGAAATTACCAGCTTTTATTGTTAACACAGATATACAAATTAGGAGTTGATGATCATATAGCACATATATGTCATACAACATCCCCACATTGCAGGAAATGACATCATGTAATAAGACTGTCTTCCTGTGTTTGTTCTGATGTTTCAGTTGCTGAATCATATACTTGTACTGCTGACTCCTCATTGTTTACTCAGACATACATCAAGTCATGGCAGATTGACTAGATTAATTGTATAACGGGGGGTGCCCTAATTCCGACCTATGTTCCATGCAAACGCACAGACCTTTGGTAATAGTTTATCTGACCAAAAACCCGCGCAACATGAGATATAATATTGACAGATAAAGATCACAACGATTAAAACTGCACAGCTGTGTATTTCACTTGAGTGTAGCGCCTTGCACCGAAGCGTAATGGCTCACGAAACGCACGGCAGTTTTTTTGTCATTTTGCCGGTGGAACGTTCTATCGCAACAGGGGTGCCCTAATTCCGACCTAGTGTTTAACACAGGTCGATCTGAGAAGAGAGTTTAGAAATTATAATACACAAATTATGACTAAAACAATCTACAACTGTTTTCTGTCCCAAACAAGTCCTCTTTTTACGATTACGCGACTTGCTCCAAAGTGGCTGTTTGAAAAGCAAAACCTGCATTTTTGACACGCTCGTCAACCCCCGAACAAGCGTCGAATTCACACAGATTTTTCACTCGTCTGTTGTCGGAGTGTAGGAACTAAAACAAAATTTGTGAGATTACCGATATCAACACAAAAACATTGTCCATTCTTGTGGTTATTTTTAGGCACGTGCTCCCATGCATAACGCCGCAACAAGGATTTTTCAAACTAGTTCGGTATTAGGGATGGGTCGGAATTAGGGCACCCCCCGTTACCCTTTGTAGTTGTCTCTGTTTTTCTCTTGTTTATTCACCAACTTGGATGAGATTTAAAATGGGATGTCCTTCCCATGTCATGTACATTAAATGTTTTCTATGTAGATGACACAGGGAAAAGTTTTTGAATTGAGATGTGTAATTAAGGCTAAGGCCACACCAATTTATTTCCTTGGTTAACGGATTCGCCGCTTCGTTTTTTTGCAAAAATGAAATAAAAATAAAAAAAACAGAACAAAAATCCATACTCTCGGGTCCCGAATTGGGGGCCCCAAAATCCACCCAGTACGTTGTAATTTTTAAAAATTTGGGCATAGTTAACAGCGTTAAAAATACATTGCTTCAAGGCAGAAACATTTTTCTGAGTGCAATTTGTTCGGAAAGCTAGGTTGTCTCTTCAAAAAGTTCGTCAAATTCTTTTGATATAGAACTCGCCCCCCACCCCCTTTGCACATGTCACCTTTCATGGGACAAAACTTCACTGACGACAAACCTACGGCAGATTTACTAAGTCATCGTGCCTGTAACAACATATCATCTTTCTTTTAGATATATATTATATTTAGGAACACGTACTCGTATTGTGTCGGAAACGTGCTGCTAGTAACGGGCGTTAAAAGTGATCGGCCGAACGTAACTCGGCCTGGGCGGCACATGCACACACACCTTCAAAACGATCTTTTTTCCAGGGAATATGTAAAAATAACACGACATAACAATGTATTCTGGCATCACAAACTGTATTACTCTCAAAAAGTACAAAATCCTACCACAAACATGGGAATTTGGCAAAGTAAAAAGTCCTCCATGCACGTAAGCAGGCTCACGTAAGTCCATTCACTAAAGCAACTGTTTCTCACGGTCGGAAGAGTCCACTTCGAGTAGGGGGAAATAGGTCCTTTTAATTACAGAAATTACTCCGTGAAAACATGTGCATGTGGCATTCTAACAAAGTTACATCTTATTTGGATACCTATAAACAGGAGAACAATTGCAAATAATGCATCAATTATTACATCTACATTTTTAATAAAATGTTCCCCTTACAATAAACAATCCCATACATCAAAGACTTTATAGTGAAACCCTAGACCATTGAATTTGTGGCAACTTCAAGAGTGTGTCAATGTGGCTATTCGTTTGAATTATGGCTATGTATAATGTAGCTGTAGCATACATTATGCAAGTGTATAATGGGAAATATAAAATGGATAGTATTTGGGAATTGGGGGAAAGATAAAAAAAGAAATAAAATATCTGTTAAAGTGGTTAATTTTCCAATAACTTTTAAACATTCCTGGAAATTTGTCTAAAGCAAATATTTAGGATATTGTAAATTTCAAGCTCTAAATAACTTCCATATCAGCCAGACACAATAGAATTCCCATCCCAGTGGTAAGCTGTGTGCCCTGAACTCTAAGAAAACAACAGATCTGAACAGAGCACCCTGATTTAAACCACTCTTTGGAACTTTGAAAGATGAATAAAAGTGAAACCAGTTGGATCGGAGTCTTGTCAACTGAAAGTTTGTTGTTCATACAGTAAAGATGTGTATCTTGCAAAATAATATGAATAATTCTAAAAGGATGTAAGAGAAGTTGCTCATGTAGCAATGGTCCTTTCAATTCAATAAGTGTCCAATATAATGTCTTATATATCATTTTGTAACTTAACTTAATGGATTGCTTACTACATGGCTGTATGGCAGGTACTCTCAAATTTTTATTTTATTTTTTTTCGCCCGCCCGCTCCATTTTTTTCTAAAAAAATCCGTTAACCAAGAAATTAAATTGGTGTGGCCTAATTAGATTGAAGAAATTTGATTTCATACTTATATTGTATTGCATGAGTTAATGCATACACAAAAAAGTCATAGTTGTAGTTCATTTTCTTTATGAGGTGTTTCATGGAAATGTTAAATGTCAGTAAGAATGTCAAAGTCAACATTCTGCTCTGGTCTATAAAGATCATGAGATAAGTTAAGTGCCTTTATCCAGCACTGTACTGTAAACTGTTACAGTATCTTTCAAGTTTGTCCCAGCTGATCCCACATAAGCTCCTGGCCCCAATCCAGTACCACACAGTCTCCCTGCCTTTGCTTCCTTGCTTTGTGTGGACACTGGCCAACTTGTTGATCAGGACTCCCTGGCACTGCCCGCCCTCTGCTTGGCTACAGTCCCAACCTGCCTCAGATTCTGTCAAAATAGGGATCTAGGTCACTCTGTGCAAGAGAATGTCCCTTTATTTGTCAGCTGTTGTGTTCCATTTAGGGAACCTCCAGTACTTTTCTATAGGGGGAGGGATGATATGGGGGAAAATCCTGTTACCATGGTGACAGACAATTGTGTAGTACCCCGATTCTGAAAGCTAGAATTCTTCAAGCTTCAATGGTGGGGATAATCGCTTACAGTGCTTAGTCCTGATATATTATAGATAAAGCTGAAGAACCAAAACAGAATCAATGTGTCTGGTTTTACGAAAATTTAAAGAATGCAGGTTGTTTTACTGTTTTGCATGGCATCTGTTACTAAAACTTCTTTCAACATCTTGTGCTATGGCTGTCCAACATATAGATATGAATGTGATCTCCATGTCATTATGATGTAAACAACATAATCCCTGAAACAAGTATACACCAACAAAGGAGACTGATAGCTTCATATTTGTGTAAATTAAATGATAAGTTTGTCTCCCAACTCCATCCTTTGACAAGTTCAGAGTATTAAACCTTCCACACACAGGTCCATAATGTACTGACCCTGTCCTCAGGAATGGACTATGGAGTACCCAATGTAAGACAGCTGTACAAATGTCCCCACACAGTACCCAACTGTACACAGCCTGGCATCTATAATGTGGCATATTTCCTATGGCTTGCAAGCTACCATAGCACTGTATTCATGTAGATTCTGTACATCTCCAGATTGTGTAAATTGGGTCCCTTTCTCTCCTAATAAAGTTGTTTTTATCATCAAGTCTCCAGTTAGTTTACAAGAGACTGTTGAAAGTTTGTACTCTATTAAACCAAGGAGCTTTCCTTGATTAAACTTTATCTCTATAATAGGCAGAGGTTTATGTTAGTGTTGACTATAGGTTGCTATTGACTGAAATGATATCTCCCCTCAACCTCTGTGGTTTCACATGTAGTAGTTGATTTACAGGTCATGACAACTTTTGATGGAGTCAAGGATGGCCTCATTCCATATTTGGCACAACCCTCCTGGTGTCATGACCTCTGGAAGATTCCATGTTCCTTGATATCAAGGGGTGGAGCAGGAAGTTGGAGACGTGATCAACTTTTGAGTCTTTGCTCTCTTTAAAGGATACATAGTATGGAGAAAAATTGAAGAATTGAAAGTTGATTGATGCTAGCAATTTTCTTTGATAGCATTTGTCAGAAAAAGCACTTTTTAGGTCCTTCTCTCCTCCCCACAGTTGTATAGATGAAGCGTACCCTGCTCCCCTGGGTAGATGATAGTATACACTAGACACAGGGGGTCTCAGCTTTTGGCTCCCCTGAAAAAGAGTTCAGTTGGGCCTGTTTAGGGGCAGGGCTGACAGGATGGAGTGGCTTCGAAGGAGAAGTAGTCGCCGACGGAAAGGTACCGACAGTGTGCATAATCCTACTGTAGTGTCACAGATACCTGACTATTGTGGTGTGTTTTGAGCAGCAGTTTGATAAACATTTCCGTCTGTTGTGGCTTGGGTGGTGTCCTGTGATGCTCTCCGGTTCGTTCCCTGCAAAGTTGTGCCAGGCACAAGCAGGGTCCGTCCCCTGAGCAGAGCTGGCTGTGTCCTGTCTGTCTTCCCGGACACAGGGTAGACTTGGGAGATGCCTCACTAGCCGTGGAATGTTTCAGGTGCTTAGGAATTGTTATTTCACTGAAACTTAAGTATTTTTGGTTCAAAAATTTTATCAGTTGCTATGAAGGAAAGCAGATTGCTGTATATATCTGACACTAGAGAGTAGTGTATGGGAGCATTTGATTTTACCCTTGATGTTTTCGTTTCTGTGTTTGGCCAAGATAGTTGACAGCTAATGAGAATGATAACTTTGTTTTGGTGAGCTTATCCTATTGTACTATTTGTAGAGTTAAAATAATCCAGAAAGATTTACTTGGATTAAATGTAAATTATCACCCTTATCAGTGAAAATTATTTTTCTTGTTGTCAACTTGATTAATGTGTTTGTAGGAAGTGTAAACTTAGCAGGATTCATGATGATTTGCAGTATTTGTCTTCCCATATATTTCCATCAAACAGTTTTCCTAGTCTGGGACAAAACCAGGTTGATTTCTGTGAGAAATTCAACATTAGGGGCAGATAAAATTGACATTTTTATACAATTTCTATGCCTTTTTTGAATGTTAGAAATGTTAGTACAACAAGCAATTCCACTTTCTTTCTTTCACCCTGTAAATGTTATTTGTTGGACAGTATAGATGAGTACTAGTACATCTTCACAGAAACTCTGCCTAAATTTGTGTGTATAACATGGATGAGAGAGAGCTATGTTCCTGCCAGCACTCTGTGGTTTACTAGAAGGTAGTAAGTGAAACAGGAGAAGCCGCTCAGTGGAGACTAAGGCCTCGTTCATGATTGAAATGTGTTCCGGTTTGGCCACGATCCGAATCGAAACGGAATATATTTTTGGCCATTTTTGCGTCCGTGATTCAAAACTTGAACCCACACTGGAAACGGTTTCACACCTCGAATTGACTTGCATTTCATATGTATATCACAATTTCTTTGAATATTTCCTGAAAACCCGGCTCGTAAGGCGGAGAGTTTACGCCTGTCCGGGCGAGTGGTCGCTCGTTCCCGACTCATGTCCTCCCCATGGCATAGGCTGTGCCCCGGACGCATCTGGCGCAAACCCCCACGGTCCGCCGCCCCAACGTCCCCGTTGGGCTACCACTCGCCCTCACGCCCAGGGTAGGTTCTAGTACACACAATCCAGTTTCCTCTGGATCTCCTGATTTACCCAAGTCAATATCGGAATTCGAAGTCCCGTTTCCTCAGTCGACCAGTAATTAGAACTCGATGTCAAGATTGTACGATTCAAGTAGAATTTTCGGCAGTACAAGCCACTGCGCCGCAAACTATGACCGACCGTGGCCCCCACGTACCCGGGAGTACAGAGTCGAACCGGAACGATTCGCATCCGCGCGTTCATGATTACAATTCTACGAATGCGAATCGTATCGTATCGTTTCAGACCACCTCGCGAGGTGGTTCAGAATAAATCGCAACGGAACCGGTTTGGAGCGTTCATGTTCCTAAATGAATCGATTTATTTTTTTAAATCGAATTGATTCGCAACAGATATCCAATCATGAACGAGGCCTAAACAGAGTCTCTATCCTGCTGAGACACCAAACATGTCAAACTTCTTTCACTCAGACTACTGCGAACTACGTTAATTTATTTCTTCCAGAAATCACGCAAGTTGTCTGTAACTGAAAATTCAGCATTTCGTCTATAAATCTCTCCTGAAAATTCTTTCTGTCAGAAAAATTAAGTTAGGATTTGTGCCATATGGATAACTGAAACCTGTATAACGGTCCTTGGCAATGCACCCAGGCATGTTTACATAATGTGGGGCACAGTATTCATGTCATTGGCCTGTGAAAATCCTGTCAAAGAAAGGACACCTCTGACTGTTTATTGTTATGTTTACAATTGTACCCACCACGTTTATATGTTGTGGCTTACAACAGGCTCAAGTAACTACCAGTGCAGGGAAGGGCACAGGGTACAGCAACTCACACATTGGCCTGAACTCAAATACAGCTCTCCTGGCACACTTGTCATTACTCACACTAAATGAGGTCCTTCCTAGAAGTGCTGTGATTGACACAAACTCAAGGACCACATTGCAAGGAGAGGAAGTTTTCTGGTAACAGACTTAATCAAGTTAACTGAGCCCTTGTCCTGGCAACCTGCAGAAGTTCAGTTCGACAGTTAACCAAAACAGTGATTTCCGAGAATGTTGTGTTTGCAAGATAGAAATGTGAGATACTGTTTTGCTGGAAACCTTGACTCTTGTAGTTGAGACATCTGTCTTGGAGTTGACTTTGAACTTGGATGTTTTTAAAAGGCTATAGTCACAGTACCACCCAGCTTGAAGAAATATATATAATATATTTGTCTTTACAAGTAACTGCTTGGGTGAGGATAAGAATGTACATACATGTAGAACATGGATTATAGCTCTCTCCTGCCTGTATGCCATCCTAGCTAGTCAGTGAAATTTTACCAAAAATAGTCTACTACAAGTACTAGTACCCACCAGCTCAATGGACAGTTCAAATTATTTTCAGATAGAACAATTTAATGTTGCTTAAAAGTCCTTTGTTTTCATCCCTGTAGCAGTGGCTGTTGCTCAAAGAATTTGAATAAAAGTACTCCTTTTCTTTTTACTCTACTCTAGATGTATATCTGTGTTCAGAGCATTGATAAATTTTGCTCTTCAACTTGTTGTTGCTACTCTGTTACCATGTAGCCTTCAGAAAGTGTATCATATGGTACTGTGATTTATAAAAAATATCAAGGTGTGAAGAAACATGTTGTATCAAGTTTCTGTTTTGATTGACATCTTACTCAAACTTGTGTTTTTTATCTTTCACCAGCAAAAGACTACGAGATTGCGAGGGACAAAATCGTCCTTGGTGCAATAATCGGAGAGGGTCAGTTTGGAGATGTGCATAGAGGAGTCTACAAATCCAAGGTAACAACAAGCTTTCTTATCATCTAACAGCTGAAGGAACAATCATGTTTCTGTTTTCTAGATTGGGAAGGGCTGTAGTATGTCTTTGTACAGGTACTGCTGGGAACATGTGGAAACACTTTGGATGGTTAATCTGACAATGTCTTATTTCATTAACTTTGACAGACTTCTGAAGTAGAAACAAAAGTCACTATTGTTCTCTTATGGAGAGAAAGTGCTTTTGGGACTGCCAGGCTGATACCATCCAGTATTGTCTTTTTGACCTCAAGTGATTTATCATCAAAGATAGGAATGGCAGATATCATGTAGACTTTGGAGGAATTATGTAGGTGAAGGTTAGACATCCAGGTAATAAGATATGCCAAAAAACAGTTATTCAAGCACCTGGATATGATTTTGGAAAATGACTGTTTCTAAAATCATGTCCAGTTGCTTGAGTAAATGTTTTTGGCACATTGGAGGAACCGTTCCAACAACTTGAACAAATTTTTGTAGGTGAGGATAGAAAGATCTTGTTATTCCAATAAGTCTCCCAAAGCCTTTCCAGACTGACTTGACTTCTAAACAGAACTCCCAATCTCAGCACAACATCTGGCAGGGTCATGAGGTGACTTTGAACTCCAAACGGAAGATGGTGGGGCATCGTTTGTGTAAGTTACCCTGCTGGGACCCTTATGTGGGACCCCATCAGCTGAGAAGGAAGCTGGTGATTTGTGGACCATGAAGCCACTGCCATCAAAAAAACACTGCACATACGTACAGGAAATCATCTACTTACTCTGTCATCAAAGAAAGCAAATAAACACCCATTATAGACTAACATCCACTCAATTTGCAACCTTATATAATTTATGGCTATTGTAGTTTGAGATATTTAATGCTGTGGAACATACAAGTTATAGCCCATGTGCCAGACTGCTTCCAGGGCCCACACAGGCCAGCTCCAGGGCCAGCATGCCCCCAAGGAAATTATACCACAGCCCCCCTCAGTTAGCATATCTACTGACCAGACTAGCAATCATGGCAGAAAATCTGGTATTGAGATCCATTTCCTGGAGGTTTACCAACATTCTGATTAAAACTATGCGGAGATGATGTGGAACATGTGGCATGCTTCACCACGATTTGAAACACTGCAGTGGAGGTACATGAATGTCATACTTTAGGGTGTTTCCTTGGCGGAGCCACTATCAGGTTGGTAACCTTGTCTGCTGCTGGCACTTTGCCTGTGTTAGCTTTGGATTAAAGTCCTAATGTTCCTACCATGGTTACCCCTGAGGGGGTGGGGGTATGTATTTGAGACTTAGTCGCTAAGAGAAAATATTTGATTTCTCCCTCCTTTCAGCTAAGTGAACAAACTCTGCTCATTTCCAGTCGGTACATTGTTTAAAAACTTGTTTATGAGTAGTCTGTAGAGGAAATATCACTGTGACACCAAATGCTGAGTTATGAACTGTCAAGTCCCAACATACATACTCTATAGCTGTACATGTACATGTACTTTACCCTGCCAATGGGGATTATGATAAGTGCATGTACATGTAATTCAATGACCTGAAATTTTGAGTTCATGTCATGGAAAGTGTGCATGGTCTCATTTGTAACTGTCTGACAAACTTGTTATTCTCCTTCTCAACTCCTGTCAATGACCTGATTTTGACTAGAAGTCAGGTCTGTTGGTGGTTGTGATGTGGGACACGCCAGAGGAATTCCTGGAATACTAACCCTGATTATTTGGGTAATCAAGTGTGTCAGGAGCAGCCTGTTACTGATGTATGTGACCTCTGTGGTGACCTTGGAGATGTAGAACTGTGGAACGGGAGGCACATTCCCAGTTCAAACATCCTTGTCCCAATCAAATAAGCAAGTTTCTAGGTTGAATAAATAATCCAGACAGAGAAAGCCTGTAAAAATATAAAAAGGAAAACAGCAGGGCTTTACTTACTTACTTTTGAACACTAATGATATTATAGTAATGTATGTATGTCAAGTTAGGATTTCAAACTACACTTTATGTAGCAAATCCCTCTACATGCTCTGAATTTTAAGTCAAGAAGGAACAGATGTTTCTTAGTGAATGTGTGATTGTTAAGATGAAGAAAAGATCTTGAGAGGACAACAGAAGAATCTAGAGCATGAAAATTAGTTGTTAGACCCCCTCACTGCTCTTGTTAAGGTACCATATGTCATACTGCATGTCCCAAATTTGTCTTTGTTCTGTTATTGGCTTTTCCTCCTTTCAAGGTAGCCTTTCCATGTAAAAGAATATTGAAAAAGATGTTAAGATATTTCTCAACCAGCTTGACATTTGCATATTCAAAAGACAATTACTGTATGTGGGGGCATTGTTTCTATGATTACATTTTGTGTACATACCTTTCCTGGTATTCTGTTATAGCATCAGATAGCATCAGGTACGTCCCTCGGACAGGATGTTAAATGGAGGTCCTGTGTTTGGGATAGCCACACCCGACGCACATTAAAGAACCCACCACACTTTTTGAAAAGAGTAGGGGCATGTCCCGGTGTGATGGCTCAAACCTTACACTTACAGTCCTATGGCCGCACCTGGGGTCGTATTGAGCTTACCTCAGTTTGGTAGCACCGAATGGCAGCCGCTCCAGACCCTTGCAATCAAGCCCCAATAATTGTAAGCTCTTCACAATTCAGCCCTTGGCTGCAAAGTGAGAGTAGCCGCCCACCCAATACAATACATACAGATCTGTCAAAATGAACATGTGATCTGTCAGAGTAAACATGTCCTGTTTGAGATCTTATCACCTGTTTTCCAACCTTCTGTTTCCTTGTGGTTCTCCCTAGGAGGAAGGCAACCTTGATGTTGCAGTGAAGACGTGTAAGATGGACTGTACAGACACAGTAGCAGAGAAGTTCCTGGAGGAGGCCTACACCATGAAGCAGTTCGACCACCCTCACATCATCCGGCTCATCGGAGTGTGCACGGACAGGCCCATCTGGATCATCATGGAGCTCGCCAATTTTGGGGAGGTAGGGGGCCTTGTCTTCTTACCCAACCTGGAGTAGCACGTCGGCAGAACGTACTGGACCTACGCAAAACCCGTGGTGTATTGTGCATAGCGCTTCTGTAGAACTTCCCATATAAAGTTGTATTCTCGTATATAATATTAACATCCTGTCTGTAGTTTCCAAAAAGGCCTTACAATTGATTATATATCACCAGATTGCTACATACATCTTATTACAATGATAAACTTGTGCGTTCTTATTTTATCCTAGTTATCCTAGTTATCCTAGTAACCTCCCACCTAAAAGAATAGTTCCTTAGCTACACAGAGACTAGCCAGATATCCATCATCAGTTCCCAAAGATGTACACAGGGTACAGGTCAAAATGTACAGGAAACCAGACCCATGGCTGCCATGTGTGTTTGTGTTGAAGTTGACTGACCTTGCTGGTTCTTGCATCAGGGCCTGCTGTGGGGTCGGCAGTGACAACCTGTCCCCAGGGAATATGTGTCAGGCCCCTCAGTCTGTCTTCCACACCTGATAAGATTAGAGAACCCAAACACTAGCCAGGCACAGTTTGGTCCTATCAGTGTCAAAACCTGAGAAATCAGTTAATCCGCCAGATGTTGAAGTAGGAAGAGGCACAGGAAACCATTTTGGAACTACCCTGTCAATCCTTCAAGCATGAACAATGCTAGCTTTCATTCTTTCTATTGACTCCTGATGATATTATAGATTCATCCAAACTTGACTCAAAATACCTAGTGTTTTCTTTATGATTGATTGAGACTAAGCTTTTGTCATGACTCATAGAGATCATAATTTTTACAAACTGCTACAATATAATAAACTTCTGTAGTAAATCAGTGCATTCATGTACCATATTGGGGCTTACATGTATATGTCAGCTCATTTAGTACTCAAGAGCTCAAGCATCTCACTGTGTTTCTTGAACTTAATGTCATTGAATGATGTCTTCTTTTGCAGCTGAGGTCGTTCTTACAGTCCAACAAGGCGAGTCTGGATCTGGCGACCCTTATCCTCTATGCATACCAGCTCAGCACAGCATTGTCGTATCTAGAGAGCAAAAAATTTGTACATAGGTAAGTCTGTAAGTCTTGTCTGTACTTTTCAGTTATCAGAAAGTTTATACATGACTGTAGTTCCAATGTGTAATACAAGGCAGATAAACTACACTATACATTTGTTGACACCTTCATCCAGTAAGATAGATGCATCTCTGTGGGATGATGTACATTTTTTTAGTGGGTCATATTATATCTGTAACAGTTCTTTCATGCATAAAATGATACACAGTTTTGATATTGTTTTTGATGCAGAGATATTGCTGCGAGAAATGTGCTGGTGGCTGCCTATGACAGTGTCAAACTGGGAGACTTCGGACTTTCGAGATGGGTGGAGGACCAAACATACTATAAAGGTATTATGCACATTCAGATAAATGTACAGTACATGAATGTGCACAGAACATTTTAGTTCCTGTGATCATAGGATAAATGAAAACTCTGCCTTTATGGTACACTGTGCCTTCTAATGATGAATTTTATCTCCACTCATTACATTGTATGTGCAAACATACCAATGATAAACCTGCATGTCAAAAATTTTACCGTTAACATTATAGCTGCTTAGTCAGTACTAACTGTTGTTGATGTGTTTGTTTCTAGCATCCAAAGGCAAGCTGCCCATCAAATGGATGGCTCCAGAGTCCATCAACTTCAGGAGGTTCACAACAGCCAGTGATGTCTGGATGTTCGGTAAGGTCTAATGTAGAATTGATCAATAAATGTATGTAGGGCCTAATAAGCAACACATTTCTATCTTCTTCCATCTTTGACTCTCATTACGAAAGATCAATGTACAGTGTAGACTACTATTACAAATTTAAGTTCAAGGAAACTTAAGTTAACAGTGGGCACACTGATAGAAAATATATATTGTTTGCTGTGTGATAATCTTGCTGCAGAGAGACACAGTATCTGTTTCCATGCATGCATCTAAATCAGATTGTATGTTTCCCACTCCCTGCAGGTGTCTGTATGTGGGAGATTTTAATGTTGGGGGTCAAGCCATTCCAGGGAGTCAAGAACAATGACGTCATTGGGAAGATAGAGAATGGGGAGCGGCTGGCCATGCCGCCCAACTGTCCCCCCAACCTCTACAACATCATGACTAAGTGCTGGTCCTACGAACCCTCCAACAGACCACTATTCAGCCATCTAAAGGAACAGCTTAGGTATATCTTAATCGTCTGTAATCTTTATTATATCATCATTGTCTGAGTGATATTTGTTTGTTGATTATGGTTGACAGTTTTTCCTGTCATGTTTTTGGTTTTCTTGCTGTGCTGTTCACTTTCTGTTTTCTTTCCTCAGTTTGTTGTTTCCTATCTATCAATTTGGACTTCTGTTTCATGTCCCTGTGTTTAAAAAAGGAAACTGGAACAATTCAACTAAAAGGCAAAACAACTTCCCTACCATCGGTGAAGATTTTTAAAACATTTCAAATATGGTGGAAAATACTAAGCAGAATGTTGCTGCACCCTAAAGCAGTTGTCAAAGTGAACACAGTAGACTCTTTTCAATGTAGGTTGTAGTGTCACTGTGGTACTACAGGGAAGAACGAATAACACTGTGACCCCATACCTCTTAAAGTTCAAGTTGAATGCCAGACTTTCATTTTGTGCGGGTCAGCTTGTTGACCTTTGCAATGGTTTCCTCACCTCCGTGTAAAATGCAATTTAAAAAAAACCAACAGTTTCTGGATATGTTACAGAGGTGTGAGGTTCGCAACAGTCTTTCCTGTGGTGTCAGTACAGTACAGTACAGCCTGCACTTCAGTCTGTGTGTTGACTTTGTAGTGTTGCCTTCTTGCAGGGTCATTCACAGACTGGAGAAAAAGTATCAGGAAAGGGAAAGACGTAGACTATCCCGCAGGTTCAATAGGCACGTGAGATGCAGATCTCTTTCCTTGCAAAGCAAGAACATCTCACATACTAGGCTGTGTGTGACTGCACTTAACTGACTTGTTGGCATCATACATGTCATGTGTGCACTACACCCTACAACTGAATGGCATCTGCCTGCAGCTGTACAAAGTATAGTTGCAGTGAACATCACACACATGTACAGAATCAAGTGTGAAAGCATTTTTGTAGTTTCTAGTGATGAAGATTTTAGTAATTTTACGTTCTGCTGCAACAGCACAGTTGTACTTCTAATTTGTTGTTCCTCTATTATTTAAATTCAATAATCTTCACATTGGTCACAGCAAGGCTGTCTGTCATCTCTTCTACAAAACCCACAGACTGTTTTTGTAGTGATGTGTCAGCATTTCTCCACTATTTCTGTTGTCATGGAAAACAGCAGATCGTGTTGGCTCAACTCAGAACTGTTGTTATGTTCATGAAATACCCTCATATATTGACTGTGGAAATCAGTGACTTACAAATGTAACAGAGCCTTTGTACATGTATGTAGGCTCAAGGGTTTTCCAGCATGAACTAACTGCTAATCCTTTATTTTTTATAATACGTACAACTGAATATGTATCACATGTATAATTGTAAGAATAATTGATGGTTTGTATGAAGAGAAATGTCTTCAAAGGGCCATCATTCTTGCAACATAACTTATCCGATACAGTAAACTTAAACGATCAACATGACCAAAAAAATAATAACCAAGAACAGCAACAGTACAAGTAGATAGAGTTTGTTGAACTACCGGTAGTTATAAATAATATTCTTGCACTTTCTTCTGCACTACACTTTGCTTAATGTACTCTTTCCCTTCTTGTCTATTTTCTTGCTGCCTGCTATGAACAAAAAGGTCTCTAGTTTGCATGTACAAGTCCCAGAATAGAAGGTAGGTAGAGTGTCAGACTAAATGGCTTGATTTCTTCCAGCCTTCCAACTACAGAAACCTCAGTGTGTGTACATGTATGTGTGAATATATCATAATGGAGCATTCGTTAGTTCATTTATATATATACATGTATATCATTTGGTAAACCATAGTAGTACAGGATAGCCCATACATGACATACATGTACATGTACATCGTGCATGTCATAAGTGATACAAAACTAACAAGTATTGATACTGAGATATTGTAGATGTTTATGCATGTTTTTTTATACTTACTAACATGTACATGTACATTGCAGTATCTAGATATCCAAACGTTATTTGTAACTTTTTGCAATGCTGGTTTCAGTCTGATCCTTCATGAGGAGAGGATGGCCCAGGATGCAGCTATGCACAGAGATGCCAGGAGAATGAACCAGCTAGCTTGGGGTGAGTTTGGATTCTGCACAGCAAACGATAATCAACAACAACACATTAACTGTGCATTTGTAGATATCCTATAATGATGTTCTGCAGTTAAATGTTTTATTTTGATTTTTAAAAGTATGGTTGCAAGATGTACATGTATATCTCAATTGTGAATCAACGTGATGTTGTCTACAGGTGTTGGTTATGGGGAGGACCAGCCACCACCTAAGGTAAGCAACGCTTTAATCAATTGCTGTATGATGTACATCATCATGTACATTGTACATCTTAAATTTAGAGAAGATTACTTTAATCTTTCATCACAGTAAGATACCTTAAAAACTTGTAGAAGATTCATTAAAAACAGAGTTCAAGTAGTTATAAATTGGTGAGCCATAAAATATGCTTGTTCTCAGGTCATTATTTACATCCAATTGCCATTGGAATATGTTCAACATGTCCAGTATGTCATGTTACAGCCCAGCAGACCAGGCTACCCCAGCCCCAGGTCCAGTATGGGGAACCTGCTAGACCAGGGGTACCCTGTGGGCATGCTCCCCTCCCAGTCCAACCCTAACCTGGTCCTGGACCTGCCACCATGGGGAAACAACAGCATGCCAAACCACTATCAGGTAAGGCAGGGGAAAATTCTAGTGCATATACATGTAGTTTGTACATAGCAGGCTTGTTGTGTAAGCACAATGGCTGTGAGTGTGTACATGTAGCTGTTGACAGATTTCAGAATCAGGAGCTGCTGAAGGGTCTGTGTCACTATTACATGTAGTAGTATATTCAAATGGACCTGAAACCTTAAAAAAAAACATACATTGAAATTGGTGCAAAAATAACAGTGACAAAATTACATTCTACCTTGGTAGAAATAATATTCCTTCATTGTACTCAACAAAAATAAATAGATCATGTCTTGATTTGTTGCCAACCCTATTACTATTAGTATCAGGGAACATGATAATATGTGCCCCTTCTCCCCACACTCAACCACATCATTACTGATCCTGTAACACACTTGCATTAACATTTTGGAGCAGCCTTGACTGTGGCTTGTCTTGTACGCAGTTAACATTGCCAGCTGAATATTGCAATGCCCATCACTAAATCATGTACATGTATATGTTATCAACATCGTGCTTTTGCTGACAGACTCTCGTAATGTGCTTTGGCTCTGCTACTAGTAACCTCTTCGATCAATGATATAAATATACATTTAATGATAGAGTTTTTGCAGACGTACTGTGAGTAAATTTCACAGGCTCCATTACACTTGCACATCTACATTGTATGTGGTGGAATTGTATTGGTGTGTCTTAACCCCACTGTCAAGTTACTGTCCTGTGCTATAGTAGGCATGTTTCTGTTGTTCAATGAATATGGAAAAGTCAGAACATTTTTACACTGTACACTGTAGCAGTCTTGTACTAGTACCTGTCTTGGCACTGCTGCCTTACATGTATGTTCATAGACTTCATACTTTATATACAGTTTATTCACCGTCTCTTGCATTTTGTCCTTGTCCCCCTGCTCTGCCCATATATAGCCACCTCCTGCTAACACCCTCCACCCCCTCCACTCGTCCTGGTCCAACCCCAACCTGGCACAGTCTCCCCGGAGCTCCTGGGGTCCCCTGCCCCCCCACTATCAGGTTTGTCAAGTGTGTGGGTAGACTAGCAAGTGTGCAAGACTCATTTCCAACGGGAGGAAATCCTGCAGAAAACACTGATTCAACATTCTGATCGTTTCAAAAGTGGAATTGCAATCACCAAGAATGCAGTGTGATTTCTTTTCTAACTAGGAACTTAATCTCCCACTTTTGTTTGATTGTTTTGTTTGTAGTGGTGAATTAACAATTTCTGTTAATGCTAATCTTGTATCTTTTGGAGTGCCTTTGTTTCCCTTTTTTCAGTGCTGTTTCTAATTTGTTCATACGTATGATTTTTGATAGCTACGCTGCTCATTGATTCTGTGATTGTGCAGTGTGTGCACTGTGTGGTGTTTGATGTTCATGTTGTGTTTACATGACCACGAATTTCTCAGGAAACACCAGTAAAACTGTTCACAAAGGCATGGTAGAAAACTTACATGTACTTGAGACAAATAATCTATGATCCAGTAAATATCAAGCCTCATTTCAAAATGAGTCATTGTGTGTACACATTATCAGTGTCACCCTCACATGTAGTTGTGACAAAGCAGATGGTAAACTTTCTTCTAGACTTTCTTGTAACAGGTGTCTAACGTACACATTTGACTTTCTTCTAACCTGTGTCTAACATAGACATTTGACTTTCTTCTAATCTGTGTCTAACATACACATTTGACTTTCTTCTAACCTGTGTCTAACATAGACATTTCACTATTTCTTCTAACCTGTGTCTAACATAGACATTTGACTTTCTTCTAACAGGTGTCTAACATAGAAGGTGTTCTGTCACCTGGCCACTACCAGACACCACCCGGTCTGAACCGCCTCTCAACCGGGTCGGCAGACGGGGATTGGAACAGACCACTAAGTGTGGAGGTGAGACAAGGATGAAAAATTACTGTAATTCCTGATTTTTTCACAGTGCTTTGCCACCAGTGAAATTTTGGTACCCTGAACATAAAGTGAATTACAGTATGTAAATGGTGTGTGCATAGGCATTCTGGGGAGAAACCCCTCCCCATGGGCCATAAACAAATCTTGCTTCAGACACAGCAATAATGAAACTTGCTGCCTTCTCTGCCACATGTCACCATACATGTAGGGAGGCCTTTATTTTGGTGAATAGACAAGCAATCAACAGACAGCTGACATTAATGCTCAACAAATCACAAACGAACATGATGATATACATGTACATCAGACTTTCTACACATACATGTATATGTTGATCTGCTCAGTTCAAGCTCCTTTGCTCCTTTTTAGTGAATAGCAATCAACACAGAGCTGACATAATGTGCAACAAATCACAAACGAACATGATGATGTATATCCCACTTTGTACATGTATGTCAAGCTGCTCAGTTCAAGCTCCTTTACTTGCTTGTTTACTACCAGGAGCGGGAGGCCATGGAGAGGTTGAAGGCTGAACATGCCCTGCAGATGCAGGAGCTGGAGAGAAGAATGATCCAGCAGAAACTGGAGGCACAGCAGCGGCAGTGTGAGGAGGACCAGAAGTGGCTGCAGAACGAGGAGGTGGCACTGGTAAGGAACTGACAAAATTCATTCTACATCTAGAATTACAATTTGATGTCTTGGCCAGATGACTAGAGCAGCCTACATGAACAGTTGATGAGAAAAACAGTCTGGAGGACATTATACACAAGTGTGCTAGACTCTAGTTGCATTTTATGTTAGATAATAGATATACATGTAAATTAAATAGTTGTAGGATTATTTGAAATGTATTATTTGAAACTTTGTAATGATAGTAATTCAAATCCAGCAAGACCAAAAACTGTTTGGAGACAAACATGTACATGTTGTATGTTGTAACTGATCTTCTTTGGGTTACATGCAATTTTCCTGGGAACAGCATTTTGCGAGTGTAACTGTCCTGTTCAATGGTGCCTTGCCATACATTTACCTTCCATGTCTTTTCCTTCCGTTTTCATGTTAAATGCTTGATGCTGTGTTTCACTTCCCCTGTTTTTGTGTTGTTCTGTTGCTTTCTGTGCTGTATTGTGTTGCCTGTGTGCCAGTCTCCTCTGTATGGGATAAAGAAGGTCAGATTTTGTTTAAGTAAAAGTCTGCATCCTTCCCTTAGGAATATCCCCAAGTAAGAATCAAACCTTTTTCCCCAACTCCTGCATTTTGTGCCATCATTTACCCATCCCCAATTTTATTTTTTCGGGGTTGGAGCTGCTAAGCAAATTTGCCGTGTTACAATTGTGGGTTTCTGGATGTTTGTTCTTCAGTGTCTTGAGTGAGTGTGTGTGTGTGTTTGTGTGTGTAAGTGCGTGTGTTTGTGTGTGCGTGCATGTGTGTGTGCAAATGTGTGTGTGCACATGTGTGTGTGTGTGCGCGCGCGCGTGTGTGTGTGTGTGCGTGCATGTGTGACATGTGTCTGTAAACTCACTGTGAAACTCACCTGTCTCTCTGGCTTGTGTTCTCTTGCAGAACCCCATCATCTCCCCAAAGCTGGAGGTAAAGCCATGCCAACTGTGTTGCACGTTGTTATCGTGTTTGTGATACATGTATATATAGTTGGTGCTGGTGATTGGTTCACCCCTCTAATCAATGTTACATTCACAGTGTACAGTCAAACCTGCCTAAGGTGTCTTCACAACAAACTGAGTAAAAGTGGTCCCTATGGACTAGTGATCTCAGTTGATACACATACATGTACATGTGCATGTAGGTTACTGTCAGATCAAGGGTGAGAGAAAAAGCAGTCACCTTGGTGGTTGCCTTACCAGATTTGACTGTACATGTACAAAATGTACCTCACCGTGTTTATGACACAGCCTAAAACCAAAGTGGCACAATGTAAATATCTGGTAAACATGGTCTAATGTTGGTCATCTCTCCTGATCTACATGTATATGGTAACAAACTAGAAGATGTCAAGATGAATGAAGCACCAATCCAGGTTGCTATTTCCTGTGTTTTCACTCAGATTTGATAAAGAAAGACCATGTTGATGACTTCTTAAAGAAGAAAAAGAGTGTTTCAGGAATCTTTACAGTGCCACAATGGTTATAAGCTACATTCCCTTTCATTTAACACCATAAGTTTGTTTTGTTCTAGGTATCATGTGTTCGTCAGACCCTCAATCCAGTTCTTTAACTGGAGCATGTGTTTTTTCAAACCTTCTTTTCTTGTAACATATTCACCCAAAGCAAGCTCTTTCCATTGTACTGCTGTAGTAGTCTTAGTACCCATCTTTTCACAAGGTCATAGTGACAAACATTGGATTAGCCTGGGGGGTATCACGATGAGAAACAAACAAACAAAAAAACTCATAATGACCTGATCCATGATTTCTGTGGATCAATCCAGTACTGTAATAGGGGTACTGAGAAAACATGAAGCAGTACATGTACATGTGGAAAGGGTATCCAGCACCATCTCTCTTGTGCATGTGTTTGTTGATGTATGTATTTGACGATCGTGCACGTACAACTCAGTTGTGACATTTTTGGTGGTGGCATTAATCAATTTAATGCAGCACTTCTGAATAACTTAATGGCTTCTGAAAGTGTGTTGATTTACTATGGATGTACAATGTAAGTGAATGTAAGAATGTAAGTGAATCAAGTTTAAGAGTCATATTAAGTTTCTATTAAGAGCACTTTTGAAGGAATCCTACTTCTTGATACATACCTTAGAGCTGTGTTGTGCACTTACGATCTTGACTTTGTGAAAAAATTTGAAATGCCAAGAGTTTACAAACACTTGAATACTGATCTAGAATATATGTTTCTTGATTTTTTAGCGTCCAGAGCAGATGCCAGGTCCACCCAATGAAGTCGAAGGCAGCCAGACAGATGGCAACATGCCGGACAGATCCTCCTCACCTGTAAGTTTTTCAACGGTCCCTCCACAACCATGGTTTCTTGTTAGGGTTTATTGTGGTCTCCATACTTTATGGTCGACGTTAAGTGTTCTACATTCATAATATTTGTAACCATAGTTGTAAGTGGAAATGTTTAACCTTTCTTAACTTGAACAACTGAAGAACATAATATTTTCTTGTACTTGAAATGGAAAATGTTCATCTACTTTACTCTTTGCACCTAGTCTCCCTTTTAGTACAGTTAGATACATGTAGTACCTGCACTATCTTTGTTTTGTCTACTTGTATGTTGACTTGATTCTTGCATTGTGGTGACTTAACATGCTATTCCATCTGCAGCATTAATGCATTAAGTTAGTCATACTACGTGTAGTAACTATAGAAGCTTCCTCTAATCTGCATTGTTATGCATAGTAATTACTGTAATGTGCTGACATTATGTATTGTGTGCTGAAAGTAGACCATGTAGAAGCATGCTGTGTAGAAGTTGTCATCTTATCCAAATTACTTTCATTTGTGCTAATTTTACATAATGAATTGCACTAGTATGCTTTGTTTAACATTCATCGCTACAGGTGTGTACAGTTCTAACAGTTACATCTCAAGCCTGAATGCGGTTATGCTGTATATGTGGTGTTTGCTGTAGAACCTTTAGCTTTGTAGGTTGCATTTAACGCCTGCCCAAACTAATATCCTCTTGCACTCTTCCCTGATTACCCACTCTGTACTACCCAAAGGCATATGCAGACATAAGGAAGGTAAGTCAAGTAAAAGAGCATTAAAATTTAAAATGTTATGACAGTACAACTCTAGTGTCTTGATAAGGATGTTGCTGTTTGTAACAGACCCAGCCATTCTGCTGGTTTTGAGATTACACAATGTAGATTATGTTGTAAAAATAACTGCTTGAGTAAAAGTTTGGTGTGGTCAGACAATTTTCTAGTTGTAGCATGTTTTATGCCTTGTCATACTGTGTGGTATAAGGAGATTTTTGTTGTATTTGTGTGTCCATGATCTAGATGTTTGTGTCAGTGGTCATATTTATTCCCCAGAAAAATGTACTCAATCTTGTTGTAGGTGCCATCTATGAAAAGTATGATTATAACCTTTTCATAAATTATTCAACCAGCAAAACATACCATCATGTATGTGAGAGACAATTAATTTTGATATTCATGTGGCAAGACACCCATCAGCCCAACCTGCTTTTAGTTAATCTCCGTCCATTTCTTTCATATTCCAGAGGCCTCTCCCTGAGCTGCCATCCTACCAGCAGAACCCTCAAGAACCAAATAGCAATGAGCCACCTCCAAAACCTGCAAGTAAGAAAATCGTCAAGCTAAATAGTCTGTATACATTGCTGTGATGAGTGGATTGGCCACTATACATGTCCAAATGTACATGTACATGTACATGTGTATGTAATTCTTATTTGATCGCCTGCCAGAGATAATCACCTACATTGTATCCCTGAGGTTTTTTTTGTAAAGACATGTTTTCTTCCTAACTTTCAGGACCAGGCCTTCCCCTAAGCCCCAGGACCAGTAATGCTGCTGACTTGTCATCACAGAGTCCTCCTCCTACAACCCCACCAGTAAGTACTACACTGAGCCTCGTGTGACACAGTGTATTGCTGTTGCAATTTCAGGAAAAAAGGCAGCTAACAACACTAACTTCTTTAAACACATTGATTGCTACTGTAATGATGTCCAATAGATAATGTTAGCCTGGAATCTATCTGTGAATGCTGTGCGTCTGCTCCATTACGCAGACACACAGCATTCCCAGATCAATTCCGGGGTAAGATAATGTTACAAAGGTTTGTGGAGGAGTTTACATTATTTGCTGGGAATTGCCTTATTAATACATTGTCTGTCGCTCCCCCAGGCTGAAGCAGCCCCTGCCCCCACCATGGACCTGGACAGGACCAACGACCACGTGTTTGACAACACGACCGGCGTGGTGCGGGCCGTGATGGAGATGTCCAACAAGCTGCAGTACGCCAAGGCTGACCAGTACGTCGTCTTGGTCAAGGTCAGTCTTGTACCGTCCTCAGTGTGTCTGTGAACCTTCGAATTCCTTGCCATGTTCTCTCTTTCATCCTCTGTAGTCAGCTTTCATGTACTTTTGATCTGAGATTAACCTTCCTATTACGTTTTGGGACAATTCTGGTATAATTCTGCTAATAGTGATAGAGGACTAAGATACTCAAGATCTTGTATATGGTCTTGAAGATGATATGTACATTTTTATATAGAATGTACAATATATCCTCTTTACATAACCATACATGTATGTGTATATAGCTAACATTGTGAGGAGGATCACATTATGAAAAATTTTCTCAGCGAGCACAGCCAAAGATGTGATAACTTGCGTGCTCCAATGTTATTGATTATTGAGAAGTTGTTACTCTGTCCCTGCAGGAAGTTGGTCTGGCCCTGAAGAGTCTCCTGACCAGTGTGGACGAGGTGACAGCCAGGATCCCCTCAGATCTACACAGGGAGGTCAGTCAAACTTATACATGTATATGTACACCCAAATGTAGTCTTGTAGCATTTGTGAGGATATGCTGTTAGAATTTTGTGACTTGAACCACTTACTTCTTGTGATCAACAGGTACATTTGTATAGGTGGGTGACAACTCACTCACACACACTCACTATCTGGTTTATCATCTGTCTTTCCTTGGTTTTCAAGGGTTAGACGGTCTTGCACAGCAATACTGGGGCTTGATGTTAGCCACCACTTGCCTCTATCCTGTGGGTTGACGTTATGTAGGTTCAAGTGGTGGAAGTCCTCCCTTACATAGTCAAACCTTTTCTTCTGAGCATTTTTATTTTGTAATGTTGCGATGTGATTTTGTATGACACATTGCCTCCCTTGTGTGTGTACAGATTGAGATGGCCCACAAGGTGCTGAGTTCAGACATGGCAAACCTGATTGAGAAGATGAAGCTGGCCCAGAAGTACAGCAACACGACGCTGGACCAGGAGTACAAGAAGGGCATGCTGCAGTCGGGACACATCCTCGCCATGGACGCCAAGAACCTGCTGGACGCCGTCGACAGTGCACGAATCAAATCACACCAGATCAACCAATCATGACACACCAGGACAGGGTTATAGGTCGTGTAGAATTCCATGTACATGTAGAGGTCAGCCTGTTGGCAGAACGTAATGCGCCTGCGCGAAACCCTGATTTTTCACGGTTTTCGTTGGATGTTTGGTCCAACGTTGTATCAGAACTTTGCCTGTTGCAGTCGATATCTTTCCAACAGAACATTTGGAAACTAGATATGATGTTTACCTTATAATGTGCAAATACGAGCTTACATGAGACGTTCTGCCAAAGTGCTATGCACAATACATTACAGGTTTCGTGCAGGTGCAGTACTTTCTGCCTATGTGCTGTAGAGATCATATAAACATTAAGGTGAGAAATTGATAGAATTAATGTTTCTTCATTACTGCAGGTTTAATGATTTGGGTTGCTTCTTCAATCTGACCTTTGCTAACAGAACAATGATGACTGTGTAAGATTCTATTCTATGTACTACTTACATGTACATGTGCAAGTATAAATGAACAAACTTAAACTAAAAAAGGTGTCTTGTTTACTACATGTAGGTTTATTTACTGTGTTTATGTAAAGTGATATATATGTTGAATAATTGTTTCCCGTAATTTCTTATGGATACAGTGAGATGTGCCATTTGGACAAATTGATTTGGTAATTATTTGCCAACTAGGAAATTGGTCAAGCATGACTGATACGCTACTAGTGCTACCCGTGTTTTTATTACCAATGACAATCTTTATAAAGCTCTAGACTATAAATGTCTGTGTCATGCCAAGTTACTTGTAGCCAACAGTGCTATTGTGCCATACTTGTGTGTAAGATAAATTAATGCCATCAACTAGAAATGAATACAGCTATATGGTGGTACATGTATGTGTAGTATAGCTGTCAAATGCCTTCGTATGAATTTGTTTGACTATTAACAAGGTTATAACCATTCATGTTTAAATTTGTAGTAGAAAAAAAACTAGCCCTATCTTACTAGATATCAACTATTCGGAGGTTTAGAAAACAGCTGTAGGGTTGAAATTATGAACATCAAATAAGAAGAGATAACCACTATGTATATTTAAAAAAGGCCATGTACACCTGTACTAAGGGATACTCATTACAAATGCCACTCACATCCCGATATATTGGATCACTAAGTCTTGTGTTATTTTTATTCTGCTTTTCACAAATTTCTCACTAACACAACAGGATGTAGATAGTTCACTCTTACTAAACTAAACTTTCCACTTTTGTATGTCATAGGGAACAGAGTGTTATGTTGGTCATTATGGGGTACATATCATGATACATGTAATTAACAGACTTGTAAAAAATGAAGAAAAGCAGAAATGTCAAATATAGTACCCTGCTTAAGTACATGTAATTGTAATTACATGTTAACTTAAATTCTGTATTTATCTAAATATGCAACATATTCAGTGTCTTTACTTTGAAAGTTGTGACTGCTTTGTTCCTGGAGGGAAGACAATTACAGCCTTCTTAAGTGGATTCATGCTTAGTACATTTTGTATCTTGCACATTGCAACCTGCAATGTTATAAAAGGCAATAACAGGGTTTCTCTAAAAAAATAACCAATTTTGGCATCTAGTGTTTTACAATGATACCTCTTCATGTTTATACTGTTTTGAAAATCTTCTGTTATGGGTTCTCTATATTTTGGGTTATGTGTTTTGCACTGTGGCTTGTACATGTACCATTGTTTGGTCGAAGTGCAGTATTCCCTGCAATATAACCTTTATTTTCTTGTTTGTTGCACCCTTTTGAGGTGTAGGACATTGACTTGGTATTGTTGTTTCTTTTTATACCATAGAAATCAGATCAGTATAGACAAAATATGGTGTTTGTTGGGTAGTCATATCAATCCTTATTGTCTGTATTAGTACCATAGTCATTCCTCTTAACTGTTTGTTGGGGTTTAGTTGGTTTATTTTGTATGATATAAACATGTATGATTACAGGTTTTCTAATTGTGTATGCCAGGTGGACATCCTTAATCCATGTACAATGTATGTACCCAGAGATGTGTATAATGCGATATTATTTATCAATAAATGGGTTCTAATTTTCACCTTTGTTGAGTTTTTATTTTACACGAAGCCACTTTAGTTTTCAGCTTATGTCTGCTCTTGCCTGAAAATGGATGGACTCCAGGCAAGGTGGTACAAAAGCGCCTCCTGTTGGATCAGAACGGTACCTCAACCAAGGACCTGGCAGGGCCAAATCTTAAGGGCAGTGGACTACTTGGCTGTTGTATCAAAGAGGCAGAAACAAAATGATTGGTCTTTCTTTTTTAGTTTATTCTCATCTACCACAAGTACACACCGGATCCTCTTTTGCTACTTGTCCAGATATGATATACTCTTGAGAACATTTCATCCTTCCAACCTGATCAATCTCCACATTCCCATTACATTCATAATGCACAAATCATATTCTACATGTATTATAAGTTCTACATGAATTACAATGTGTCTTAACTACATATGCACTCGTGAAGTTAAATTTAAGGTTGAAACACGAACAGGGTCCTTCCAGTTTAAATCCTGATAATCCACACATAACGAGTGTCCACTGGTGCATTACATATAAACTCATTACAGAATTGAGTACACAGGTAAAGTAGTAAAGTAATCTGTGAAAAAGCCAGTACAAGGATTACAAGGTTACTCAGGAAAAGATAAGTACAATAGCACAAGGTCTGAAGGCCTTTGGTCTCTAGTTCACGAATACATCATTCATCCATGTGTACATCTAAATTGTGTTTCCCAACTCAGGCACAAGCGGCTTCATTTGTGCTTCTATCTGACAACCGGCTGTCCCGCAAGTACATGACTTTCTCGAGGATGCATGCATTTTTTAAAAGTAACATTTACTGTCCACGATTGCTTTGCCATTTGAAAGTTCTTTCATCATGTTAAGTTTGTAAAAGTTGCTTTGATTGAAGTTGTTATAGTTCATCAGTGGTCTTCTACATGCTGCATGTAGAACCAATATTCAGCTCCTGTATGGCACATTGTAAGCAACACAACTTAGAGATTCCTTGGTCTCCATCTGGAATGTGTTTAACACAAACTTCTATCTTGATGCAACCTGAAGTCTATGAATGTTATCAAACACTCAGACAAGTCATTAAATTGTAAAGAGATAAAAGAATAAGTAAACCAATACTCTGCTACATTGTTGATAAACCTTGACTGTTCATATATATTGTATATCAAGGTAAATGTATTTAAGACATATCAAACTGGGAAGTAAAGAAAGGAAAGAATAAATATCTTTGACATCTCAGCTCCAAGAGGTAAAACAACAGACAATTCAGGTCACATTTAGGTGTCCTGAAGTATCCTGTAAGTCAATCTGAAATATGTGTATACAGTGAGTCCATTATAATCTTGACAGTAACTGTTACATCGGCAATACTTGGATATACATGTAATATGCTATAAAAATAGTACTGAAACATTGCATGAGGGCAGTTGTTTGGAGAGAAGGTACATGACGGCAGACTTGGTTCAGCAGGATCAGACCCGCCCCAGGACCAGAGCGAGGAGCGCCATCCTGACGTACATGCCGCACTCAGCCTGGCGGAAGTACGCTGCACGCGGGTCTGTGTCCACCTCAGGACTGGGGAGCAAAAACAATGACATCAGCAAGCATTATAAGTCCTAACAGACAGACTAACTGCAGGTTACATGTACAGGAAGAGATTTTGATGGGCCTTATCTCCCATTGTACTTGCACCCAGAATATATTCTGGGTGCAAGTAAATCAAATTAAATCAAAAACCACCAAGCATGGGCTAAGCTTCTTTGTTAGCCACTTTTTTGCACTCTTAAAATCTTGTGCAGTACCTACTTGGGTGTACCCAATTTTTTTTATCAGCCTACAAGTAAAAAAGACTACAATGCTGCAGGAATGGAAACTATCCCAACTCCCTACGATATAACCAATCTTACCTGATTTCAAAGACCCTGGGTAGTGGGTGCATCAGAACCATCTTCTTCTTCGCCTTAGTCATGATGTGAGGTGTCACCACAAACTGGCCACAGCTCTGCACAAACATGTACACATACAAAATCATCAGAATGGTAAATCTACACCATTCCTATATACTCTTACTACTACTACACATAATCAGGAAGAAACTTGGACAAGATAATGACTGCGACTCTATTGAAAAGGATCTCTTTATACATTGTAACAGTCAACCAAAAGTCGGTGATGCTATATAGGTAGTCATAGGAAGGAACAAGGACAACACTCGTGACGTTATAAATACATTTAAGTTCTCCTAGTAATTACAATTCGCACGCATAAGCTTATTCACAACATACACGCATGAGTTTGTATAATGTCTGTACCTGTGGGTCATCTGCTATCAGTTTTGACTGCCTTGATGACCCTTGTATTAATATGTTGTCAGTTTCCAATAAAGTAAAGTAAAGTAAAGTATTTACCCTCTCGTACTCCTCAGGCGTGGCAAACCTTTCCTTCTGTATGCGGGTCATGTACAGCACGTCTGTCTCAGGAAGGGCGTCCTCCAGACTGCTGTAGGTGGACTGGGAAGGAATGAGGGGATTCAGTCTTTATACACACAGTCACTATCTGTCTTTACTCTTATAATATTATAAAAAAATATATATACATAAGTGGTAGATCAAAACATTTACTCAAAAGCAACAACTTAAATAACACTGTACAATGGTCTGTGTTGTTACCATGTGTTTATATTATTTGTGACACAGTTGTTATTTTATATTGTTGTATTATGTAATGGACCACTGGAAGAATAGCTGTTAAGCTAAATGTGGATCCAAATAAAGTCAAGTCAAGATCCCTTACATCAAAGCTTAATGGTGCATCCCTTTCATCCTATCTTCAATCTGGTCAGGAATGTTTCCAGGTCATGGTACATCAAAAGACTTGTGATGTTAGGAAACCCTTTTCTATAGTTACCTGTGGAATGCCGCGTGCAGAGACGTAGTCCACCACCTCCTGAGGCATCTCCAGACCCTTGGGGGCGACGTAGACCAGGTTGACCCTGTAGAGGGTCAGCAGCCTGGCCAGGGAGTGGACAGTCCGGCCGTGCTTCAGGTCTCCCACCATCGTCACCTGGAAAATAAACATTACTCCTGTCATTCCTACTGATAATGTCACAAGTTATTGTGATGCATATCAATCAATTGTATATACATATCAATCAATAGTTTGTACTTACAAACCTGTTTTGCGGACAACTTTCCAGTGTCGCTTTTCTTACAACTTTACAGTGTCACTGACGAAAGGTAGTGGATGCTACCTGAAACGTCTGACCTTTTCCAAAATCATATCCAGCTGCTTGAGCAACTGTTTTTTTGGCATATCTTATTTCCTGGATGTCTAACCCTTACCGACATAATGTCACAAGTTGTTTTTCTTCTTAACTTTCTCCTTCCAAACAGGACCATTTCTAGCCAATGTTACCTCCTTGGCTCACCTTGCTGACTACTCACAGCAACATCTATTAGATACTGTACTCGTGATACTCGTTGGAAGTTTCAGCTATTTAGTGAAAGTTTTTTCAAAAATACAAAGGAAAAGCCATCCATTTCTGTGCGTACATGTATACAACATCAATCCAGCAACAAAATGTAAGAATCTGGTAAGCAGAAACAGAAGTGTTTCCCACCGTCATGCCGTTGACCGTGCCGAGTTCCTCCCTGATGGTGAAGACGTCCAGCAGGGCCTGGGTCGGGTGTTCTCCCGTCCCGTCACCGGCGTTGATGATCGGCTTACGGCAGTTCCTGGACGCAACCTGCATCGGGGAGAACATGGTGTCAACAGTGGAAACACAGCTGTGGGGTCATGTGTAGCATAACGGCAGAGTGCTCGACTCGGAACCAAGAGGTCCCGGGTTCGAGTCCTGACATTTCATCGATCTTGTGCCCTTGCAAAAGGCACTTTGCACGACTTTCCTCACTTAATGCAAGTGAAAATGAATATTGTCCTGTCTTGTATTTGTCCTCTGCATTGGTGGCGTCATAAAATAACTTTATATACCTTGAGTGTGCCATCACCATGTCTAGTCATGAAACATTGAAATATAAAAAAAAAAACACAGCTCTTCATATTTTAGCACTTCGCACACTTTACCACCAGAAGTACAGAAGCAAGCATCAGAAAGTTGGAATTATCACGTACATTCAATGTACATCTAAAGACGACGTCTTGACTAACCTCCAGTGCTCCAGGCTTGGGGTGCCTGATGACCACCACGTCACTGTAGCCACACATCACCTGTACTGTGTCTGAGGGAAGGGACAACAGATGGTCAGTGATGCAGTCACAGGACCTCAGACTGTACTTCAGCAGGATCTCATGACAAATAGACTGTTACAATTACTAAAACTACATACCCCAGTATCTACAAGTGGGTATTGTAGACTGCAGGTAAGCCACAACATTTCTTAGTCCATCACACAGGCAAAACTGGTCATGTGACAGGCTGAATTAAAGTTCTAAACTAATACGGCTCCAGATATCTTACTGAGGGACGACTGCGCGTGCAAGATGTCGGTTAGCTTGAGGAATGAATTACCTCTACTATATACTTAGTCCAGGTATAATATTAAGCAAATGCTGCTAACAATTGCAAGTGAAAGAAAAGAAAGGAAGTGTTTTGAGGATAAAAGGCCTTAAACTGGATTAGAGAGAAAGAGAGAGTGTACAAAGCTGTCCATGTACCTGAGAGAGACTCTCCCTTCTGGTGGGAGGAGCTGCTCTCGTCCAGCTGGATGACCGTCCCGCCCAGACGCTGCATGGCGGCCAGGAAGGAGCTGCTGGTCCGCGTGCTGACCTCGTAGAACAGACTCGCCATCACCTTACCCTGGAACAACACGGGGTCACAGGATTATTTTACAACTGTTAATTTGTTATCGCTTTTTTTTTCACAGCTTACAGATAAAGGGACAAAGGTAAAAAGGGATGCCCTTTTCCACAGGCATAAATGCCTATTTCATTCTAAATAAATTTTTTTTGTAGTGAAACTGCTCTAACTAGCTGGTAGACTAATCGAGTGGCTTCCCACTGGGAATGTAGGGTGGGATGACAACATACTACACGTTTGTCAATGTTAGAGAAAGACACTGGTCTCTCAGGGACTGCCCTAGTGTCCGTCATGAGGGACAGGGTGTATTGGAGTAACTATATCAAGACAGTGCACCTCACCAGATAAATAATCCAAAGTCATGATGATGATGCTCTAATAATCCCTGGGTAATTGAATTCAAACTGACACACCATCCCGTCCCATCTTCACACCCATGCCATCCCCGTACCTTGAGCAGGCCGTCCAGTGGTCTGTCCTTCTGCACCATGGTCCGCATGTTGTGGGCCACGTTGAACAGGTGGTGCAGCTGTTCCTTGTTGAACCTGGGAGAAAATGGAATTGACAAGAAGGGCAAATTAAGAAGGACAGCTTACAGACAACTTTAAACAAAGCTGTGCCTTCTTCACTTTTACTCAAGACAACATCTTTTCAGTGTTCTGCAATATCAGACTAACATCTGTTGTCCCTTCCTGTTCACAATTTTGTTCTGCAATTCAGAAATGCTTTCTGCAAATACACACTTAAAAGTCCGGATCTAAACCCATGGCATATACAAAATTGCATGCTGGCAAACATTTTACATCCAATTCGAAAAATACATGCAAATTGTCTATTTATAGTCAGTATTGAAAACAAACTCTCTTAATCACCATTGAACCCCTACCCTGATTGCCTAATTTTTCTTCTGCAATACTGAAAATGTCTATGCAAAATGCAGACTGCAGATGTGTATTTCCACCACTGCTCAAGACAGTATGTTCTGGACACTTCTGCGTGAGCTAGTGCTTGCTGTTTTGCTACTGACCTTGTAGCTGTGAGGACGTGCAGGCCGACGAAGCCGTGAGTGGAGCTGCTGATGGGGAGGGGGATGGGCTGGGGGGTGCTGCCGACAGACGGGGGGGTCATGCTGATCCCACGCACACCCACGATCTGGTTCTCCGCCGAGGGAGGGGTGCCCTCTGATGGAAAAACACAGGGACGACATTAAGATATCAAACTCAGTGTTGTACATACATGTACATACACTGTATGCAGACTGTAACCTTGTAAGATTCTTTCACAAGCAACAGCACTTCATCCTTTGGTATGCTTAAGGCCATATCCATGGACCTTGGCACAAAACACGGTCCAGTAAATACATGTTAGCAGGATACAAGACATGCCTGATGCCTGAAGGAAAAATGCCGTAAGGCAAGTGTCAGTCAGCAACAGGATCAAATGGTGCTTTGTCAATGGTAATCTAACAAGGTTTCCTATCTGTAGTTAAATCTCTACAGAGAACAGAGCTGCTTAGGACTGTCCTGGGAGGGCAGTTGACTGAAGGTTAGCGAGTGACAGTGAAAAGCTGGTATGGGAAGGGACATAGTACAGGTAAGACATTGTGTACTTCACACAAAGTCAAGGCCACACTTCACATCCATGCACCACACAGATCAGTATTAGTAAAGATTACATATACATTAACCCTAAGTATCTCTTCAACTCTGGGCATGCTGGAGGGATGTCGTGCAAAGAACATAGGACAGCTTGGTTCCTCTCAGTATCCAAGCACAAATCATCGCTTAGCCATCCTCTCCCTTTCACTCACCACTTTTCATAGAGCTCTCAGACAGATGGCGAATTCTCTCACCACCTTTCATCGAGCTCTCGGATAGATGGCGTATTCGCTCTCGAATGGCGGGAATGGTAGGGGCATTCAGGCGGTCCACAGCAGGGAAGGGTAGCACATCGTCTGTGCCACACAGGCCCACAAGAAGGAAATAAAGTATAGCAACAGGACAGAGGACGCATCGAAGAAAATAAAAAAAGTAGGGATACAGGCAAAGAGTACTGCAAACCAAGAGGTACATGTACTATGCAATTGCAAAAGATCAAGGGGAAAGAGTACATCAAAGAAAGAAAGAATCAATCATAACGACATAAAATTTTTTGAGTTCATTTAAACCAAACTGCACTTTCTGTTACTCCCACAAGGGGGCGCACCACACACAGTTTACTCACCTGTGTGCATCTCCCGCTCAGACATCCTGCGAACCCGCGGGGGGAGCTGGAACTGCTCACGTTGCGGCTGGACCTTGCGAGGGCTGGGGGGAGCAGACAGGATGGTGGGTGGGGCTGGCTCTCCCCCAGCGATGTGTGGCACAGGCACTGGTACTGGCTGTGATGTGGGGAAAATAACAGCCAACAAACCCTTGTTAGTCATGATGTTCCACGACTGAAAAAACACACTCAACATTTTATTCAGTTATGCTTCCATTTCTGACAATGGTTTGGGTATTGTAGCTGTTGACACTGTAAACTTCAAAGTTACACTGTCTTAAGTTATGCAGAAGCCATCATCAAAATGGATCAGAGCACATTTTGTAAGACTTGAAGCTTGTAAGTCTTCTGACCAGTAAAGAAGTGTAGCTGACAGAAAAACACAGTAACTTATGCACAATATCCACATCACAGGTGAGACTTAGGAGCCTGGAAAAGAAAAAAATCAACCTGGTTTGCTGTAAGATTGACAAGATTGGAGTCTGCGTGTGGGACCAGCTTTTCTGTCCCAGCGACTCCCTTCACATCTTTCTAAAAATAAAAAACAAAAAAAAATGCAAAAATGACATGTAAGTGGGCTCTGACAAGAAGCTTGTGTAATAAAGCTGGAAAACAGTGTTACAAGGTCTTTTTTTCAACCACTGTGCTTTTACTGGAATCCTTCCAAGTCGCTTCTTGCCTCATTTTATGCATTTTCATGTTTTGACTGAGTAAAAAGAAATAAAAGATTTTGAAAAAAGCAAATCAGACAAGAAATAGCCAGTTTCATCTCATAGCCCTGCCTGATGGTCAGTGATGTGCTCTTAAAGTGTTCTGCCAGCGCGTGTTGCTACTGAATGCAGTTTCTGTGTGCTGAAACAATGTGCAATGAACAATTCACAGCAAACCTACATGTGTATCCATTGTGGATTACCGTTTCATACAGAAGCATTTCAAACTGTAAGCGAGAGCCATGCAAAGCAGCTACACCTGAGAAATCAACATAATGATTTTATTTAGGAAGGTGAGAAAAGGAAACATTGTCACATCTAAGTCATCATCATCTTATCTCCAAGCAGATCCCTTTCGTTGGCAAGACAGTATCCATTAGCCAGAGGAGTTTGTATGGTGGCTAATGGACACTCCTCTGGCCAATGGACACTGCCTTCAGTGCCTTGCCACCGTATGATCTGCTTGGAGATTAATCATCACCATCTCAGGGTGAAAGTTAAGTCTTGAAGGAGAAGAATGCAGATAACAGTGTTCTCTCACCTTCGGGGCAGGAGCTGTGGGCTTGGCGAACACGACTGCATCAGCCTGCGAGCGCACGTCCTGGCCAAACCCTGGAGGTACTAACACCTGGGGTGAGGGGTACAGAGGACTGGCATTAGTCAAGAACCATTTTAAATAATAAACTAATCTGTGGTCCATTCACATATATTATTCTAGTATGATGAGGATGCGTGAGAGGTACAGAGGACCAGCATTACTCAAGAACCATTGAAATATACCATGACCCACTGACAGTTACTAGTATATCATTCAGTATGAAGAGGATGATTTAGTGACTTCCTTGAAGATTTCTATCATGCCTTGTTCAATTCAGTAGAAATTATGACAGCTAGATAGTATATCTTATGGCATCCAAGTTAACTAAAGGTGGTTCAATTACTTCAATACTTTAAACATTTCCCCACCTGTCCATCAACATAGGTAACTATCATGTACTACCCCTTTCCTTGGTGCTGAAAGACCATCCCACATATATACTTGAAAACATTCCCCACCTGTCCGTCCACGTAGGCCACCTCCCCTCGCACCACCACCCTCCGGATCGCCCCGCGGACCTTCATCCCAGCGAAGGGCGTCCACTTGGACTTGGTGAACTTCATGTACTTGGGGATGGTCCACTCCGAGTCCAGGTCCACCTCGATGTAGGTGTCCTTCTGCTCAGGGAGGTTGAAGATCCGCCGGGGATTGTGGTACAGTTTGGCAATCAGGTCCTAGTGGAAGGGAGTAAACATTGTTAGGGAAAAACGAAAAATGGAAATCCTTAGAAACCAAAAAAAATAAAAGTGAAGACACAGAGATACAGATTACACATTATTTTCCTGAAAACATTGACTGTTATTTTCTTGAAAACATTAAATGTGTCCAACACAATTTCTGTATCTGTATTGGTATAGCCAGTATATACTATAACCCTTTGTCGTAACACACCAGCTTCGCAGGCACATGGCATGGTGGCAGCTAGCTACAATACACCGAACAACTTGTTACACTCAATCTTTGCAGGAGTTACCTTCATTTAATTGCAGGAGTTTGAAAGTGATGAGACACTGTTGGACAACTTCAAGCAGCCTTGAACAAAACATGTACAATACATGTACAAAACCTCACAAAGAGACAAGACAATAAGACTTACTTCCATGGTGATTCGGCCATCAGTCACAGCAGTCAGCAGGAGCGGCAGCATAGTCTCCAGTCCAGGGTAGCCGGGAGGAGGCTTGGGGCCCTCCTTCTCCTCAACACTGTGGGGAGCTTCAGGGGAACACAAGGTCAACTTCAGACAACGGAACACTTTTCTACATATGAACCACAGTGATACACATGAAGCTGAATTTTGCATCCTGATAATTTCCAGAGTTGTCAATACAATGTCTATTTTGCTTGGGTTTATTCCATGTGTTTTGTTGATTGAGTCATTCTCTTCTTATTGACATTCATTTGTGGCATTCAAGAGACAAAAAACGTACCATGGTCAGTTGCAAAGCAGTCGATGATGTCCATGTTTTCCCACAATGCATCTTGGTCCTCCTTGGTCTGGATGGGGGGCTTGACCTGACCCCTGGCGTGACCTATGGCCTCCAGGTCATCCTGGGTCAGGAACAGGTGGTGGGGCGCAACCTCGCAGGTCACCTGCATCCCTCGGTCCTTGGCTTGGCGGATCACCATGATCTGTTCACATGGACAGGACATGCGACAGTTAACATACCGGTAGTACAAAAAATTTTAAGGCTCTTGGTGGCAAATGTGCAGATGTTGGCACATTGGCGCACAAAATCCGTAGTGTTTTTGGCAGATTAAACAGATAAACGATTAGCCCAAGAGGCTCAATAGGTGTCACTCCACCGTCAGGGGAAGGAAGATAGTGTAAAGTGCCTTTCCCAAGGGAACAATGTCGGGGCATGGTTAGTATCAAACACGGGACCTATTGATTCCGAGTCCAACACTCTAACCACCAATGCCACCATAGTCACCACAGACAGTAAAGACAAAGAAATCTACACTATTAAGGTGGTCCAGAAGGATAGCTGAGGCATATTTAGAAATACTACGAACTCTATCTGATATGGTAGTCTTTTGGGTCTATTTTTATAATTTTCTTTCGTCTTGTCACTATGGCCACATTTTGGCCGCCAAATTGACCGCCAAATTGTGCATTTTTTTCACGCTCCAGCCAGGCCCCAGTGGGGGTGTGCACATTATTTTTAAAAGCTACTCCGCCGCTCGACCAATCAGGCTCGCTGGTCATTACGTAAACTGAGAGCTTCACTTTCATAATTTTTGGGAAGGGAAAAGACACTGGAAAAGAGAGTTTTACTGAGCGTTTGATGTCAGTTGTTTGCAAAACGTTTTGGGTAAAAACCTGCCAAATGCAAAGAATAATAATTTTCTGAAAACACAAGCCGTTTCCATTGTTTATCACACTTCGTATCGGCAAAATGTTGTCAAGTTGCAACACACAACCAGAGATAAGCAGCCACACAAATCACCAAAAACGCCAGAAATAATCTGACAACTTCCAATATAAAAACATTCGACTGCCAAAAGAAACGAAGCTGTCTGCTTTGAGCCACAAGTTAGATCTTGGTTTAGTTATGAGCGGCCTGGCGAACCGGGTCACTGCATGCATACTAGTAAAGAGCCGCGCTTGGTAGTTCATACTCGGCCGTCATTATGCGGCGTTATCCTTTGTGTTCTTTCATGATTTTCACAGACAACTCATTAAGTAATTTTCTACCGAATAAAAACGCGTCTCTACCTGTGCACTGTCTTATTATTCTGAGTTTGTATCGACTGCAACACGTTTGTAACTACTAAACGTTAACGTTACGTTCTAGTGAACAGACATGATAAGAACTACGAGTAATTTTTATAAAATCTACGTTTTTATTAAAAAATACGACACTTACAAACTTCAGCAGAATTTTTACATAATCTTACGGTAACTGCTAACAATAATCTTTTACGATTTACAGCATAAAGCAAATAGTAGCCGCTTACAAAAAAAATCAGTTCCAACAGATTTACAGAGATAGTCCGTACTTTTCAGATAGAACATAGAACGTCGTGCGTGAAAATTATTTCCACAAGTCTAGGACAACGTGCAACGTAAATTCACGTAATCAACAAAATTATACTCGCTCATAATCTCATACCACGTCCGGGCAAGCTTTTTTCCAGGGCTATCTACTCCGGTATCGCGCGATAACTTTTCAGTGTTGTGACCTTGCTGATCGTCAATCTCCTCTGGGGGTAGGCCTAAAAAACAAGTCCGTAACTCCAGAATACCCCGGCAGATTTTCTCCAATAAGGTCTCAGAATAGTCCATAAACCTTCATCTGCAAATCTACGTAGGATACGGCCGTGAAAAAGATCGTCTACCGGCCCAAATGCTGGCGCAAAGCGCACAGCTTTCTCCGCTCGTAAACAAGCCACGCCATCCGCCATTTTGGGTGAGTCACGTGACCCCTACTCGCGCGAAATCTTAGCGTTCTTTTTGGCTGTTCTTTTTACTGGACATATCCCCGGCCTGTTTTTCCAAATAGCGCCGCAGTAAGCTAAATACAGCGTGCTGACAGGCCAATGACCCATTTTTCGGTGGGAGGGATGGGCGCCCTTGGAATGGCGACAAAAATTGGCGATTTCGGCTCTTTCGGGCTTCAAAATGGACATTATGTAACCCCTACGACATATACAGCATTTTAAGAATGAAACTGTGGAAAAAATGTTCATGGAAAGAGACAAAAAGGTGGTATTTTTTGAAAGATAAGCTTATAAACTAAAATCGTATGCGAGGCCGACACACTGCGCCGCTTTATATGTTGGGGAGGGGTGCTGGCGCATGGCACTGTTGACATTTACGAAAAAAATTCATAAAAAATCAACACTTTGAGATATTAAAAAATGCTCGCATACGTTTGTTCCTATTACTAGTGTGTGCCTTTCAACAAAATATGGTGAATAAAAACCAAAGCACTGGCCAGAAAAATTGATTTTTCTAAAAAGGGGGCGTGGCTCATAACTAGAGATGACGTCATGATTACGTCATCAAAATTTGCATAAATTATCATCTTGCACTAAGGTACTCACACAAAAAAAATCAATGACCATAGGTAATCCTAAGTAGTATTTTTAGGATGTCCCCAAAGTCCTCAGCCACCCTTCCATACCACCTTAAACAACATCAACCTTTCACACTTGCTATCCCAGTGTTATACTTTTGAAAAGAAAACTTAAAACTGGTTCCCTGCCCACCTCTTCCCTCTTGGCCACATGAGCGATGTGGATGGACCTCTTGTAGAACTCGGCCATGAGGATGGCAGCGGCCATGGTCTGGCCCTCGGCGTGGCACACGATGGGCAGGTGCTTCGGCCACTTCTCAAAGTGCTGCAGGAGGACAGCAAGAAAATAAGACAGGTGTCATCAGGTGGCAGGTATTGATAAGAAATACAGTAGTCAGTGATGAAATTCCCATATAAGAAAATTATGTATTTTCTTCAAGTTTACTTACTTTAGAGAAATATCTTCCATCAAATATTTGAATATCAATAAATTATATATCAACTTATGGACGATGCTGGTTTAACTGTTCAACCAGGACATGTCTGGTGCAACTACATGTATGTTACCATGACGTATCAAGGTATCATGACGTATTATGTAATTGTAAACTCTGCATCAAGTCAGTGCTATAAAAGGCTGCGATTGCACAGGTAATGTTTGACCAATAAACCATTTATTATCATTATGAAAGGACAGGTTTTCATGATGTCATAAATGTGCAAAGTGAAGTGCAGCCGTACCTGCATCCACTGTGTGATGTCATCCAGCCTGAGGGGTCCGAATGTCTGGTTCAGGTACATCTTCATGGCAATGGCGGAGTTTCCCAACGGAGGCAGCAGGTCGGCGTTGTCTGTTCCCGCTCCAACGTACAGACCGTAGTCACACCTGGCATTCAGTCGGGCAAGCTGGGGGATTCAAACAGAGATGAAGCAGCAGAAACACAAAACACAACTGGTTCAATCACGCATGTCGTGGAAATCAGGGTTATTTGGGTGGTGATTTGTTTTTACAAAACTACATGATGCAGATTTAAAACCATTAAGGTTTGTCACTCTAAATTCAGCAAGACATGGCAATTAAAAAAAATACTTAACTCTAAACCTTATCACATGTGCTCAACAGCAAGAAAATTATTGTTATAATTCTAAAGTTACAAAGATAAAAGCTGATTAGATTGTTTAAAATGATCTGTGTCTTCCTGGATAAAAGGTAATAGTTATCATTGTGATAGGAAAGTTTCGTTGAACCTTTTGTGTGAGAGCGAGAGAAGCCTGGTCTGTGGTTGGTGGTGAAGTGTTGGGCATGCAGAGGATCATGGTTACTCCGCCAGCCAGGGCCGCGGCCGTGCACGAGGAGAAGTCCTCCTTGTGAGTCGCGCCTGGCTCCCTCACGTGGACATGGACGTCAATCAGACCTGCAGGTACAGATTATAACAGTGCATCAAGTAAAAGGCTGTTGTAAAAAATGTTCTCATTCCAATGAAACTGGAAACCTCCATCTAAATGAAGATCCATCACCCTTCACTGAACCGCAACCTTTGAAACAGTGTTGACGTCAAACTTAGAAGCCACGTGACAAGCCTCACTGGGTCAGTCTACTGAGGAAGACCAGAGTGACTGGTTGAAAGCTCTAGGTGAGAGAACTTTATTGTGTTGGATCTAAAGTTTTAACTTTTAACACGTAACTACCAACCCCGATGAACTTTCATGATAGTAGAGGATCCATACCTGGTAGCTTGACCAGCTTCTGGGAGGTCATACAGTCAATGTGTGTCTTCATTTGAGGCTTTCCACCGACCTTACGCAGAGCCTGTGTACAAAGAAAAAAATATTCATGGTTACAGTCCTTCGTCTATACTCAATATATATACAAAATGTAAGCCAAGTTTAGAAGATTGCTTCTGTCAAAATGAGAGTACTTAAAACCCTTGTCCTGCAGAGCCCATACATATATGGGTTGCATATACAGTACCATCTATATTGCGCTCTGTATGTACGATTTGGAGGTATTTCTCATGCAACGCATCACACCACAGCAAACGCAACAAATGCATTACATCACAACAGGGAAAAAAAGCCAAGGGTCCATGACCTGATTAAGACATCAAATAATTTGAAAATATTGTGTAAAAATGCCAGCAGGACAAGGGTTAAGACTATACTTTATGACATAAGTCTGCTATTGGCATTTATTTTTTTATTGCTGTACCTCCACAAACATCTTGGCACACTTGACGTCGGTGATAAGCGGCACGGAGAAGTCGACAGCCATGCGCCGCGTGCGGTAGCCCTGTGTGACGAAGGACGACACACGGCGATACCCGCCGCTCCTCATGGGAAGGTTGATGACCAGGTCAAACATGTTCTCGGCCAGGTAGTCAGCGATGTTGGGCTCCTTCTCACCCTTGGCACTGAGAGTGTTGCCTCCTTCTCCATCTTCAAATGGCCATTCGATGGGAGTGATCTGTGCATGGCAAAAACATTCGGTGAAGAATACATGTGTGAACCTCTTTGTTTTTACCTTCTATCTATGGAAGTGGTTCTTTTAACACAACCAGAGATTACTACTAGCAACTGGTCAGGTTTGGTTTTGTACTTTCCATGTGTAAGGATAGAAAAGTGAAGACACTAACCTGTATGCCATGTTCGCTGTAGAAGTCAGCAGTACCCATGCTGGCGAACAGCTTGTACTTCAGGTTCTCCAGGGTCCGCACGGCAGGCAGGAGCTCGTTCTTGTTCTGAAATGCAGTTTTGGAACACCATGTTTATACCACAATGAAAATTACTTTCTTAGTACACTCTGTGCAAAACATTAATGGTTGGCATCCTGTTTAAGATCTACATTTGTTATGAATGATGAATCTTTTCACCACAAAAACAAGTCACCCATTACAAAAGGAATCTAAAGGTTATCAGTAAAAATGTAACCGATAATAATTTCATTAGGTTGGTAGAGTATAGGATATAGGGGTTTTCTTTCACATAACCCAACTATTCCTTGCTTACGTTTTGATGTCTATCAGACACCTTCTTCAGCCCCTACATCCAGTAAAAAGTTTGTACCTTGTAGCTGCCGATGGACAGCAGGATGTTCTTGCGGGGGATGCGGAAGCCGGTGCTCAGCATGGCCTTCAGGTACGCGGAGTAGCGGTTCTCGCCGAAGCACGCCACCTCGCCCGTACTCGCCATCTCCACGCCAAGCAGGGCGTCAGCACCGGCCAGCCGCGAGAACGAGAACTGTGGAACCTACAACACAACACACACAACATCAGTTACCGGGAGGCACAGGTCACAAACATTTGGTAGGTATTAAAAGGCATAGCAGGAAGTAAAGAATAAAATACCTGGACATTATTACATTATTACTGTAGTACAGTCAAACCTGTACTAGCGGTCACCTTTGTATAGTGGTCACTCGGCCATAGCGGTCAGTTTTTGCCGGTCCCTTGAATTTTTCCCATTGACGTAAGCATTAAGAATCGTGTCTATAGCGGTCACTGTTCAACGCGGTCAGCGGTCACCCCATTCCGGTCCCGCCGGCATGTCAACACCGCCGATAGCGGTCGCGGCTGACCGTAACCCACTAAGCACCACGGCCATAACACCACCCCACCTCGGGCTACGACCGTTATGAGCCTTGTGATAATTTTCCGATCGCTACATTACTAAAATGTGAACTGAAAATTAGACTCCATATGTGTATGAAATAAAGGAAAACTGACTTTTGACACGAAGTTTCTGCGGTCGCGGGTGTCTTTGATATCTGCGTTTTCGCCAACACAGACCAGTGCCGTGCGTGCCGCATGGAGCTTTCAATGGACTCGGCCGCTCGGCGAAGATTACGGCAAATTATCTTTACAAAAAAACTTAAGAATATCCATATTTGGTTTCTCGATTCCTTGAAATGCGTAGATATGTGCATAGCTTCCGTTTTTCATGGGCATAATTAAAGAAATTTGGCTCGAAAATGCGTTTCGTATTTTTCCAAGATGGCGCATGTTGGCTGCAGAGGGAGGTCAATTGGGGTCATCGGAAGACTCCACTGGTATGGAGGTAGATACACCGAGTTTTATTTAACTTCATTAGCGTCAAATGACGTAATTACATTATGAAAACATTTGAAATACATTACTACAATTAATATTAGATGTAAATTTAACACTGTAGTGGATATTTTAGAAAAGATATAAGTCTGAAAGGAGAAAATTTTCTGTTGACTACCACATTGGCATAATGGTAGAGGCAGACAACCCACGCGGGGAGAAACCCAAGCCGTAAACAAAGGAGAGTTTTCGCTAAGTTTTCATGTTCAAAAACGACCAAAAACGGAAAGTAACTGGCAACTGACGAACAATTATTTTGCTGTTAACTAAATAGACAGCATCTTGGTACAAAATAACTTATTTACGTGGTTGGAATTCGCTGTGGCGTATGTCGGTCGCGCGAAGCAAGTGTTCACCAAAGAACAAAAACATGGCGATGTCGTTCTCTTCCACTTTTCGACTAACAACAACAACTACTAGTAACGTGGCGATTGCGGAGAAACGATGGCGAAAGCGGAAAGACGGACGCCAAACTTATTCCAAAAGGTGGAAGTGATTCGACTGGCAGAGAGAGTGAGAAGAAATCGTCGAAAGCTGAGCTTAGATTAAATGATTTTGCAGTCGATAGAAATTTGTTTGGAGTTGAAAGTTTGTTGCTTGATTTGCTTTCTTTTCTTTAGCCACATGTAGTACTAGTATGTACACAAGAACAGTAAATGACAACCAGTGATTTTGTATGTTTTAAATTATGTGAATGGTTTCATTGTCCCAGAATAGATTAACTGAATATGTTGAGTGTATGTATCTTTGATGTCAAGTTAATGTTTCCATGCAATATTTCTGTATTTCTTTTTTTTCAAGCAAGTACAAAATAAAGTACAACTAAAGCAAAAGAACAACAAATTATTGAACTAACACATGTACATATAAAAGGGGTTTACCTTTGCAAATGTATGTATTCATATGTTTCAGAATAAAGACATCACTGTTGGTACTCAAAGCATGTGTCCCTTTTTTGGGGGGGGGGGTCGAACTAACCGGCTGTTTCTCTATAGTGGTCACCTGGCCATAGTGGTCAAATTTGGCCAGTCCCTTGAGTGACCACTATAGGCAGGTTTGACTGTACTTTAAAAAAAAGGAAATGCTGGTAAGGTGATGTTGACAGTGAATCTACAAATGTAAATAGGGATAAGATAATGTACATGTAATATGGTCATTTACAGTCAATTGGTTCTTATTGCTTCTGGACTTGTAGTTTTGTGCAGTGCGAGTGCTCTATACATTCTGTCACAGAAAATGAGAGCTCAACATACAGTCACATAGAACAAACATTGCTTATAATATCATAGTTACAGTTTACACTGACATTTAGAAAGATGATAGAAAAGTAAAAGTGGACAGAAGCATGGGGGTGAAGAGGACTCACACTCAACCACTTCACAAGCACACAACAAGAGAAGAGCACGTGGTAACTACCTCCAGTGCCCGGGTCAATAGCTCCGAGACCGAGGCAATGTCAGCCGCTCCGTGCGCCGTGACCTAACACCCGGGTGGTACACCAAGAGATGTAGTCATGGCAACCCGTTTCCATAGAAACCACAAGGTAACACCATACAGCTGACACAGACAGGGAGACAGAGAGAGAGAGAGAAGAGAAGACAGTATAAGAGAGGGAAGTTTTACTGAAGAATTTCGTACCTTCACGCCGACTTTCCCAGTCCCGTTCAGCTCGACCGGCTCGACGGGCTGGTTCATGATGATCTGTGTTGCCATGGCGATGAAGTCGTGTCCGAGGGTCTTAGAGACGAAGGGGAAGGAGCGAGACACGCGGAGGTTGCACTCGATCACCTTCAGCTGGTTGTCCTGAAGGGGGCGAGAACGAATATAAAACTATATTATTAAAAGTTCATATGGTCAATAACAGATACATGTAGCGAAGCATTATCTGTGAAACGTTCCTTTCTTTACCTTACTACAAAATGTACATGTATCAGGTCTCTTTTATTCCAACCTTTCTGTTACTAAGCCTACGATAAACAATGACAGAGATAATACTGTTCAGAGATATGTTGTGGATAACAGATTTTACATCTTGCCAATGCAAGCAGTAGGAAGCAGGGAGGAAGAATAGAAAATTTTAAGATCAAAAGGCTTATATTTGTGGTTTCTTCAGCTGAAAATACATCACTTATACAAGATACAAACTGAGGGTGATTGTCTGAATTCTACCATCAATAATGTAGGTTTTAAAATGCATCTGGTAAGTTTAAGCAGATTGGTTTCTAATTCATGTAGACGTCTACATGTAAGGAGCCTGGCCTATGATGAATATGGTCGGCATCTTGTTATCAGCAGAAGATTCATTTACAGTGACATTCTGAACTTCCCTAACCTGTAACCCTTAGGTTATACTGAGACAGCCTTGTCACATTTCACCAACTAAATCACTTTTCAATCTTTCAACTTGCATTATGGTAGCCATCTTGATATCAGCAGAAGATCGACTTACATAATATAATTTTTTATCAACATTCTAAACTTTCATAACATCCTATGACCCATGGGTTATATTGAGACAGGATTTTGTCAGGTTTAAAAACAAAATAACTTCCAGCAGATTTCACTTCCTGCTCCGTGTCAGAAGTGTGGAGCTCAGCCTCTTGACCTGTTTTGACGAAAAACTTCAACCAAAACATCCGACCATCTGGGAAGGATAAGACACATGAATTCCAGTTGGAAGTGGGGGAGCGAACTCAAAACATACTTAAGATCTCTTTTCCCTTGGAGACAAACTGACGAAAATGGGTCAAATACTGAGAAATGGGTCAGATTCTGTCAATAGGAAGAGACACAGCAATGTTGGTCTAACTTGATCAAATTTTACCTGTCCACTTTAATATAAATGCACCCGAGGCCTCAACAGTTCTGACAAAATTAAAATTTGCTATATTGTACAATATGTCCTTATCAAATGACCCGAAATGCCACAAGCAATGGTGTCAACGATATCCGGAAGCTAGGTGTTCTAGTTTTGTCCTCAATGATTGACAGATAGAAAAGAAAGGTGGACATGCTGGTCAACTTTTCCTCACCACTGTTGACCCTGCAACAAGGCCCTGTTTTCACAGGAAACACGCCAGTGACGTTCAGCCAGGGAAGACCATATTGAAAATGAATAAGCACTGGGAAATGATATGACAGGTGAGTGTGGTGTTGTGACATGGAAGTGCAGACTGTTTGCTTTGTCCAGGGGAGTGTCGCTTGGCAGGATATCACATGGAACAACCCTGACCTCTACCAGCCAGGGATGGCTTTGATCCTCAGTCTGAATTATAAGCCCATAAGCAACCTGGAGATGCCTTAATTGTATGATTAAGGATATCCTACATAATCAATGATTATGTCTTAAATAGATTCACATCTCTGTCTGGACTGTTAAGTCCCATCCTTTCACATCTGTGATGGTCTGAAGAGACAGCATATATTGACATTGACCTTGGAATTTACTTTGTTCAAACTTTATCAAAATATCTATTACCCTTATTGAGACAGCCAAGTTGTCTCATATCCTAAAGTTAATAATTTCTCGTTCAAGCAGATTAAGGTGATACTACTATACTATATACATGTAGTATTACTTTTTCTGCATTTTTATTTTCTTGTCATACTCGAAGAATGTTGTGTAGCTGTCATAGAACAGATTAGATAACACTTCTGTGAAGTTTAGACAGTAATATCAGAACTCAAAGCATAAACAAACATCATAGTGAAGATAGTTCACATCAACACTCCATCTGCCCCAGCCTCCTATAGTTTCTCCTCCAGGACCTCCTCTACTAAACAGTCCACCTGTATTTCTGTTTGGGAGGGAAGCTGCCAGCTATGGTTGGTTGGTTTTCCAGTGCTGCGTGCTGAGGGTTTGTTTATTGAGGCGCTTTTCAAGGCACCCACAGATGGCGTGACTTTCCTTGATCTTCCCATGGTTTGTTTATTGTGGCTTGTCTCATGAAAGTATGTTTATACATAATCCTTAAACTGTTCCACAGCTAAGGATCTCCAGCAACTGCTGCTTTTAAAAGATTGATGGCTCCCCAAACTTGATAGAAATATAGGAGAGCTGGTATGATACAATATTACAATCCCTAAATTCTGTATCTTTATAGCTAATGTCTCTGATCATGATTCTAGGTACTACACATGTATATCAAGTTAAAAAGTCAATAGTATCTTGATATCCTAAGATATCAGAAACACTTGATTATGCACTATATTTACATTTGGTGAAGAATTTCAAATAGAGCTCTGGGTTTAATACAACTGACTTAGCTAAATGAACAAAATCTGTTTGGCTGCAACGAGCACTTGTAATTTGGATGTCTGCAAATACAACAATTTTTCAAGAAGTACACACAGAATGTATCACGCACATCCTGTCACTAGTGTCAGTGAACACAGACATGTCTGCACTTGATTTAGGGGAGAATGTCTCTCCAATAAAAAAGGTTGACTAGGAGCACAGGTTTCAGGGAAACTTGCCAGCACTGACTTTGTACTACAGTAATCCCATAACTCTCTTTATCTTCACTTGGAACAACATAAGAAATATGGATACCAGCCACAAATAAACCTCCTTATACATGTAATCTATTCAGCGACATCACATGTATGGTATTGTAACAGCTATATTAATATTTTACAATGAAGAGAAATAAGTCACCCAAAAGTCAGGATCAAACTAATATAAAAATCATTCATTAACTTTCCTCTCCTTGCATCAATGATTTTGCAGTGGATGACATGTGAGTGAACCCAACAGCGAAGCTAAATGATGAGGCAGACTGTTATGATTTTCCTTCACATGCCTCAAATATACATAAACATGGTTAGCAGACAGCAGGCCTTCAGGCACCTGTTGCCGAACTGTCTGTCTAACTGCAACCAACAGAAGGCTCTTCAAGGGTTTATGGCATACAACTTGTACAAGGTTGCTGATAGGATGATGGGACAAAAGGCATTGTGGTTTAAATTTAAAATTTTGAGGGTATGTCAACTAGGCTGAGCTTAAAGCTGTTTCAAATCTGTGGTTGATCTCTTTTGCAGCAAAATTTACATCTCAGAAATTATCTTTATTAATGAGGAGTAGGAATAAGTGTGTTTAGTTTTATTATCATTTCAGGAAACTATTAATGGCTAGTAGTCTGGCTGGATTCCAATGTAAAGTTCACATCAGGACTAAGGATGACTGTTCCAAGCAACGTTTTGGCATCAGTGTTCACAAAACCACTGACTTTGAGACGACGGGTTAGCAAGGCCATATATCCACTCCTGTGGAAAAGAACTTGGCAGACCTTTGTTGTGGCCTGCATTCCTTTATTTCTGTGTGGCGTAAATCAGAAAGCACCAAATCACCCCGCATCCCACGCAGACGACCCTTTGTTAATCTCACAGCAGGTTGAATCTAAACTGAGAGTATTTATGATAGGGTTGTTCATTTAGTAGGAAGTTTTGAAAATGAAACTAGCTTTTGACTATGTGGGGAGGACAACCCAGAACGAGCGACAAACTGTACTAAACGAGCAAATTTTGTTAACGTGCCGCCTCTCCGTAAGACTGGCTTTGTAAGATTAATCTAACGCCCATCAGTATCAGATTTGCTCTTCTTAAAATTCATTTTGACTTAACAACTGTAACCATTGAACTCTCCTCTGGATTTGCCTAAAAGCCATTACTAAGTAACTAATATACAGTACTGTACATGTATATACCCGAATGTCAGTTTATTTTCCCATTAAGTAACTAATGTACTTGTATATACATTACTGGTATGTCAGTAACCTCTCCACATTTAGAACATTATTACTATATGTAAATATTAATATTTGTACCAAATGCCAATTTGTATATAGCCTTATCTCTTGATGTGAAAAGTTTGTAATTCAGCCACTTTATTTGGCTGCGATGTACTTTTTAAGGATCATGTTGATGTTGATCAAATAAACCAGTCATTCATTCATTCACTTTTTTGTACACTTTCCTGTAGGTGTAGTTGTAAGTCAATGGTAAGGTTGACTTCAAGCTGTTTTAGCACACCTCTGAGCATCTTTTAAGGTCCCAGGCTGGGCGTAAATGTGATCAGAAGGTCCTTGAGGTTGAAGACCATCCCAAATGGTCAACCAGCTGAGAGGATGACTATCAGAGCTGAACTAATGCTGACCAGCATGGAATTGCTGAAGTGTTATCAGAAAGAATGCAGGGTATGAAGAGGAAGAACCTTGCTCATAAAGGGCATTGCAATCTCCAGAAAACCCATTTAGACCCTACTACTATAACTAAAAAGAGTTTCAAGGACGGCTCCAGAATTGTCTGACAAGCTGGTTTCTAACTGTTTAGATTGGATGGCACTTTCAAGATTGCATCTTTTCCATATTATAGACTTCCTAGAACCCTAAAGCCTGGAGATGTTATAAATGTACCTAATGATTCATTATAATGCGTGTTAATTCAGTGGCCTGTTCTCACCCTTTACCCTAACCCAGTGCACAAGCTCATTCACAAGGGTCTTGAAATGAGTTCCCTTCTTGTGTTGGAACAAAGCTTTGCAACTATGGTTCTTGAAATGGTATAGGAAGAATTCAAGGAAATTTGCTTTGCACAGTAGTTACTACAGACAATCTGCTCTAGAAACTGATCCCACCAAACCTATCAAAACTGAGTGTCAGTTGTTGGTCCCCCTGCTGGGATTTCCATAATCCCCCTTAAGGGACTCTAAGAGGGTATTCCCTTGGCATGTCCCCTTGGCACACATTTACCAAGCCGTGAGTGGAGGGTTTAAAATAGCAGAGTCTGATCATGTACTGGGATGATGGACAGGCAACCCTGCCCCGAGGGGGTCCCAGCGGTGGCAGCATCAACAAGCGTGAAACCACCAAGTTGTGGGGCAATCCACAACAATGCCAGGACTGGTAGCCCAAACAGTGGCATTACTAAAACAAACAGTCATCCAAACTGACTGATGATCTCACCCAAGACAGAGGCATGGCAAACCTCTGGCCCGGAGCACGCAAACCCCCATCAAGTCTGGCTTTAATAAAGGCAGGGTGTCCCAGGCTCGCCACACCGTGGATCACATGTAAATACTAATTTGAGGCAACAGAGCAACATGTGCAAAGGTCAAAAATGCGGCACGCCGCTCTGCACGCTGCGGCTCTCGCCAGAACCACAGACACATAGTTGAGAGCACTGCCCAGCCGGCGTCTGGAATATACTGAGGTTTGGAGCCATGTCCTGCGACAAAGGGAGTGTGTGCCTGCTGGCATGGAGCCTTATGCTTGTCCTCACTTATGGCACATTGTCTAGAGCACAGACAGGTGATTCGGAAATCGATGCTGTCGACACAACGGAAGAGTCATGTTCATGTCAGGAGCTAAGCGCACGGCTAAAGCAGCTAGAAGCCTTTGTGGAAAGACTTCATGACCAAGACATTCAACTTTCTACAGAAATTGCGAAAATGTACCAACAACTCGCAGAGTTTGACCCAACAGGTGTGAATGTTGTGTCGTCCAGTCAAGTCCAGAACGACGAATCTGCGGACTTCAAAGAAGCCACGATGAAGGTTGGGGAACTGGAGAAAGCGCTCCAGGGGCAGGCATCGATGATCAGGAAAATACAGATTGTGCAGAAGGACGAGGAGAGAAAGGGGCGGCACGTGAGGAAGCGGATAAAGCAGCTGATACAAAACGACACCATCATCGACCAGCGTATCCGGAGGCACGCCGCGGAGGTCTACACCCTGGACCACCGCATGCAAACCTTGGAGGGGCAGGTGACACAAATAGAGAACGAGGTCATCACCATTAACAGTTTCCAGCCCCAGCCCATCACAAAACCTGGATTTATCGGGGACAACAGCATTCATCAGAAGAACAGTGTCGATACGCAAGGGCCACAGATGGAACTCTACCACGCTGCCTTGGAGGGGTGGGAGGAAGTCCAAGACGAAGAAGACATCTTTACAGAATTACCCAAGGAGGACATGGAGGAAGAAGTGGAAGAACATTTTGAGGAGCCTCCAACTGCCCCAACCCAGCCACCAACCAAGCTTCCAAAAGGTAGGTGTCTGCTTTAAGTCAAAAGGTTGGCACACCTGTGGTATTGACCACTTTACCCTCATTATCACCATTCAGCATGTAACCCATTCTGAAAAAATTATTACTCTGAACCTAGGGTGCTGATTGTTGCAAGATGTTTCCCTTTGAAGCGAAATAAGATTTAGTTCCTACATCCTGAGTTGACTCCGACCAGTAGGAAACAACAATTGACACATACGGCTCTGACTGGGTCTGAGATACCGGCCAGCTTATTGCGCCAAATTGGAAAGTGTAAAGGATAGTTTATTTGACAGACGGCGCCCCACTTATTGCAATATCTTTTTAAAGAGCATTAAATACGCCTTTTATACTCCTGTGATCCCTGTAACCTCCAGACTGATTAAGTCAGCTAGGACCCTGGTTTGTCAGCTTTATTATAAAGTCATTAGTAATGGGAGCTTCTGGCTTCATGCCTGATCCCCCACCGCAAAGCGAGGCATGGCAAAAGCTTGCGACAATGCCAGGAATCTCTGGCGGTAATCTGCCATATCAAACGCATCATTTGGACACTTAACCATCGATCATTCCGAGGATCAACATCAGCTTCAGAGGCTTCAAAGCTGTTATTTCATCCCAACTTGGACACCCCACTACAGACTACACTGTATATCCCACAGAGGAAACTTAAAATACACCGCTAAGTCTCTCCACATAAAGAGGTGGAGAGGTTATCTGACTGTCCCACTTAATAGTGGAGGATGCATGTTTGATTTGATGCAGGGGGAGAACTAATGCTTTCGATGGAGAACTAATGCTTTACATGTGGCCTGCGTAAAAGGGCCTGAAAGTAGGTTACTATTACTAGGTGACTTATATGAGTAAGGGGAAAATGTACTGATACAGGAAATATTGATTGTTGATGTTGACTAGTTTAGGATGGGTATTGGTTGAGATAAAGTAAGAGATTGAATATCACGTAGGGTGGCAGCAAAACCATAAGGGCACCTGTACTGTTAGTAGTAATCATTCATAACAATGGGAGGATTCTTTTCATGATGCAACTTTTTCACATCATCTTATATATAAGTTATTATACTACTGGGTGTAGTTGAACCATACATATTACATTTTCACATCTTATCCCTCCACATAACACATGTGAAATGTTCACCGGTTTTTCATTTCATGCAAAATCTGGCCAAATTCCAGTCCACTACATCTACACACTACATAACATAGTAACTAATGTAGATATCAGTGAACTTGTGGTCACATAAACACCAATGTTGACACTACAGGCAGGGCCAACAGCAAACATACACCTCTGTATATGTCTTATTGTCAGCTATTGGGCAAAAGTCAAAGAAAAGTGCTTCAAGTTCAAACTTCAAGGCTATCATATTACCCTGGGGCCTGATGTTGTCAGAGTTCTCTCTGAGTAGCAAAGTCTATACTGTAATTCTTTACCTCTTTACTTTAACCAAGTTAGAACTTAGACATCTGTCATTACCTGTTACTCATACCCCTTCAAAGGAAATAAAATGCTTTTGGGTGCTACGGTATGAGGGTTCAAAGCCATCTGTGTCCAAGATGTGCCCTGCACATACAGCTTTTACACCCTGACATGTCACACACCAAATCAAGTCAGCCCAGAAAGGGCAAGAATTTGAAAGGAATGGTTCCATTTTCACCTCCCTGACAGTGAAAGATTCTTGGGGTAATTTGTCTTCTTTATTCTGTGGCTGCTCTGTGCCTTCCTGTCTGAAAGAAAGGCTGCGAGCAAGGTAAAATACTGTAAGTCCAGTTATGTTCACGAATGCTTTATTTCACGAGATGGAGCAATTTGGAAGTTCACGAGGTCTATGGCTTCGCGAGTCGGTAATTTTCAACAAGGCGTTACATGTCTGCAAATTTACCGTCAATAATTTTTTTCCGCGTGAGGTACGTGCGAGGTACGCGCGGTTAGAACATGGTTCCGTGGACATGACACTGTCCAAACTGAAGCCCATCCATGCGAACTGGGTCCTGGGTGCACTGGACAGTATCGCCAACAACGTGGACATCGCCAGGGGATGGGACCGCACAGAGATCTGAGCCGCTGTGAGCCGACGGGCGCGTGAGTAAAAACAAAAGCCGCCGCCATGTTTGAACTTTCGGCTCCGAGCGGCAAATGTTGCCAACTTCTGCACAGTAGTCCTCGCGTAAATCATCTTTAGTTGTGAAATTTTAGCGCACTGTTCTATAAATTTGCTGTTTGGTAACGTTTAAAACCATGTTGATTCAACAAGTTGTAAAAAAAATTTAAAAAATCAAGCAAACTTAGACCATTAGACAACGCGCTATGTAAACAAAGGCCGCCATGTTGGATTTCTTGTAATTTGTCGATCGGCTCGGCGGTAGATTTTCGTGCAATTCTTCCCTATAAATACCTGTTAATGTTGTATAATTATGTAGCGTACATTTTCTTGGGATGTATGGAAATCTTGTGAAATGATTTTTTTGCGTGTAGCTTTGGTGAGTAACGTTGAACTCGTGTAGTTTGATCTCTAGAGGTATAGACAAAGACCCACGCTATCCCGCTTGGTTCTATTTTTTTTGCCGATTTTCCGTACCGTAAATAATTCTGCTTTACGTGGCTTGTACACGACAACAACTTTTTACCGATGTATGTTGTAAAATTCCGTATGTACGATGTTGCACATGTTTACAGCTGTTCACCGCTACGTTATCGCCGAACTAGCGTTCTTGTTAAAACTGATGTTGTCTAGTCGGCTATGTAAACTTTTACCGTTCTTCGCAAGAAACACTTGTATTACTAGTAACAAAATAATGACTCCGTGAACCATATGCTCATTGAATAAAGTTTATTTGATTCTGAAAAGAAGTCTGCTGTTATTCGTTGAGTCTTGTCATTTACTAGTACTACGTAATGTAGAAGTTGTTAGCTGAGACGAGCTGAGACGCACGATGTTTGGGGGAGGGGGGTTGGTACGTACGGAATGGGTTCGCGAGGAGGTGAGTTCACGAGAAGAGCGTCTTCGTGAAAACCGTGAACTTAAAGATTTCGTAATCAAAAATGGACTTACAGTACATTTTGTAGTAACCCAAGTTCAAACCAATCCATCTTTGTAGTAGAGAGGGTTTTAAATTTCCTACCTACCTATGTACAAATATGATATAACATCATGGACAGCCAGCCTGTGCTAGAGATTTGTGAGCTTTGGTACTGCTCATACATGTGCTCTCTTACTTTATAGCCTGCCAAGCTAAGGGTGCCTGACCTGCCTGGTACACCACTGCTTATGCTTTATGGACAGGCAAAGTAAATCCAAAAAATCTGTTTGTCATAGAAAAAACCTCGGGTCACATACTGTTTATAATGTATCTGCCAAAGGAATGAACCATTGCCACCTGAAAATGTTGTTATCTGTGTTTATTTGACAGTTGTGGAGAGGTTCCAAGAAATCTGGGCTGAGTGAGTGATTTGACAGTTAGTAAAATGGTTCCACTTATATATTTCAGATTGTGCAGATGCGTACCACCAGGGCCTGACTGACTCTGGCATGTACGAGGTCCATCCCCAGGGGAGTAATCACTCCTTCCACGTGTACTGTGACCAGGAGGATGAGGGCGGCGGATGGACCCTCTTCCAGCGCCGCTGGGACGGGTCGGAAAGTTTCTATCGGGGATGGAAAGCGTACAAGGAGGGCTTCGGACACCTGGAGGGAGAGCACTGGTTGGGCAATGACAAGATCAGCGCGGTGACAAAGCAGGGACAATACCTGATGCGTGTGACTTTGGAAGACTGGAGCAACAGCACGAGATACGCGGAATACTCGCAGTTCTATGTGGAGAATGAGGATAAAATGTACCGTGTACGTGTTGGAAGCTATTATGGAAACGCTGGGGACTCTTTCCCAAATAGTGGATCAAGGTAAATGGCCAAACATTTTCCCAGTCTTTCTCAGCTCACGAAATACCACTTGTAGTTCCTTTCCTTCAGTTCATTTCCTCTTTTACATTGTGTACATGTACCTTAGGGTGCATGGTCTCCATTATCAGCACTGTCATCTTTTCTAATGGACTGAATAACTGATTCCTGATAGCCCAGTTAGCTGTAATGAGCCAGCAGCCTCAGGCAGGGAAGCACTCCAGTGCCTGTAACCGATTTCCCACCAGTCGTTACAGTGACTGTGTGTTCTCAGCAAACTTACCAAGTACCCACAATGTTAACAACGATCTGGGCTAACATGTGGGTGCTAAGAGAGCTCAACGCTCTTAGCAACTACTACTGTACTATCAGTCTGATTGCACTGACCTACATACCAATGTACACATATAGGATGAAGGTAACAAGTAGCTTTATCATTATCAAGCTGTCATTAATCTCTTTAATCAGTTTTAGATTCAACAGCAGGATTGGACAACTGTGTGGCAGTATTTTTCAAACTACTGGAATATACCAATCTTACTCGTGACACTCAGCTAAGCTTATTCGGTACCAAGGACATATCCCTCCTCCTCACAAAATTATGATCCCATATATTTATATTTACCCAGGTATATTGTATGTACAAACTCATGTTTTCTTTCCAATCTATGTGTTGAACTTTCAACCTTCCAAAAAATGAAGGCTGTCAATAAGACACAAAAAAATCAACTTAAAGATGTGTATAAATCTAGGTCATTCTTCTTAATCTTAAAACCTTGTGCCTTATGTAAGAACACCTGCGGTTGTTTTACCACAGATTCAGCACCTATGACTCAGACTATGATGCCAGCATGTACCACTGTGCAGAGCTGAGGAAAGCTGGCTGGTGGTACTGGGACTGCACGCATGTAAGTGTATTTACTCTCCAAGCAGAGGTTGTAGGGGCTTAGGGAAGATTGAACTTTTTCTGTCAATCTAATCCATCATAATCTTCCCATTCAACCTCTGCTTGATGAGTTACTGCAAGTTTAATCTCAGAAATGCTTCCCAATGCTTCACAATTCTTCCCAACTAACATAAATCACATTGATCCAGGTCCTAAATATGGATGCTCTGTTAAAAATTTTCACTGAAAAGTCAGACAGCAAATCTTTTTTCAATCTGAGAGGGCTAGTGACATTGACATTGGGACTGCATGCTTCAAGTCTTTCATCTAAGGTAAGTCTTCGGTAAATCTCTTCGGCAGTTCAACATTCGAACCAGATGACCAAGTCAAGTGGAACTAGCAGGGGGCGAAGGATTGAGAGGACTGTTTACTTTTACCAAACATTCCTTTCCTGAAGTTGAAGCAAATCATTTCCACAGTCAATCACATTTGTGACTGACCCTTTGAAATGATTTCAAACAATGTTCCTGGCTATAAACAGAGTTTTAAAGCAGGAACCTTCATGAAATGATCTCGCAAGGCCTGAAGACTTGCAACGCACTACCATCAATTGCTCCTGATGACATAATGTCAAAGAGAATCACACGTGAAAAACTGTGAAAAATGGTTTTCATTCTTCCCATGCCACTAAAATTGATGTAGTATGCCATTTCAGGCATTTGTCCAAAAGTCAACAAGGGGAATTTTACTGTGGGGATCCCATTTGTCTCATGTTACCGAGCTTGGCTGCTTGTGCTGGTGCCAGCCTTGGCAGAGATGGAGAGACGGGTTCTCACTCCTATCTGTGTGACGTCAGACAACAGACATGGAACCTGTCTGTTCTGACTTGTCTGTGACATGTGCTACATCACATGGAACCTTGACAAATGTATAGGTAGTTATCCATACAGGTTCCAGAATTGAAAAAAAAATTCCATCCATGTTTCAAAAGAAGCCCTTTGCCAATTCCTCCAACATGTGGCTCTGTGGGGCAAAGGCTCTACTGATCAAGTTGATAAATTGTTCCAAATCACATTTTTGATGGACTACTTAAACAGCCTTCCACCATACAACATACTTGAACCGATACACTTGACCCTTTGTTGACAGAAACAGGTTTGTCATGGTGTGTGAAATCGTGGGTCGGCATGTTGCAGCTCCCAAAGTTGTGTAAATAGCACGTGCCTACTGCCAAGTCGTCTGGCTGCCGCGACCCACCCTCACAAATTAATTTCGATTTCCTGGGAGGCCAGTTCAGATGTGAGCCAAGGGCTTTAAATTATCCTGCACATCCTCACTCTACCATGACCCTACAAACTTATGGGATAAACAAGACCTCAGTAGGAGTACTGCTATGACCTTCCCTCGCAAATTAATTTCAATTTGCTGGGAAGGGCCACTCAGATGTGAGATGTCAGCTTCTTCAGCGCGCCAGTGTAACTCAGGCATGACCCGCCACACTTATGGTGGGATCAACAAGTATACAAAAGGAGCAAGTCTGTGAAGTGATCTGTGCACATTCCCTGTCCATTCTTACCACTGTGTTTAGGCTGAATTACAAAGGGAAAGGCTTTAAGGAAAGGGGAATATTTACAACATAAATAATCGGTTGGACAGAGACCTCACAGGAAGGGAGAGTACTAGGCTTATTCTACTCTGTTTTGTCTACTTTAAATTCACAAAACAGCTTTTTAACCAGACTATACATTGGACTATTATTCTCTGAATGGCAGAATGGTATTTTAGTCCTTGAATAACATTGGGATGAACAGTAATCATACCTACATGTACATATACTGTGTACGGTGCATTTCTATTGAGAATACCTGCTCACAGGAATTTTGTGACTGGCCTTGCTTTTTTCATCACCTGAACAACATTGTGTAATAATACAAATTTTCCTCTTCATTTCATAAACTGCTTGTTGACTCTTTCCTTTTGTCTCTGTAGGCCAATCTGAACGGGATCTACTACCACGGTGGGGACTATGAGGGTGGATGGAATGGGCATTACTACGTCTATGACGGCATCACATGGCTCAGCTGGAAAGGCTACTTCTACTCCCTCAAGTCTGTCACTCTTAAAGTCAGGCCAGAGAACTTCAACGACAGATTCTGATGATGAACTATCTGATAGAAAAATACCATGTTTGTTTTCAGAATTTTTCTTATGATGTGAAGAACATTTCCTGCAAATGTCAAGGTTGGCAAGTTAAGCCCAGACATCACTGGATTGTAAGGTTTGACACAAGGGTTGGGAGATGGAGACATACTTGGGCATAAGGTATCAATGGTAAACATTAGATTTTCTAATGCTGAAGAGCACCAGCTCTTGCATTATCCCTCCTTATTATGGACATATTGCACATTTCCAACCTTTGTCTTTGCCTTGTCATTACAAGTGGCTTGTGTTTGAGCCCTTTGTAAATACTGTTTGTAATATCATCCAATTAATTTGACATGCAAGCTGCCAGAACAAGCCTGGTACGAAACAAGGCATTGTGTTATGTTTTTTGGCAGGCAAGTTTTTTTAATCACATGAAGTCCAAACAATATTGGACTGCCAGAGGAGGGTAGACATCAGTCATCATCAAAATGCCTCATGATAAAGACCTGGATATCATTTCTATTTAAATTTTGTTATTTGTGTGTGTGTTTGTGTGTATGTGATGCAGGACAGGTTTCAATTGTTGGAAAAGAGCAAATTAAGGAGAACGGAACAGAGTGTAAAACTATTAAAAGTAGCACAAAATTGTAACTAACGGGTTGTGGGAGAAAATATGAAATAAAAGGGATTGAAGATACATGTACATGCATTTCAATATATCATGCTTGTCTACAATTAGTCAAACATATGTGATCATAGAGAAACAAAGATGGGGTTGTCCTCAAAGGATAAAATCATGCCGTGTGTGTGCAGACAGTGTGTGGTGGTTATTCTTGTCTTTCTGTTTTCGCTTCTTCTTTTCAGGAGTCAGACAGGGCGCATCTGCCCACAGTACTGGGATTCTTTGTTGCCCCTGACGACATGTTTCAGCAGTCGGTATGTCCGCCATGGTAGGACCAATAAACTGTTCTGCAACCAAAATAGCCGCTAAGAAGTCCACAGTTTTATGTTTCCAAATATAGGCAGCTTACAGCATGTAGACACCATGGTTGGATTTATGATGGTACATGTATATCTAGTAACTTTATATCCTGCAAACTTATGGGAATGACTGACTGTATGTACAAAATGTAGTCTAGTTTTGTACTGTCTACTATATTTAAACGAATCAAAGGTGACTTGAGAAACTTTGTGTTTTATCTACAACTCTGAAATGTGTAAAAAAAAAAGGATCATTACATGAAGGTGCTAGCCATGTATTGTTGTCAGTTTATATCATCAAAATAATACAGTTTTGTAATATGCTAAGATAAGATGAGATTCATGTGTCTCAGTCTACCTTAAGTCATTTTGTAATGTACAAAGATGTCCAGATGTGGAGCTGAAACACCTTTGGCTTCTATTGAAAATAAATGAGTGACATAAATATCTATTCAGAAATAATTATCTCTTCGTTCAGTGTGACTTATAGGCTGTGAATCTGTGTTCTCCAAGTAAACTCAGCTGAAGTAAATGATCTTTCTTTCATTTTGTACTTTCTAACCCATCCTTTTCTTCCCCATCCTCTTGGACCAAACCCAGAGGATGCTGTACAGCACCAGGCTGGCAGAATCAGGGCAGGGTATACTCCAGGCTATCTGGGTGGGACTAGAGAATCTGTACTTGATTAAGTCTGCCTGAGAGGGGGACAGGGATCACATGGAGGACCCTGGCCCCTCCACGTGTCTGGTGTACTGGAACCATCCTATGTAAGAAGCTGGAGAAGGGGTCCTCCTTGCTCGGGGCAGACAGGAAATTGCATCACCGTCTAACCTTTTTCATGACTTTCACCTTCATCCCAGGGTGTCACACCTCCCACTGATGTCTTTCAACACTTGTGCGGCTACATGTACCTGTATCCTGGAGGTACATGTAGTTATTTTCTACCTTCATGCCGTACAAAATTTGTCAAAATATCTTCAGCACTAGTCTTATCTATCTCTCTTTTTACATGCAATCTGAATCAAAATTTCACTCTTCCCATCTTCAAAAACATCCTGATCATCAAGGGTATTTGATTTCACAGTAATGTCTTTAACTTTTGATTGGTCATTACCGAAGCATACTTAGTCACACTGCTTATACTTTGACTTGGTCCAGGTGGTATACATGAGAGATGACAAAATATAATAGAGCAGGGCAGTGTGGTTAACCACATGTTTTGAAGAAGGTGGTACGAAGGTCATTACTTACGTTAGCCTTGTGCTTTTCCACGCATATGGAGAGGGAATTACTTAAAAGGAAAGTTGGCCTTGTCCTACATATATGGGCTATTCAGCTTCTTTGTCTGTTCAATACCATAAAAGGTATGACTGAAGACCACCAGAAACTTCGAATATGTCATGAAATGTCATATCTCATTTTGTCACTTCTTCCCCTGACTTGAACAGTCCTTTACTTCATATTTTACATTTCTCCTTGTCCTTGAAAACTGATGCTTTAACTTTTGCCAGAATGCTACCCAGCATGCTCTCTGGATGATTTCATCCTCCACCAAACCAGACCAATAACACATGACCTTCTGCTGACCTCTGTGCCCCATCCCTGACCTCCACCGGCACCAACTATCAAATGATGGCCATGTGCAATAAATCTAGAGAGGTCACAGGCTAGGTTCACCTAGGTGGCAAAGGGAACGACACATGTTCACCTCATGTCATGTACTGTCTGGTCTCCTGGAGGAAAGAGCAGCCTTTAAAATGCTTCGCTGTCTGCATAGTACATGTATGTCTGTTATGAGTACCAGGTTTGTTTGAAGGAACTGATATTGATTTGAAGCAATGACTATAACCTGAAAAGTAGACAGAACCATAGAATATCCTGAAATAAAAGAACTGAGTGTCTGGATATTAAGTCCAGACCTTCTTCCTATACACTCAAGGGCTGTAGTGTGTAGTGCATATTTCACAAAGTTTATAAATGGTCAGAGTAATGTTATCACATCATCAAGTTAATTTGTTTAGACAAAGGTTGCCCCCATCCTAACATCCCATTTGCAGCATCACTGTCATTTGTTTATGCACAGGAACATCCTTTTAGTTTAGATGTCACAGAAGGAAGACCTTAGTTTAGATGTCACAGAAGGAAGACCTTCCTCCTGGACCGACAAGTCCCTTCATACTCAAATCACCACCATTTCCTGCCACCTGTGTTTGTTGCTGAACAGGGTCTCAGCAAGCTTCAGCTTTCAGCAGAGAGGCATGTGTTGATATATGCCAGCCACAGTAACAACAAACATGCAGCTTCAATATGGGGGCTACTGTTTCTGTCCCAGAGCGCCAATAAGCTTCAACACTCCCAGAAGATGTTAACACAGCCTCGAGAGTCGCTATATTTTAGATGTGCAGCAAAGGGTTCAATGCCCTCTGAAATTTCTAGAGTATCAGCCACGAGTATCATTTTCTGATTCATGTACTGTACTTGTGTATGTTTCCCACAATAAAACATGATACTGATTTTTACAGCAATGGTTTTAGCTATCATAAGAGGTGCATTTGTTTTGATACCTTGAGGGCTCTTTAGGTAAGACATGTAGGTAGACTTCAGTTCTGTCAAAAGACTTTGATATAGCAGTTATTTTTACACAATAGACTTTCTCTAAGAAGTGATAGAGTACTAGCACACACAAAAAGCTCCTGTTGCTGGTGTGGTTGATTAAAACAAACAAGCTCCAACACTCCTTGCTGAATCTTTATCATCTTCCAGGCTAGTCTGTCAACAGGAAACTCTAAGAGCAGTCACACAGTGACCAACAGTCGGCCCCTTTCTTCAGGACCAAAGGCTGACCGTAAACCTCTGAACCCTCAAACACTTCATCACTGGGAACAGTTTGACCTTCATCTATCAGCACCAGAGCATGACTGGTTTGGTCTAGTGCTGGAACACTACAACAGTTTAAGATTGGGGCTGAGGAAATCCTTTCATGTTCTACAACCTCTCACCACTCACAGTTGATAGCAGATGACCCCCCCCCCTTTCTTCAGCTACTAAATTCTATCTAATGCACCATTGGTTTTGCCAGTGAAGACAGATAAATAGAAATTTTAAACTAGAATTCCGAGACCTCATACCTCCATGAAATATGATCTTGATATGTAAATTTCTTCTTTAATTGTTCAAATGACCTCTGCATTAACATGATATATGCATCGTGATGTATGTTAACTTTTGATTAACTTACAGATGTCCCAAGTATGGCATTCTCATCATTCACCATTACGAAATCATAGAATTTTCACATTAATTATGCAAATTAGGTCATCATTTGCATAATTAGTATCTGTTGAAGTTCCGCCTGCCATAGGCTACATAGTATAATGTAAAACACTGTAATTATAGAATTTCCTCATTAATTATGCAAATAAAGTCCTCATTTGCATAATTTGCATTTAGTTATGTACATCTCTCTCTCAGCTACCTACACACCAAAAATAATGAAAATATGTTGTTCCTGTCTGGACTTATTGGCTTTTAAACATTTCGCCAGAAAGTGCCCTGCAGTTCCAGAACAAGCCGCTAGGGGGCCCAAACTCATATGACTTCTTCCCAAGCACGAGAGCTACCTTCCATCAAAATTTCATGACCCTAGCATGTCCAGATCGCGAGATATCAAAACCGGAAGTTGCGCTGCAGTACCAAGGGAAGCCACTAGGGGGACCAAAATCTCATCGTTTCCAGTTTTTGTCACACTCTACCAACACACCAAGTATGAAACCAATCCATCCAGGCGTTCTTGAGTTATCTTGTTGACCAACAGACAGACGGAAGGACGGAAGGACGGAAGGACGGACAGATAAACGCAACTGAAAATATAACCTCCATGACACATTTCATGGAGGTAATAAAAAGATTAGAAAGGTTTTCTCATGTTATTCAGTAAATAAACATTTGGTAAGCACCTAATAAAAACAGGTTTCTAAAAGCAGCTGATAGTTCTTCTCTGAAATACAGTTTCCCTGAGGAAAGTAGGAGTTACGCACCTTTGCGATGAGCTGCATGTTGTATGGCCCGGTCACCTCCAGCTCTCGCCCAATGGCCAGCACGATGGCATGGATCTTACGCAGGGTCTCTTCATTCAAGTCCTGTAGAAGATGCCATCATTTAAAATGTTATAAACATCAGTAACACTGGTCAGTTTAAATTGGGAAGTTCAGTTTCCCGATTTCAAGGCGGCCATCTTGGTCATCCAATTTTCTAACTTTTTTTCTACTGAAGATACAGTACACTTTTACATGTCATTGGAAAGAGCATGATTTCCCCTGCATCATGATGTCTTTAATTTGGTCATAACGTGTAACATTATGAAGATATTCCGTTTTGAAAGTTGCCCAGGCCAGTGGTCTATTGGCTGGACCATGTGAACAACACACAGACCACACTTGGTTATGCATAGAACACAGTGGCCTAGCAGTAGCCCACTCCAATGCAAATGAGTTATAATTGGCCATTCCACACTGAACAAAGCACTCGCATAATGAGTTATCACACCTTGCTTGTCAGACCACTGGCCTGCGCTGGGTTCAATGGGCTAGGTGATTAGAGGTGTGAAGTCCAGTCTGGCCAGGGCCAAGACCACAATGGTCTAGGCCAATCAACACCTTGTTGTTTATACAGCCCACCTGGCCTAAATTATAGCCCATACATGGTTTTCCCTCAGACCAGTGGTCTAATACATTTTCAATCAGTCATATCTAAGCCTATGAACATCACTAGCTAATAATTTTCACATGACTACTTTCGTGATGAAAAGAGCTTTCAGATGATACCACACTTATAGGCAGAAATTTGATATTTCTGAGGTTTCCCAATTGCTTCTGTTTTTCCCAATTTGAACTGACCAGTGTTAATCTCATTATATTAATCAAGAATGTCTCTAACCTGATAATTGCAAACATCAGGAAAACCACTGTTTCAGGTTGCAAAAAAATCTTTCTCTATCCACCATTGTCACAATCAAACAACATATAAGCCCATGCATCTTACAGTGAAGATAATCTTACATCTGCCTTATTGAAGCTGCCACATGTCTTGAGAACAGTGTATTCTAACTCAGGTGGCAACTGTTAGTATCAACCAAAGTCTTGTCAACATATTGTCTGGCTGAGATAGAATAGACATTCTATTTTATTGTTTTTTTAATACAACAATTAAAATCAATGCATGGATAGATGCCATCCACTAAGGGTGAGTTTATATAAGGTTGCCTTATCCCAACACTTTAATCCATGCTACACCAACCGAGCAGGTCCTAACCTGACAAAACAAGCACTAAATCAAAAACAGACAAGGTTAAATCTTTATTTGGTGTCTTTAAAACAGGGATCTGTTTGCACACCGAGGTTCCCCGCTGGCTGCAATATCCAGCCTGGCTGGACGCTTTACTTTGGGTCTTGTTTCCATGAGTCAGGGTTTCTATTTTAGACTTTTAATTTACTGGAAAAAAACTGTCCAATTTACCCTGCACATTTCATCATTGAACATCATTAACTTGCAGTTAGACATTTTGTCCAGGTCAAGGTTCCTACGACTTTCAATTTACAGGTTTACTGAGCACATAATTAACTTTGAGAAAGTAAACAAATTTGCGCAGTACGAATACTGCAACACTTGCAATGTACTTACTTACTTGTACTTGTTGAGGTCTCAATATACAGGAAAGCATATTGGTTACACACTCAATTCTGTACAGTTTTGATTAAGTTTTTGTCTATTCTCTAATGATCACATCATACATGTGAAGTGCAGGAGTTGTGGGGCGTGCTCTAACCTGAGGTGGGGTCACCAGCGTGGCGTCTCCGGAGTGGACACCTGCGTTCTCCACATGTTCAGACACAGCGATAGCCAGGACCTCTCCATCTCTGGCCACCGCATCAACATCAATTTCCTAACAAGGACAGAACAATATCAAGATATCAGGAATACTGGATTACACAAGTATCAAATTGTGGTACAATGGCATCAACGAGAGCAGTAATTTGTCATGTAAAAAAAAATTGATTTTTGGCTAAATCATCATTTGGATATGCCTATGCAAACTTTCTGCAATTCAGGGAGTTTTATCCCTGCTGTAGGGTTTGCTTCTTGGTGTTGGTATAAATTTTATATTTTTCATCTGTATTAAGCATTCTTAAAATATTTCTGTATTGCTCTTTGTGTTGTACGTTGAGCAATGTTTCTGCAAAATGCCCAAAGCACATAGTAAAAGGTTGAACTTTATTCCAACACACAATTGTACAGGGATCAAATTTTCAGGGATCAAATTTTCAGCGACCACTGTCGCCTTCATCAGGATAATTAATGACCAATCACTTCACAACGTGATCTCACGAGAGTTACGGTTTACAAACACGTGAGATTTAACTGATATGTACGTAAGCAATTGATCAAAAGTGCCAGGGAGTTGATCCCTGTACAATTGTGTGTTGGAATAAAGTTCAACCTTTTACTATGATTACTACCAACACAGATGAACTAAGGTGTAATGAAAAAGCACCTTGGCCTCCAGGATGAACTTGGAGATGACGACAGGGTGTTCCCTGGAAAAGGACACAGCGTTGTTGAGGTAGTCCTCCAGCTCGTGTGCGGAGTGGGCCACGTTCATGGCCGCACCGCTCAGCACGTAGGACGGTCGCACCAGGCACGGGTACCCAACCTTCTCACAGAACTCACGAGCAGTCTGGAAACGTGACCAAAGCACAAGAAATTACATCCACAGAGCTCAATAATATTGACTGCTAAGGAAATCAGTGTATTCAAAATGTTTGGTTGAAAATGTGTCATTCAATATGATCATCAACTAGAGTTCCACGATCTCATACCTTCGCCAAATGATGTTAGCCTTTATGACTAAGACATTATAGATAAATCCCCCTGATTGTGCGAATAGGATCCTATATTGCATCAATTATATCTGTTGATCATATTCTACACCAGAAGACAGTCTTATCTTATCAATGCATGCCATTATAGCATGTCCTCATAAATTATGCAAATGAGGTCCTTATTTGAATAAATTATGTTTAATAATGTTCACGTTCACATAACTTTCAAATATCCCAAGTATGAAATTCCAGACATTACCACTATGTAATTATAACATTTTCTCGTTAATTATGCAAATTAAGTCTTCATTTGCATAATAGATATCTGCCTGTATTTCTGCCGTTCTGCATTACATATATCACAAGCTTGAATAGTCCTATCATGGAATGCAGCTGATAAATAGAATTTCCTCATTAATTATGCAAATTACATTAATATTTGCATAATTGTAATAACATTAGTCAAGCATCACTTCAGCTACCTACATGCCAAAAATCACGACGATCCATCAATCGGTTCTTGAGTTATCCGCCTTTAAACATTTTTCAACTAATGCCCCTGCAATTCCAGAGCAAGCCGCTAGGGGATCCAAACTCATGTCACTTGTTCCCCAGCACAAGAGCTACCTACCATCCAAATTTCGTCACCCTAGTATGTCTAGATCACGAGATATCAAAACCGGAAGTTCAGCTGCAGTACCATAACAAGCCGTTAGGGGGCCCAAAATCTAATCAGTTCCACGTCTCATGAAGACCTACCCACCTACCAAGTATCAAGACAATCCATCTTAGCCTTCTTGAGTTATCGTGCTCACACACACACACACACACACACAGACACACGAACGCCAACGAAAACATAACCTTCTTGGCGAAGGTAACAAATCTGAGGACAAAGTTACTGAAAGGCAGTTACTGCAAGGTGCAGTTTTGACACTAAGTGCAAGGTGGTGCTTCTGCAAAGGGCTTTACCACAAAACGCTGAGCTCTACACTTAGAAGTCTATGCAACAGCTATAGACACATGCTACAGTGAGACTTTTGAATTTGTCCATTTTACTTACGTCCATGTCTGTCAGTTCCTTCCACTGGGGCTGTTCGATTCCGATGTTGTCCAGCATACGGGAGAACTTGAACCTGTTCTCTGCGTTGTCAATGCCTTCTGGCGATGTACCCAGGATCCGGGCCTGTAAGGTACATGTAATTGTGTTAGAGAAATGATTTGGAAGGAGTCCATGCAACTTTTATTTTCAGATCATCAATTTGTGTAAATTTTCTTCTTATGCAGATCTCAAACATTTTTCATTATCCTGTTCCAAAAATCTAGAAAATGATGTCAACTAAATTCAATCCATGAATGAGCCTTCATTCGAATATTCATTCCTTGGTAAGACTATAACCAAGAGGAAAGTCCCGAAGCTTTCAATTAAACCACTATGTTACAAGATGGAAACAGATCTCATTGTTAACATGTATACCTGTTGCCTGTGCAGATCCATGGCAATGTTGTTGGGCAGCTGTCCTCCCATACACAGGATGATGCCTTCTGGGTCCTCAAACTCATAGATGTCCATCACAGTCTAGGATAGAAGCAACATCAAAGTCAATAACAGACAGCTCTTCGGACAACCAAAGTCAGAAAATAAATAATAATTTTGAGTTCTGAGAACAAAAATGCATGAAAATTGCAGCTGTGGCTTTTCCAACTTCATCGTAATACTAAGTTTATTCCTGCAGTAACTGTTGTACCAACCTCAAAAGTGATCTCGTCAAAGTAGAGCCTGTCACACATGTCGTAGTCTGTGCTCACTGTCTCAGGGTTGTAGTTCACCATGATGGTTTTGAAGCCAAGCTGTAAAACAAGCAAAGCCAGTTCAGAACAATCTATCAAAGTATTTAATGGTAGTCACGAACCTCATCTCTATGAAAGTAACGGTTCTAAAAGCCACTGCCTAGTCATCAATGTCTCACTTGCTTTTGCAACCTCTGGTCACTTTTTTTCATGGGGGGAAATCCCAAATTCCTTACATACATCTTCACAAAAGTATAAATGTAACATTACAACTGGGATAGATTAAATGTTCTACTTGCAATAAAAATGTACCCACAACTTATACCACACAATGAGGAAATCCAAAAGTACCAAGAAATAAAGCGATAGTACCTTCCTCAGCTCGCGTATACATCCCACAGCGCACCAGTCGAACTCCACGGAGCTGCCGATACGGTACACGCCCGACCCGATCACCATGATGTAACCTCCGGGGAAGTCCAGGTCGCTGGCAGAGCCGTTGTAGGTCAGGTACAGGTAGTTTGTAGAGGCCGGCCATTCTGCAGCCACCGTGTCTATCTGCTTTATACTCGGTACAACGCCATACTGCTGACGGGCTTTCCTCACGGCCAGCTCAGTGCTAAGGAACAAGATAAAATATTGTCAACCTCGAGTATGGTTTCTTCAATATTGACTGCTTTGTGCAACTTTTTTCTGGTGACTTATAACATCAGAAGCAACAGCACAGTATTGTAGAACCAGCTTTTGTTTAGTCACCTGTCCTTTAAGTCAACAAAATTTGAGTTTGTATCAGAGTATATTTGAAGAGCCTTACCTTTCAATACAGGCAGCGATCTGTTTGTCACAGTAGCCCAGCTGTTTGGCTTGAAGCAGGATGTCCTTGTCCAGCATATTGGCCTGCAAAGTACGAAAAGGAAGTACAGTGTAGAAGCACTTTAGAAACTAATTCTTCAAATCTCCAAAAGAACCTCACACTACTCAAATGTATCATCTACAAATTCTCCTTTACTTTTGATAGAAATAATATCAAAAGTAAAAATTCCTTATTTTTTAATAACAGTCTGTTAACTTCAAATACCACTGATTTCAATATCAACAATGATCAGAATATTTTGTTAGTAGAGAATGGACCTGTGTTGTGTTTGTTGTGGCTACAATTCATATGTGAAATGCAAAAATGTAAGTTAAAAAGTTATGTGGACCCTTCTCTCACCTTTGTGCAGAACTTCTGCATTGTCTGAGCACAGTCCACGATGTTCTTGAACTTGTAGAGGAACCACTTGTCGATGCGAGTCAGGTTGTACAGACGGTCGATGGTGTAGCCGGCTGCGATGGCCTTGGCCACCATAAAGATCCTCTGGTCTGTGGGACTGACCAGCTCCTGTATAAACAGATTACATCTTTCTTAAGCACAGGGACAGTAGTGTTGGGTGAATATGTCTTTTAAGACAATAACTTTTATGTATCAATAACTTTTTGATGTCAATAACTTTATGTTATGTATCGATTAAAAACCTTTGCCAGATACAAAAACATTCCCGTTACATACATGTATCAAATCTGTTTATCAACCACTAAGAAAATGCAGTCGTTTAAAACTCGGACCTACGTCCATCAACCCACAGGACAGAGGCAAGAGGTAGGCTGCCATCAAGCCTCAGTATTGCAGTGCGAGTATGTCTAACCCTCGGAAGTCGGGGAATGACAGACGATAAACCGGAGAGTGAGTGTGTGTTTTAAACATTGAGTACCAGCATCCTTACCTTATCTAGATCTGACAGTTCCAGGTCGATCAGGCTGTGGTTTGTGTCGAAGCCGAGGCAGTTTTCATCCATCATGCGCAGAGCCTTCTGGAAGGCCTCCTCAAACCGCCGTCCCACTGCCATCACCTCTCCTACACTCTTCATGGAGCTGCCAATCTGGGGAAAGGCAGGGAGAAAGTATTGTCAGATGATCAGCAACTGTAAAACTCAATTGAACAGTGTTTCTAGTTTATCAAACCATAGGCCTCTGTTTTTCTTTCTCCAATAAGCCATACCCGTTTTCATACAACTGTCTGTTTACCTTCCTTAGTAGGTTTTCGACAGTCAATGATAATCCTATAAATATTCTGTTACCACAAAGCTGAAAGAACACTTTAAGCATAAGCCAGGAAACTACAAGACATGTGAACATTTGAGTTGTATCCTTGCTATTCATTTTCATTAACATTAACTACTACAGCCATTTTCATTTGTACCGAAACAAGAACAAAAGAGCTAAATAAATAGTCTTCTTCTACAAAAATGAATACAGGCACTATAATAGTCCCTTCCAAATCCACAGGTACAGATAATATTGAAATTGAGAAAGGCAGATAATAAGTCAACTTAGAAAAATTTTGCGTCTTACATTTTTGCTGACTCGGTTGAACTTCCTCAGGTCCCAGCGTGGGATCTTGACCACGCAGTAGTCCAGACTGGGCTCAAAGTTGGCCGTGGTGCAGCCTGTGACGGAGTTCTTCAGCTCGGGGAGGGGGATACCCAGGGCCAGCTTGGCCGCCACGTAAGCCAGCGGGTAACCTGTGGCCTTACTGGCCAGGGCAGAGCTTCTGGACAGACGGGCATTCACCTCGATGATGTAGAACTGGAAAGGGAAGAATGACACTCGTTGAATATTAACAGGATTCCTGGATGTCATTTTGTATGTAAGTAAAAAGATTGGCAAATATTTCCTTTTTCTGACCAGTGCAACTTATTCTTATAGATGGCAACATTTCTAAAAAGCCAATGCATCTTATTGTGGAAAATACTGTTTGTCTGTAGTAAATTGTTTTTAAACTTTGGACATAATTCAGTGGTCTCACTGCAATGTTCAATAAAGTGATCTTGAATCTTGGATTTAAATATCAAATATTTTTGGTGATGTATGTACTGAAAGTTTCTATATATTCTATGTTCTCATTTTCATGACATCTTTTTCAATATACATGAAATGTTACACTGTTCATTGCATATTGCTGAACAGAAGAGTAACAGGGTTTCTAAAGACATCAGACCTGTTCGTTCTCCGGGTTGAGTGCATACTGGATGTTACACTCCCCCACCACCCCCAGATGGCGGATGACCTTGATAGCCGTCGTCCTCAGCATGTTGTAGTCCTTGTTGGACAGGGTCTGACTGGGAGCCACGACAATGGACTCTCCCGTATGGATCCCCAGCGGGTCCACATTCTCCATGTTACAAACCTGAGGAAACAACAACCATTATCTTACCATGCTTTTGCTCAAATTAATACCTGAATGACTTTTTCTGTGAATGCGTCTCTCTGTAATCATGAATCAAGCAAAATGTCAGCAAGGCCACATACTGTAGATCTGCCAACACATTTGACATGGACCAGTAACTTGAGCCATAAAAATTAAACGTATATAAAAAAGACAGCTATGATCCAATTAAAAACCTTATAACCTACAATATAATCAAAAACAAAGGACCCACCGTGATGCAGTTGTCGAAGCCATCCCTGACCACCTCATACTCCACCTCCTTCCAGCCTTTGAGCGACTTGTCCACCAGGACTTGGTTTGTGTGAGCGAAGGCCGCCGTAGCCAGCTTGGTCAGTTCTCCTCTGTTGTTGGCAAACCCTGAGCCCAGCCCGCCCAAGGCGTAGGCTGCTCGCACCATGACGGGGTAGCCTAAGCGCTCTGCAGCTTCGACAGTCTGAAAAGAATTAGCAGGAAATTTTATACACACATTCAATTTTTCCAGTTCCATTTCTTAGGCCAGTGTTTGACTTGTTCTGGCAGCTTATTCTTTGACTCTGAAAAAAAGTGATGGTTGTAGTATCAATTTATCTGTTCAGCTGTGCAGATGAATTTATCTTTAAGAAATGAGTACAGTATCATTGACCAACTACAATCAAACAGTACCACCACAGTACAATCTTGCATACGTGTTTCTCTTTCAATTACTTCCATATACTTCAAGTTTAATGTTAACCCTTTAGTGCAGCATAACTTACCTGGTCCACAGAGTATGCTGCCTCGCTGGGGGCAACAAACTCATTAATTTCAGCCATCTTCTTGGCGAAGATCTCGCGGTCCTCAGTCATCACGATGGACGAGACCGGGGTACCAAGGACGCGCACGTTGTACTTCTCGAAAACGCCCTGCTTGGTCAGCTCCACGCCACAGTTCAGCGCCGTCTGTCCACCGAAGGTCAGCAACACTCCGTCTGGACGCTCACTTTTGATGACCTGGTATTTAAAAATGATAAGTTTGATAATTGATTTTTTTTACATTATTTGTGACATCAAAAAGCAAACCTTACAGCAGGGATAAGACTCCCTGAATTGCATAAAAAATTACAATGGACAAGACAGGCAATATGTACAATCCCTCATATACATTAAAATACATTGTTTTGTACCAGGAAAACCTGACTTTTATTGCATTAGTTAATTGCAAATTCCTGTCCGAAGGCTAATTGCAAATAACAAGGATAAAAGAACATAGAAACAGAGTACAAATTAACTTCAAAATCCACATAGTAAAAGGTAATTGTCTAAAACTAGAGCTACAGTCAAACCTGTACTAGCGGTCACCTTGGCATTGCGGTCACCCGGCCATAGCGGTCGGTTTTTGCCGGTCCCTTGAATTTTTCCCATTTACGTAAGCATTAAGAATCGCGTATATAGCGGTCACTGTTCAACGCGGTCAGCGGTCACCCCATTCCGGTCCCGCCGGCTGTCAACACCGCCGATAGCGGTCACGGCTGGCCGGCCGTTACCCGCTAAGCACCACGTATGTAACACCACCCGACCTCGGGCTACGGCCGTTAGGACGTTCAATCAAGCCTTGTGATAATTTTGTGGCCGCTACATTATTAAAATGTGAACTGAAATTAGACTCCAGATGTGTATGAAATAAAGGAAAACTTGATTTTGACACGAAATTTTTGCGGTCGCTTGTGTTGGCGTCTTTTATATCTGAAACACCATGTCGTGCGTGCCGCGGTGCTTTCAGTGGACTCGGCGAAGATTGCGGCAATCATCCTTACAAAAAACTTACGAATATCCATATTTGATTTTTCGATTCCTTGAAAAGCATAAATATGTGGCCAACTTCCCTTTTTCACGGGCATAATTCAAGAAATTTGGGCTGAGAAAATGCGTTTCGTGATTTTTCAAAATGGCGCAGGCTGCAGCGACAATCAGGTCAATTGGGGTCATCGGAAGACTCCATTAGTTTGAAGGTAGATCTGCCGACTTTTATTTAATTTTATAGCATCAAATGGCGTGATTACATTACAAAAATATTTGGAATACATTATTAAAACTAATTTCCATCGTAAACTTAAGTCTGTAGTGAATATTCTACAAAATTTGTAAGCCTGAAAGCAGCACTATTTTTGTTGACCACCACATTGGCATAATGGCAGAGGCAGACAACCCACGCCGGAAGAAACCCAAGCCGTAAACAAAGGAAAGTTTTCGCTACGTTTTCATGTTCAAAAATGACCAAAAAACGGAAAATAAACGGCAACAGATGAACAATTATTTTGCTGTTAACTAAATGGACAGCATCTTGGTACAAAAAATCTTGTTTACATCGTTGGAATTCGTTGTGGCGATGTCGGTCATGCGAAGCACTCACCAAAGAACAAAAACATGGCGATGTCATTCTCTTCCACTTGTCGACTTACGGTACTAGTAACGTGGCGATTGCGGAGAAACGATGGCAAAAGCGGAAAGACAGACGTCGAACGTATTCCACAAGGTGGATGTGATTCAACTGACAGCGAGTGAGAAGGAATTATCGGTCGAAGGAGTTTGCAGTCGGAAGAAACATGGCTTGGAGTCGACAGAAACTTTGTTGTTTGATTCGCTTTCAAGTTTTCTGTAGGTAACATCGATGTTACACGTACACAAGAACAGTAAACGGCAACCAGTGATTTTGTATACTTTAGTGGGAAGGTTTCATAGTCCCAGTAGATCAACTGAGTATCATGTCGAGTGCATGCAGTTTTGATATATAATTTTTTCAAGCCCACAACTAAAGCAAAAGAACAACAATTGAATTATAACATGTAATGTTACATTTGAAAAGAGACTTACCTGTGCAATGAATGTTTTCATATGTTTGAGAATAAAGACATAAATACATCTTTGTTCAATGGTACTGAAAGCATGTGTCACTTGGGGGGGGGGGCAACTAACGGCCATTTCTCTATAGTGGTCACCTGGCCATAGTGGTCAATTTTGACCAGTCCCTTGAGTGACCACTATAGACAGGTTTGACTGTATGTCTAAAATTATATCTGAATCATTGTCTTTGGTGAGGACTCACCACTACATATGCCTGTCTCAAGAGGACTGTGTGTTTTTATTCACAGACTATTCATAGATTTAACCACAGCCCACTTCTTATAATACATTTGTACCTATTCAGCTATGGAATCAACCAAATGAACTAAAAATAGAGGAGAATGAGAGAACTTGTCCGCTGACCTGTGTGACGTAGTCAGGTTTGATGGGTAAGAAGTACACCTTGTCTGCCAGGCCCTTGGAGGTCTGGACTGTGGCGATGTTTGGGTTGATCAGGACCGTCTGGATACCTTCTTCCTTCAACGCCTTGATGGCCTAAAAAAACAGGAGGCATGGTAACAAGAATTCTAGGGGAAATAGATAACTTCTTACCTTATCACAAGTAATCTGAGTCATACAAGGCTGAACCTCACCACTTCCACAATTACAGGTATAAGACTCAAAATATAGGCAGCGTAATTTACACTAGTGGCATTGCACACAATACTAAAAGCTAACTAGTGGGCAAAATCACAAACCTGAGATCCAGAGTAGTCGAACTCCCCGGCCTGACCAATAGACAGGCCCCCTGAGCCCAGGATCAGCACCTTGCTGGGGCGACTCTCAGGCACCGATGGTGGCACCTTGTACTCAAGATGGTCAACCAGACGATCCTTTACGCAAGGGCTGTGGGAGGAACATTTGTTAAAATGAGAATTTTTCTGGGACTTACCTAAAGGCACAATTCGAATTTAGTCAGAATAGGCTTTTATTAAAAGTTAACAGTGAGATAACTGTTAAAAGTTTTAAACACTTAATCTAGTATTCAAGATGACTACACTGTACGTTAAACTTTTTTGGTACCACAATTTCAACAATTTATTAAAGAAATGCTCAAATTGACATGTAGGCTACTTTCAAGTTCACGAGGGATGAGGTATTAGGGTCCAACAAAATGTAACAAAGACCTGATTGTTCAATTTCAGTTTTAAAAGTTCAACTTTTAATGCTACCAGTAGTACTAATTCTTTCAATGTAAAGATACAAGGCCCCCTACCCTGCCTGTCCCATGCCTTTCTTGTGCGTTCTGACCACATCCAAGAAGACATCAAACAGTGACTCCAGGTCCTGTGGCCCTGCCATGTTCTCTGGGTGGAACTGGACACTGTAGAAGGGCTTGGAGTTGTGCACAATACCCTGCAAACAAAGAATGGGGAAAGAGTGAAATCTACCAGTCCACATAAAATACCGACTGAAAAACAACAGGATACAGAAATACATTTTTTGGCATGGCAGTAGATTTTTGTCACAGTAGATTCATAAGTTCTGGACAGTGCACTTGTACACTCGTTAAGCTAAACTGGCTAGTTTTTAATCATCCCAAATGTTGAAGAGACCTGGTACCTCGTTGGTCTTGTCGTTAGCGTTGGTGAAGAGAATAGACCAGTCCTGGGGGAGGTTGGATGCGTCAACAGCGAAGCCGTGGTTCTGGGACGTGATGTAACACCGGTCCGTGCCAGAGTGGATGCACGGCTGGTTGTGGCCGCGGTTGCCATACCTGCAGAGTAACAACAACAACAATTACCACAGAGGAAGAAACCAATGTTATAGTGATCAATGATGGTACTAATTCAATTTGACCAGAACTGAATCTAGGATTTGAGAAAACAACAGCTAGTTTCTAATAGTACATGTACTGTTCAACTACTTCTTTGTGGCCAAAAGTCTTGATCATATGACCCCCCCAAAAATGGATGGCGATCATAACATAGAAAAGTTCAACAGCAGTTCTCTTGTCTACAGTTCTGTTTAGGAATATAGGAAACAAAAAAAAAAGGCTGATTCTTACTTCATCTTGTAGGTTTTGGCACCGATAGCTATGGACAGAAGCTGGTGCCCCAGGCAGATGCCAAACAGAGGTTTGGGGTTGGGCTCGTTCACGACACGCTGGATGTTCTGTATGGTCTGTGTGGCCATGGACGGGTCACCCGGGCCGTTACTCAGGAACAGGCCATCATACTCTGTAAAAAGGCGAACATAAATTCTCTTAACTTGACTCTACTATACAGTGCATGTACAAACAGAGGTCATTCAAAAAAACGGAATGAACAAATAGATGTATATTCATCTAATGTACTTCTCTTCTTAAACCTACAAGACAATTATTAAAGGTATCAAACAACACAGCACAATGGCAACGTAAAGTCAAAATACAACAAAGCACAACAAAATACAGAAAATACACATACCATCACTGTTGAACTTGTAGTCCCAGGGAACAACCTTGGCCTTGGCACCCCGTCTGCAGAGGCAGCGGAGCTGGTTGAACTTGAGCCCACAGTCCACCACCATGATCCTCACATCACCTTTCGGGTTGTACTCCTGCGGCTCCTGAGACAAGAAAGGTTGTTCCTCAAGGGTTAGTAATGAGAGTTTAATTCCATCAGCAATGCCCAAAAACTTCTGCAATATCTGCTCATAATTTTTCCTTGCCACTGTATGATCTGCTCGGAGATTAACATCCATATCCTTCTCTCTTACTTACTAGTCTTAAGACTCAAAGTCTACACTCCACTGTTAAATTCATTGTTTAGGTTTCTGTGACTAGACCTCTGACTCTGAGGGTTTTTACAATACTCTAAAAAATGATATTTCTGGATGTATAACAATGAGGGATACATCACTACATGAATTCTTTGGTACTGAACACTAAAAAGAGACACCTACATCATATGACACCTCAGCCACCAGGTTTCTCAGGTTGGGGTCTTCAAATGGAACATCGTTGCCGTCAACCACCACCTTCCCCAACATGGTGCCCTTCTCACGGATCTTCTTGGTCAGGGCACGCGTGTCAATACCTGAAAACAATACACAAAATGTAAGGCCATGCAGATACATACATACTTTTCACTGATTGATGTAAAATAAGTTAACAATGTATAATACAGTACTTGCCCTTAAAATGGAAACTCAACTCAATGAGATAACAATTCTTGCTTTCTATAGGTTCACAAATCAAAGTATGAATGAACAAGCCATAAACACAGATCTCTGTACTTCACCATGCAACATACTTTAGTATCATAAAACTTTAGCACTAGTCTTTTTCCATGTAAATTGAATCAGTACCTTCAATGGCAGGAATGTCGTATTCTTTCAGCCAGTCCGACAGGGACTTCTGTGCGCTGAAGTGGCTGTACTGCTGGGAGTACTCCCCGACGATCAGAGCCGACACGTGGATCTTTGCCGACTCAAACCACTTGCGGATCCCGTACTCGTCCTGACCGTCCTCGGGAATCCCGTAGTTGCCGATGAGGGGGTAGGTCAGGACCAAGATCTGGGAGCGGTAGGACGGGTCGGTGAGGGATTCTGGGTACCCCACCATTCCAGTCTGGAACACTGGGAAGAAAAGGGAGAGTCAGTGCAACAATCACTGTCATGACTTGGTAATCAATAGATTTTGTACTAAATCATAGACTCCTGTGAAACAACTGCCTACTACAAGTGAATTGATGTCTAAATGTGCTTGAAACGTTACTGGAGCGAGCAGAAACGCAAAAACCCCTGACTCCCGGGACACCGGGAATCAAACCTGCACTGAACTCAGGCAGCCAGCTTACGACCAGAGCACCATAACCACTACTCCACCTAGTGGAGCTTGAACCCCACTGTTACATGCTTGTAACACATGCCAGCAAGGAAATATTTGTCGTGCAGGCCTTCATGTTTTCCAATAGAAATCTAATGACTAGCCCTATAATACCTGTTACAGCTTACAAATTGTTGCTTATCTCTCTAACTTCGCACTGTCTTAATTTTATGGATGACATCCTCAGAAGACCCCAAACTAGTGCACGCAGGTGAAAAAATTCCAGCCAAATAAATATGCTGATAAACCACACAAATTTGCAGTAGCACATAACAAGGAGGTCTCTTTTTAAACCCCCTTGTACATAACAACTTTTAAGACAAGCCGGCACATGCTGGCCTTTTGCAGCATTTAGGAGTCGGTACTGTACTGAGTTCTGGAGTTCCGTGGAGCTTCGTCAGCCTGGGTGGCGTCTTCTGTAGTTACTGTCAGCTCCCTACTGTTGATAGCTACCATGAACAGTATGGAGAATGGCACCCAGGCCAGAGCCTTTTCTTTTTTTGAGGACAGGCGAAAAGCAATGCACACGCGGATGTCATCCATAAAATTAAATCTGTGTGGCCTAACGCTGTGATTTGGGAGAGGGGACAGAACTAGAAGCCTGTGGATTTAATCCACAAAATAAACTTTGTGTTGTCTTATTCAAATCACCTCAAGACAGGTAAATCAAATAAATTATGCATAGATACACAAAAGAAAATGTGAGAATCACTCTACACGAATGTTAACCTTACAGTCAATAACTAGGAACCTTTCGGCCAACCAAAGTATAGTGATCAAATGTGAACAGCAAAGAGAGCAAAAATATAATTTTTCTTTCTTGTGTATAAACTGTCACTGTGTCACAAAACTCACATCATCAATAAAATCTAAAATGAAAATTTCATGAACAGATTCTACATCAACACATCATTTCCAGGTCTTCTAAATTTGTTTACATCTAAAAACTGGTGAGTCAAAACTGTCAAAGATAGAAACAGCTGCAAACACAGAGTTGAAAATGGACACAACAAAAAAAGACATGTGCAAAGGGGGAGGGCGGCAGCTTACCGACTTCCCCGGCAACACTTTTCTGTGCTCCGAACAGTCGCCCTTCGTAGACAGCCCCATCCTCGAGGTGCAGAACGGCAGATTGCTGCGACATCTCTTCGGTTTGGCGTTCAGTTTTCAGCAAGAAGCAAGTTCACCGATCGTGATCCAGGCCCTCCTTGATTTCCCGCGAAAAATTTGGATAGCCCGCGCGCGCGCTGTTTTCAAAAACAATGCCAGGGGTCAGCAGGAAAAAACGCCACTAAATTCTCACGAAGTCACCCAAAACGTCGTCCAGTGGCAGATAGGAGGGTCTTGCATACACCTGATCGGTTGGATGATGTAAAAGTTGGAAAACAAAGCAAAAGTTAGAGAGATTAGCAGAGTTCAAGAGAAGACGAATCAACCAGGCTGTCCGCCATTGAATGCCAAGCGCATGTGTGGCGCCCCAGAATTTATAGGGTAGGGTTAGCTTGCGTCATCGCCCTTACCGACCAATCAGAACATAGAAATCCGGAAGAAACTATTTTAGTTACAGGGAAAATATATTATATCAGAGAAATATATCAGTTGCAATATTCCACTTACGAACATTACATGTACATTTTTGTGATAATAAAAGGTATGCAAATGTTATCACATATCTATATTTCTGCTCTTACTATTTCATTATATTATCCATTGATATTCAGTAAGTCAAGTTTCCCCTAAAAATCTTGAAGTGTACTTCCGGTTTACGTTGTGATCTCTGGAAAGCGAACACGTTTTCCTTTTTCTTTTCCGTGAGTCATACAAGAGAGACATATGCCAAGTGTGATCAATGAATGACAGCAGTTTGGGGGTAAAACTGAAACATTTAATGAATATTGTTTACCTCGGCTGTTGGGCAATATCTCAAAGAAAAAAACTGAGCAGATAGTTTGATTCAAACCTCGCTGTTTCGGAGGTAAAAAGCATTTTGAAGTGGACTTGTGTAACTGCCCCCCTCCCACTTGATACACGTGTGGACAAGTATCTTCTGCGTTTCGTGAAGAAAATGGGACGTGTGCGACACAGGAACGCCAACCGAGGTGGCATGAAGAACAACAAGAAGATGAAGACCAAACGCCGGAGTAAGGATGTCGACCAAGTCCACGATGACTTGAAACCAGAAAAGGCTTCTGCACTGATGAATCAAGATGTCGACCTGGACTTGCCTGGGTCAGCCCAGCATTACTGCCTCCACTGTGCGCGATATTTCATCGACTCTCATGCTCTTAAGGAACACTTCAAGTCAAAGGGACACAAGAGGAGACTTAAGGAACTGAAAACGGAGCCGTACACACAGGAGGAAGCGGAGAGAGCGGCGGGAATGGGGAGCTACCGCCCGCCAAAAACTGTAGAACATGTTCCGTTTGTCACGGAAACGATGGACGAGAAGGAGGATTGAGGAGACTTTCGTGGCATTAACAGGAGTTTCTGGGACACGAACACCGATTTTCGTCGTTCACCACTTTCCCGAGTCAAACATTTTCAACTTGATGAAGACATTACAGAACTCGGGCATCGATCTGCCTTGTATAAATTCCTGAGATAGCAAGGGAGGGAGAGCCTCTCACACCATGCTTTGTAATACTAACTGAGGACTGCTTTTCATAAAACTATATATTCTTTCAATCATCATGATGTTAGCCCATACAGTATATGAAATTTATGTACATGAGGAATTTTTCCATGGATCTTTTCAATAATTTCTTGTCTGCAAAGTATCATTATTGCTAAAACTGCCAATGTGGTTTAGTCTTACATCATCATCAATGCCTTCATGTTACTTACATGTTACATAAGATGTATAACAGATTAACTACATTCATAACCTCAGAATTATATTTTAATGAACATGCTATCACATATATTAAATACCAAAAGATTTATGTCCATGAGCTGTATTTGAGGTTGGTGATAAACTTGCCAAAACAAGGACAATATTTATTTATAATGTTGCACCTATTGATTTGATTGCATGTGATAATGTAACAAACCAATCTCGCACCATCTTGTATAGCAGTTAATCTGCAACATCACAATTGGCAGAGTGAGCAAAAACTACGGAGGCAATTAAGCACACAACAATGCAGTTCAATTTTATTTTAAATACATAAGTTATGTCTAATATGTACCATTCTCTCTCTGAATTGGTATCATTCACCATGTCATTAAAACATAGATTTATTTGATTGACACAACATCTTTCTCATACTAGTAGTCAGAAATCCAGAGTGACCTCTGTGTGGTCTATAATAATATTCATTTTAAGAAGATGGCTAATGACACTTTTGGAGGGTTGGGTACAGTAATGGCAAACCTGTTCATTTTCATCATCTCTTGGGCCTAGTAGACTAAAGGGAGAAGCCAATTTTTGGTTATCTCTGTTTTAAGGTCATAGTCTTCTTAAATTTTTGGGATGAATTTCAAAACATGGTAATTGGTCAAACAAATAAAAGATTAATGGAAGCAAGTCAGCTGACCTATTCAGCCAAACTAATTCACATGTCATCCTGCTTTTAGTGTACAGTATGCAAATATAATGAAATTGCAAGATGGGCACAGAATGAGGTCAGCCTTCAAACAATCACCAAGATAAAAGAGATAAATACCATAGCACATAGGATTGCACTATATTTTCCCCACAGCTAAATTATTCCATATACATGTATATATTTGTACAGCATTCACAACTTAATTATCCTTCATAATGTCTTTCAGCAATAATAAAGTACTGAACTGTAACTCTTGGGTTTAAGACAGCAACAGTTTATGTAACTTAATGAAAGTGTCACCAGTCTACTTCTCCGGTTTACACTGCCTGTTTTACATAGAAACAGATTGCACATAAGCTGTAGTAAAACATTGGATCACTGAACAACAGGAGTGAGTGCATCCTCTCCAAATGTTGTCACAAACTGGCTGATGTATTGTTCACAGTGCTCTCCAGGAGCAAAGCGAGGGTTCGCCCTCAATCTGAGATTTCTCTGCTCGAAGAATTTGAAGACTGTGTAGAACAGCATGTTGTCCTCTGTGGCGTGGGCTGCCTCCAGAAACTTGCGTGCCGACACTGTGTCTACAATACCTACACTGCGGATGAATCGCAGGGCTGTGAGGAGTTGGTGCTTGGACAACAAAACCTGGGTGGAATTGAAGGAAAAAGAATATCATTACTACATACATTTCAGCCATTCAAACCTTAGACAGTATCAGCAGTTTTTAACTATAATGCCTGCTAACACTTTTACTTCTACTCCCACAAGGATAAAATTGTTCAGATCATGATCAAGCCAAATAGATTGGCAACTGGCTTCAATCCAGTCAACTGTACCCCAGTGGGAACGCTCCTGATCTGGCTCAGCAACTAACAGAAATACATGAATCAGTATGGTAGAAAATGCTTCTACAATACTGACCTCAATGATCTCCTCGTTGGCTGTGGAGAGACGTTTGAGCATGTCCAGAGCCAGCTGATGAGCAGGAGGGTACACACTCTCCAGGGACAGCATCAGGCAGGCGATGGGCTTGGAGTCACTCAGAACATGGTACTGTTGGAGCAAGAAACACTTGTGTGAAAAGGAACTATTTCGCATAAAATAGCCTGAAAAAATCTGGGGGTTTCATTTTTACGATAAACATTATAGGATTGTGAATATTGAAAGCAAAAGGAGTAACCACATATAGCCTGGGTGCCATCCTCTGTAGTTTCTGCCCGCTCCCTTATGTTGCAGGGCACCATGGACCAGCGACATTAGGGAGAGGGCGGAAACTATGGAGGATGGCACCCAGGCTAAACCACATAGTGTATAGCATGTATAGATGTATAGCATCAGCAGTTGTTTTCATAAGTACCTCAATGCCATGTATATACATTATACAGTTAACATTTTTAAGTGCAAGTACAATTCAATTTCAAAATATTCTATAACATCCCTCAAGGTAATTTCAAGACAGTGGATTTCACTCCAGGTGTTCAGGACAACAAAACTGTCCCTTCCAATCTATGAAGCATTTCACCTGTAGGAACTGGTGGAGCTGGTAGAAGCAGTTATTCTGCACCAGGGTGTTGATGACCAGCTCATACAGGTAGTGTTGGACTGGGATCTGGAACTGGCTCAAGGACCGGATATACTCCACCAGCACTGCAACCATGAACTTGTACTTGATCTCCTGCAGGGAATACATACAAGTCAGAGCAAACAAATTGATAACTTTGAGCCTTGATCCTTTCTTCATGTCAATGGTACATACCTCGTCAAATTCACTTTGATCTTTATTTATCAAGATGTGCAAATTAGATAAAACTCATTGCCTACTTATGATCTTGACAGTTGAAACAGTCATTTGTAAGTTTACAAAGCACAAAATTGAAGCTCTGTGAAGTTACCTTGTTATCCACAAAGATAGACAGCACATGTGTGTACATGTCTGACTGGTCGATAACAGCCTGGGACCTCTGTGGGCGTTTGGGTGTCCCTGTACCTCTGGCCTGGGCTATCTCCACAGCCTGGGCATAGGCTGTCTCCTCCTCCAAGTATGATCTGTACACCTTCAGGAGAAACAACAGTTCTCTCAATACTTGTAGACTGAAAAATACTTGCACTTAGAGACTGGATCTGTCTTTTGTATTTAGGTGGACCATGGATGGTACCAACCTAATCCTTGGGTGAAAAATTAAAGAAATTATCTAGCATCAATCCTATATAAAATTTTCTCATTCACTAATTCATATTCATTTAAATTGATGTTTTATGCCACAATACACTGTTTATACTCTATGTCCTACCCTGTTGAGCTTGTCAAAGATACTGGCAATTGTTGGCAGGTTACACTGTCTGCCAGGAGTCAGCATCTGCTTACATACAGACAGGATCACCATCTTACAGTCCCTGGGGAAGAATAGACATGTTTTGTTACATTTCCTTGTTATAAAGAATGGTATCTTAACTGAGTTATGGTTAACATAACCCACTGGCTTGGCCATAACATGATTTTCTAGTTCTGTGTGTTTTCAGTTCTACTTGTGAAACATCGAAAAGTTCTAGTAGTTAATGTAATGTTACTTTTTTACTTTTTCTAACCAATGGACAGGGCTTCCACTCTTTTGGAAGGGTGGTTTCATTGAAGTCTCAAACAATATTCCATCTATTACTGATAAAAAGTATGGATCATGTATATACAGGTATTATGAAGTAGATAGTGACCTTCGCAGCAGTAAGAAGTCCATGAGACGACACTTGTCAGGAATCATGGTGACCAGTGGCTCCAGTTTCAGACACACAGTCCACAGACACCCCAGCTTGGCATCGATAATGATGCTGGGCTGGAACACTATCCAGTTAGGGGAGTACAGCTCACAGTTGATCTCCTTCACCTCTGGACCAGCAACAGTGGGCACCCCTGAGGTGAGAAAGTTGGTATACTCCATTGCTTTAACTGATATTGCCACCTTCTGAAATTGAGTTGAATCCTGTCATGTCTCACATGAAAATCAGAAGACTTACAAATGTCTGTGCCACTGGAGTTTGACTCACCTGCTACCCTGAGTTTAAACGGTTTGATCGGCAATGGAGACAGGACCGGATGGTGGTAGGTAACATAGCCATCTGACTCTGTTTCACCCTGCAAGACGTACACACAAGCACGAAATGTCAATCAACATCAAATTACATACATGTACATAAATGATAAAAGTATACCAGTAAGCTCTTTTACATCTTTACTCCAATATTAGGAAAAATATGAAAAGTAGGAATCTCACTTGTAATTTGATGTCAAAAATCATGGAGGTCTTGGATGCCTGATGATGCACCACAATCAGGTTGTCCACAATGTTGACGGCGAAGCGGCCACTCATGTCCAGCCTCAGCACGTTAGTCTTCTTAGCAGGGCTCTCCTTCTGCAGCTGGTACAGAACCACCTCCGCACTGGCATGGCCCGGTCCTCGGGGCTGGTGGCGCAGGACAATGATGTACACCTGATGACAGATATAGTAATGCAGAAAATGAGTGAAGAACACATTATTCAGTCACTAGTACAAATGACTAGGACAGCTCATACCAGCAAGCAATCCCAATGACACTAGGGGGCACCACCACAAATTGCAGATGCTGTGTGCTAAACTGAATGCCAGGAAGAAATTCTTCAGTGTGAAAGTAATCCAGGTATGGAACAAGTTGCCATCAGAGACTGTAAATCAGTCGACCACCATTGGATTTAAGAACAGCATTGATGAATACATATGTCCATCGTGGTCCTTATGTATTCATCAATGCTGTTCTTAAATCCGATGGTGGTCGACTGATTTACAGTCTCTGATGGCAACTTGTTCCATACCTGGATTACTTTCACACTGAAGAATTTCTTCCTGGCATTCAGTTTAGCACAAGGACCATGATGGACATAGGAGCTACAAAGGGCTAACCACTTGCTCCTCTGCAATTCAGGTAAGTTCATGTAAGTACAATCATTGCTATAATTCCCAAACACAAAGATTGCTGAGACTTCCAAAAAAGATAAAGTGTAATATGGTCACAGGTAAGATTGAGTTAGAAAGATTACCTGCCCATATATTTGAGCCATGGTGACATCCCTTTCCAGCAAGCAGAGCTTTGGAGGTTTGGGTACGACTGGCAGGTCCACCTCAAACTTGGGGAGCTTGAATACCTGAGAAAAAGAATCGATTTTTGAAAATATGAATTACTGTTAACAAGTGTTCAAAGAAAGACACAGCATTCATTCACAATACAACTCACAATAGAAACGGCCCAACAATTGAACAACAATTAAATAACAATTGAAAGTTCTCTCACCTGCCCTGCCCTGAACAGGTAAGGGTGCAGCACGTTCCCTAGCGTGGAGGAGGACAGCAACAGCAGGGCGCTCTCCGGCAGGTACACGAACCAGTTCACACTCACGTTGTACGTCTTGATGGACTTCAGGGTCTTCTTCTCAGGAATGACCTGGTAGTACTCCAACCCGTGGTCTGTGATAAACACAACTTCATTGATGGCCACCCAGTTGAATCCTATAATCTTGGTCGTCTTCCCTTTGCAGCTCTGAGAGTACTCTACCGGGTCTACCGCCTGTCCGAAGTTCATGAACTCCACGGTTTTGTAGCAGCGCTGGATGGCCAGGATCTTCAAGTCGTAGGAGAACTTGATGGAGATGACACTCCCCTTGTCTTCCATCCGGAAGTTGATGGAGGTTTTCGCGTCCGGTCCTTTAACCACGACGCCCGTCGCTCCACCAGAGCGCACGGCGAAGACTTGCCTGTTGTTCTCATCGAAGAAGACGTTGTTGACGTTTGAAACAGGGTCAAAACGGATGGGTGAACGCGACAACTCCAAGTAGAAACTGTCGTCCGCCATTTTGGCTGTTTCTCCTGGCATGGAAGATACTACTATTTTCGGGTAAGAAGCAAAACTTTCTTTAATACTGTTAGTAAATTTTTATTCATCGTTAGCATGTCCTCATATAAAATGATGAATTTTGTTTGATAACCTATATACTTTATACAAATATGAGCATTTTGACCATTGGTTAATGTACAAATACCATATGAAATCAGTGGAATAGTCCAGTTATGCCCTCCAGGTTATTGACTTTTGACCCCATCCGCTGACGAGGAAAACAGCATGGCGGTAAATGTGTGTACTATGTGCAAACACCACAAGCTTTGTCCTTAATCGTTGAATTAGGGAAGAACTGAGATATTTTGCATCGTTCAAAAATAAGTCAAGAAGTTGAGTATCTATTTATCACGTGTGATTCCCTTTCGTTGCGGTATAACGCCAAATCTCAACTTCAGGAAATTTAAAGGTGGACCAAACTCTTTTGAGCTGAGTGAGGCTTCCAAGTGATAGCAGAGATGCTGGGGGCTGTGTGGGACTTCATCAAACGCCACAAGAAGAAGTTCATCTTTGCCGGAGTGGTTGTTGGAGGTGAGTAAAGGCCCCTGGTATCCAGATAAGCGTTGAAAAAAGCCCACATGCACTTCCCATCATTGTGCAAGGAGAGAGGGCCTTTTCCATAAAGCCTATGCTATATAAACATCAGGTCCAACAATGGGTGCTTAGAAACTCCACTTCAGAGTCCATTTTCTGGTTCACTGATTAAGAGAGTGTGTGACTCAGCAGAACTTTTGGTGTGTTTCTTCCGTCAAGGTGCTGTTTTTCTCGGGAAGTATGCAGAGACCAAGCTGAGAGAACTCCAAGAAAAAGAGATGGCAGAACAATTGGAGAATGCCAGGTAAATATCTATGGTAATCTGCAGTAATTCTAATCAGCCTGTTCTGATCTGAATGTCTTGTCATGAGTAATGGTACAAATATTGTAGCTATAGGTTTATTTGCATATGGCTACCAGTGACTTATTCTACAATGTTCATGTAACACTGTTGTGGTTTCACACCTTGTGAATGGTCTAATTCTCTTTTGTAGACTTTGATGTTTAATCTTGACATTGCAGGAAAAAGCATCACTTCGACAACAACCAGCGGACATGTAACATGACGGTGTTGTCCATGATTCCCAGCCTGAGGGAAACTCTCATGCAGAGGATAAACACAGAGGAACTGGTCGCTAAGCTCAAGTCCAAGTACGTTTTTGCCTTCAAACATTCTTAACAGTCTGCTTGATTCTAAAGGTTGGTCACTAATCTTGGACCAAAATGTGAGACACCCTGTAAAGGATGAGGTTTTTCATATGTACCTTGTACATGGAGGGCATTAAAATCAACTCTCGCATCGGATCTGCCCAAATGGTGCTACGTCTTACATATCTGTGGTCTTCTTTATCTTCTTCTGATGTTATTTACCTATTTGTTCTTTTTTGCATCATCATAGACCTCCAAACAAAGTTGAACTGTGGGAAGACCTCAAAATAGACAGTGAGTATCACAATCCTTAATTGTTATCAGAGAAGTCAAACTAATCTAGAAAGTTATTGTCAGCCCTAATTTGCCTACTCCATAGTAAGAATAATAAAACAATGTTAGGTTACTAGTATTTTATCCACTTTCTACTCAACTAGCAGTTTAGGAAAGTGGGTAATGAAATCCTATGTGTCTGTGGCCAGGTTTCACCAGAGTGCTGGTAGCCCTGTATGGTACCTGTATCCTGGTGGTACTGTTGAGGGTACAGCTGAACATCATCGGAGGTTACATGTACCTGGATAGTCTGCTTAACCTGAATGGAGCAGTGAGTATCTATTTTAATAATCAATCTGTTGTAATACAAGTTGTAGATCTTAAATACAGTACTTTTCTACTACATGTAACAAGTCTTTCTTGTCTTCTTGTTTTTTTTTAAGCTTCTGCCTGCTGCCTAACCCATAACCAATATAGAATTGGTAGCCAAAAGGGCTACATTAGTGCGATAAAAGTTGATACTAAGTCTGAAACTGATCATGTATTTGTGAAACAGAGTAAAGAAGTTGTCCAGGCCCCTCGTGAGATCCAGGAGAGATATCTGGCTAGTATCCAGTACCTGCTGGGAGATGGTGAGCCTCATATTGTTTCACACTTAAAGACTGTAAAATAGTTGATTAAATCCTTTCATTTTGTGAATGAATGTTATTCCCACCTTGTTGTATCAAAGTATTAACATTCAGACCTTGTGTCCAGGCTTGACTTTGTTGATCCGTGATACAAGACAAGCAGTACAAGAAGTGATCGGAAGGTATGGTTTTCAGTATCCTTTTCACTATATTTCATCTGATTTCTGAAACAAACAATGCACCTATCCCTTGACCTCGTTGAGGGTCGTTGGGGCACCATGACTTGGTCCACTATCCTCCTCCATTTAACTCTGTCCTCCACTGCTCATATGGCTTCAGCTAGACTCCACTCTTTTATATTGTCTTCCCACCTCTTTCTCTGCCAACCCCTATAGCTAACATAAAAGTAACAGCTGTCAAAAAATGTCAACTTATTTGAAGCTTCAAAATTGAAATGAAATTGAATCCAGGACACCCACCTAGCATGTTTGAATTACAGCTTGTCCCTGAGGCAGGAACTGTCCCTGGAGGACCTGCACCAGGCGGTGTGGAAGGTGCGCAGGGAGGTGGAGCGGGCACCCGAGGACGGGCTGGACATCACCGGCCGGTCAGCCAGCACCACCGGGCTCACCAAGTACATGCTGCCTGAGGAGGAAGAGGAGAAACTTGACCAGGTGATATAGGGGTTTTCTTTTACACAACCAATGTTTCAATTTTAATGTAGTTAATTTGTATGATGTATGTCTAACTCCAGGAAGACTAGCCACATACTCGTTTGCTTATGGAGCTAAAGCACCTCCTACCTTAAGCCTTGCTTACGTTTCAGTGTCTATCAGACACCTTCCTCAGAGCTTCTGACTGGAGTTCTGCTTCTCGCCGCTATATGTAACTTAGTCGATATAGAAACCTGTTTGTCTCCTTACATAACTCAAGAGCCTCTCACAAATGCTGAATGTCTCCTCCAGTCTCCCACAAATGATGGATGTCTTGTCATCTCCTTGTCCTGATTTGTTTGTCCAGGCCTCCAGCCTGTCTCAGGATGACCAGGTCCTACAGAAGCTGCTGTCAGAGACCAGAGACATGATCGAGAGGTGGGTGTTTGAGATAAATAAACAGAAGCCATGGTTTATATAATTTCTGATCTCTTCAAAAAGATGACTAGTTTGAAAAGTATTGCTTTGACACTTTTTGTTTGACAAAGGGAAAATAGATGTCAAGCTACTAGTTTGGCTGAAACTGTAAGGACAAGATCATCTTAAAGTTAGACAATCTCAAGTTGCTTTTTTTTCTTTTGGATAAGTCTGAGGATGTACCGATACTTTTGTTCCAGTGTTGACTTCCAAACAGTGCTGTCCACGTGTCTGGAGGCCAGCTTCACCCGGCTGTGTGATGAAGTGGGTGTGTTCTTCAGCGCAGAGGGCAATGCTGTGGCTGCAGATGGGGACTTGGGGTACGTATAGATAGAAGACTCCAGTTTGAATGTCCAAGGAAAAAAATAGTGATCTTAACTTTCAAATTCAGAAATTACTTCCCTGTTATAAAAGATTTCAAATCACACTATGATGGAGAATGTGACACACGTTAACAATGACATTGTTGCAGGGTTCCCAAGGTGACCCTCCCCATGGCCAAGGTCATCCCAGTGATGAATGGACAGATCCACCAGATCTGTAGTGACTCTCCCAACAAATATGTACAGGTGGGTATTGCCAAAGCACAGTTACTCAAGTAACTGGATATGATTTTGGAAATGGTGAGATGTTTGAGGTGGCATCCACTACCTTTTAGGACAGTTTTTTGGCATATCTTATTACCTGGACATCTAATCTTCACTGAGGTGTGTAGTGCTTCCACCTGTGATTTTCCTAGAAACATACTGTAGAACAGATAGGACAGTAGGAGTATCCTCAATAGATAGCTTTACACAAAGACTAGACTTGCCAGGTTTTGTGCAACAGGTACTACAACCAGTCACCGACTAGCACTGTTGAATGCCCACCATGCCGGTATGTTCTGTCAAAGCTATACAATACAGATGTCTGTGAGAAATAACACAAAGTCTCCCTTCTCCTCAGGAACTATTGCTGATGGAGTGTGTGAAGGATTTTGCAGCCAATGTTTATGAGGCCTTCAGCCAGGCCCAGGAGCCCCCTGGACTTACCTGAGGACATCAGAGTAGATCAGAACTAAATGTACATGTACACACTACAGCAAAATACTTTTCATCATACTTCTGAACTGTGTTTCTGGTTTGCCCTAACTTGAACAAGTGAGGCACACAAGTGTACTACAGTATTTGTACTTGACTATGTGAGATACACACATGATAGTTTCCCAATTTGTTGTATCTTTTGCTATGCTGCAGTTTCTAGGGAAAGATGAAATGTAAAATATTTTACAATCTACATATGCAAGTCAAGAGAATATTTGCTCCTTATGCCATTGTCATCAATCATAACATACACATTATTTAGGGAATAGAAAGTGCAGTGAGCATTTAAGAAATGTTCCATCTTTGAGATAATGCTTGTACCATCTGTAATGATCAATTTGACATAATTACCCATTACTCAACTTTGAGGTTGTAGCGAGAATTCAAACTTGCCCTGTCCTGTATATGTGGAACCAGGAACTTATGGATGTGCAATTTCAAGCTACAGTATATTCAAATGGTTCGCCAGAGGGATAGTCAACTTAGTTATGTCCCTCAGATGTTGTCATAATGCATTTTCCATCATGGTTTCTGGTCAAGAGCCCAAGAGAAAAAGAGGTGAACATTTCCTGTATTCGAAGTGAAGATAACCAGCATTGATGGTACATATTTTTTCATGGTTGAAGGTCAAAAAGTTACTAAGTATTATTTTAAGTAGTAGCCACCAACATATTGTAACATTATCTGAAATGTAGCATTTTCGTGTACTTTAACATATTAGGAGACATTCTGCTTGTACATGTTGCTGAGCAAATCAAGAAAGGCAAAGATAAATGTAGCCTTTTTACTCAAGAAGTCTTTTGTATGTATATACTGGCTTCCAGCTTGAAGTCAGTATATACATACAAAAGGCTTCTTGAGTCTCCACAGCTAAGATAGATGTAATGATAAACTGTACACATCATTGTATTTTGTTCTTTTATTGAATAATAAATGCAAAGTGCAAACTTCCATGTTCTAACTGCTTCATAAACTTTGTTAATCCTCTATGGAACTGAAAAAAATGTTACCATTATTTGCCTTATGAAGTTCTTATGTGATTAACTGTCATCTACATTTTTTCTCAAACTACCACCTTGATCATAAAGCTTTGAGAACATTGGTGGGTAATACTTGTCAGTACAGGCACATTTTTTTAAATGTTTTAGAAGGAAATAATACCACAAATTATTTGTAGGCTTTCTTATCCATGTACATTTGTACCATGGTACTCAACTGTATCTATAATCACGTGTTAAAGAGTAGTATAAGTGTTGATTGGCAGTATAATGTAATATGATGGCAAATTTGACATATAAAAAGCAGTTTCAAAAATAGAAAGACTCTGTTGTTGTACATCATTTGTTTCCTGAACAATAGTCTGCATAAATGATGGCACAAATGACAACAACTCTACAGTGGATGTTGAAAAATGTCAAAATGAACCTCTAAAGTGCAATCTTCTGGCAGCTAAAGAGAGGTGCATGGCACCATCCCAACCTACATAACAAAAGTATTAATGGTAAGAAAAATAAACAGATTTTGACATCTCTACCTTACATCAGAACTTGTTCAAAAATATATTTCCTATGTTTTACAATCTTTACGAAAGTGAACTGTCAGCCAGAAAGTAATTCTGTGTTATCATGATGATAAGTCACAACAGCATGGTACAATACACTATTCTTCTCAAGTCTACTACAAGAAAATACAAGTCCCTGTATATTGCATGATTGTACCTAGTATTAACTAATTTTTCTCTAAACAAAATGCCAACAAAACTGAGCTGACTTTCATTGGTCCCTTATCAAGTTATCAAGTATGCTGGTTCTAGGCAGGTTTAAACTTGGTACACCTGCTCTCCTAGTGTTTCCACATCACCATCTGCAAGAGACATACACAAATGAAGATTTACCAGGATCATGGTGTACATATGGTGAAAACATTCTTACAAGTGTTACAATCATTTCTTGGACAAAAGGAGACAACTGCATGTGGTAGAAGGAAATGTACAAAAAAGAAAAACAGATTACACTCACTGGTATGCACTTCTTGCTTGCTCATCCCTATCTCTTTGCTCTCAGGTGAATCTGTGATGCCATTCATTTCACTGAAGTCAGAACAAAGAAGCATTATAAACACACAAATCAAGGATCTTGACCTGCTATTCTCAGTGCTTACTTTAAGCCTGTGACATTCCTATGGCTTCTGCTATAATCTAAACAATTCTGAGCTACAGATTATAGATACTGAATATGAGCTCACCTCAATGAGCCATTTTCTACAGATGTAGCTGACTTAGCAGTCTTGATGTCGAGGGCAGTAGGCACACAGGACTGCTCTTCATCTGCATCCTCAGCAGGGGCAGCTTCACTCAGGATGTCAGCAGAACTCACAGTGCTGTCTTCTATTGGCCAAAATGGAGACAATAAGGACCCCAAGGCGACTACAAGATATCACAAGAAAGGAACAAGCAGCATTGTACTCGTTTAAAGTTAAAACTTCTGATCCAACACAATAAAGTTCTCTCAACTAGAGCTTTCGACCAGTCACCCTGGTCTTCCGCAGTAGACTGACCCAGTGAGGCTTGTCACATGGCTTCTTTGAAGTGTGACGGCAACACTGGAACACCAGAGTGACTGGTGAGAGAACTTCTTTGTGTTGGATCAAAAGTTTTAACTTTAAACATGTAACTACATCTTTAAACACAGATGAACTTTCATGACAGGTTTTTTACTCACCCTGCTGTGATCCACTCTCAGGGCTGGACACAATAATCTCCTCAAAGGTTGTCCACTCTGATCCGGTGACCTCCAGGACAGAAGAAGGGGACATTGCCCGGTCTGTGGCGAAGGACAGGGACACCTCCCCACTGGGGGTGTAGAAACTGGAGACGGAGGGTCTGTTGGTGGTGGGGGTCTGACAGGAGGGGGTTGTGTCTGATGGAACGGGTACCGACAGAGTCTGCGCAATGTTGTCAGCAGACACCATCTCAGAGCTGTGAAGAATTAAACGATAAATCTATCAACCCCAATGTACAAAACTACAACAAAATTGTAAACCTTTAAGAGAAACATATATGAAAATAGAAACAGTTTTGACTGTGGAAGACACCATAGCAATAGCAGTGTTTCCCCCATATCCAATCTTGTAGAAGAGATTCAAACAAACATGTATGTCTTGGTCTAGACACAAGGTACTTACCTCTGGGCATCAACTGCATCTGTTGCAGCTGAACTCTGCAGCTCCGCATCAGTTCCCACTGCTGCTGGGTCCTGAAGCTCAGAGTCTCCTGCCTCTGCAGCTGGTTCCACCACCACATCTGCATCTGCTACAGCTGTGCTCTGCAGCTCAACCTCAGCTCCTATCACATCTGTGCACGACAGACATTAGGGCAACAATCACACGGATGCCTGACAGGAAAGCATCTAAGCAAAACTGGTATATTATTTTGTCTCCTTGTATCTAGAAAAAATTCATACCTCACTATCTACATGTCTATCAATATTTGAAGTAATCCAACCTTAGTACACAAGGTCAGTACTCTGTGCAAATTTTATGTTGCTACATGTATAATCATTACAACTGATAGTTCACATATCACTACCTGGGCCCTGTTCCTCTGTCTCCTTCATGCCTGCCACCACTGTCTGTTCAATCTGTTCCACAACAGCTGACATGTCTGGTGACTCTTTCTCTGGTTGGACCGTTTCTTCTGTGTCGGTGAGAAGAAAAATTACAGTCGAACATGAAATACAAATTTACAAAAAGTTTTGTTTTTCTGGACTGGGCTGTTGAAGCCCACAGTGGATTCAATGCCGTAAACTGTGTTTTAAAAATCATCACACAAGATTTGTCGGTGAAGGTTAGACATCCAGGTAATAAGATACACCAAAAACAATTCACAAGCAACTGGATATGACTTTGGAAACAGCCTGACGTTTCAGGTAGCATCCACTACCTTTCGTCAGTGACACTGGAGAGTTGTCGGAAAAGCAGGTTTATAAGTATGAACTTTTGACTACAGACTCAAATGTGAAGAGCCCAATTGTAAGAACACCTACATCGGAGAGACCAGTCGGCCGAGGTAATATATGACGTCTGACTGTTTCCAAAAAGTCATATCCAGTTGCTTGAGTTTTTTGGCGCATCACAAAAGATGTTTGGTAAGCGACCATCACCTTTCTCCATCTGTTCTCCTGCCTCACTTCCCGGAGCAGGGCTGGCCGACTCAGCAGTACTGGTGCCTGTATAACCACTCAGGCTGTCCATGCTGCCACTCTGGACACTGCCTGCTGTGAGATAATCCACATCATTTGTACAAATGACAATACTGGGATGATTTTAATGTTTTCAAATGCAGGGTCAGATGAAGAGATCTCCTCCAACACATACTACTGTGTATAAGGTACTTTGTCACTGAGTGGGCCACAGAAAGAAACTAGAAAAGTAACATTTGCAAAGCAAATGCATGCTGTTTACCTTCACATGGTCTATCCCCCAAAAAAACTACTGCTTTGTTTATTTTTATTCAAACACATTCACATATACGGTGAGTAGCCTCTTCGACTTAATCTTGCTACAAAATGTAACCCAACACTGCTACAGTTCCAGTTGCAATGGTGAGAGAAGTCTGGTTCAGGTCATGGACTTTTATTTGTTTGAATAAGAAGAAACGGAGCAAAAACAATTTGTTTTCCTTCTTTAAAGGTAAACATAATAATTTTTCTCAAACTTGAGGCTCACCCTTCCTCCTGGCGTGCCCTGAGACCACCATGAGCTGAGAAACTGTCTTCTCCTCACACTCGCTGTACAGCTCCACTTTAGCAGCCCCCTCTGGTGTCACCTCATCCACCAGGACACGGAAGGTTTTGTCTTGTACAAGGTCCTCAAAAAACAACACAGCTTCTGACGACCAGCCACCTGTGAATTAACAACATGTTAGATTAGTCAACAGACTTGCAGTTCTGATGACCAAAAGTGGGGAACCAGTAAAACAAAACTGAGCTACAAAATACCCAAGTATAAACTGTGCAGAAAAATTTGTGGTATACTCTTCAAATCCTGAAGCTGATGTCTGACAAAAAAGTGGATACAAGGTGCAAATTAACCTAGGAAACAAATTGGATGCATGACTGTTAACTGTGTTGAACATGCAATGGAACTGCCAAGTGCTGCTAAGCATGAAAAAACTTTGTAAACTACAGTGAACAAAGTTTTAAGATTTACATGCCAAGAATACATAGGAAAATACAACCATGTAATAAATTTACAAAAAAAAAGAGACACTATAGCTTGCCATTATCTGCTGTCCTGCCCTGTATGTCAGACATGCTACATTCCAAAGCACAAGGAGGCAAGGCAGCCATTTCAGCATCCAAGGGGCGAGTATTGACCGGGCTCACAGTCTCAAGACTGCCAAAGTCAATGAACTGTACAGTCAGCATCTTGGAGCTCACAACATCCAGAATCTGCATGCAGACAGAGACAAACAAAACGTCATGCAAAAATAAAGGTTGCCACAAACACCTACTGAATCTAGCTAGTTTGGGCACTGAAAAGAGAACAGCACCAATGCTTATATTGACAACATTGCATTGATAATTTTCACTAGCTGCCTGCTTATAAAATCCAATTTGTTTATCATCTTACTAGACTGTCAAAAGTAAAATGTGTGTGATCCGATAAGAACCCCACCTTTGCTCGGTACCAGGTCTGGTCCTCACTGTACAGTGCACAGCAGAGGTCATTCACCTTTGGAGACTGCACAGTCTCCTGGCACAGCTCACAGTAGGCTGGACGTGGGGCAACAGAAGAACATAAGTTACCTGCCTTTTGGTTCAAAGGTTACTTTTGGGGCACAGCTCAAAAGGCTTAATTAGCTACACATACTACCCGCGCACAGCATGCTGGGTAAACAGCAGGACTCTCCTCAGTCCGTTCCTGACACGCTGGCAACAGGGAGCATTTCTGTACTTTGAGCAATTCTGTACTTTGAGGGAGCGATTCTGTAAGATGAGTAAGAAAACTAAAGCGGATCGGAAGAAAAAGTGCTCGGGTTGCGGACAACCCACAGCCCTGCATGAGAAAGGGAAGGCCAACAAAAACTGTCCCGGACTGGAGATCGACCCGTCCTCCGACTCGGACGGTGGCTCGGAGACAACGCCGGGGAGCCCTACTGCAACTCTCCCCGCTACCTTACAGGACACGATGGACTCCCTCAAAAAGAAGAAGGAAGAACTGCAGAAGCTGTTGGACCTGAAGCGACTACAAACAGAGGTCCGTCAGATGGAAGAGCAGTTGTCTGGCCTAGGCATAGCCAGCCCCGCATCCCCACCACCCCCACCACCACCACCACCGGGCGGACCCACTGCACATGCTCCTATCGTCAGCGGTCAGGATCCCGCCGCCTTCCTGGCCGGAGCTACAGCGGCCCTCAATGCTCAGGGCGTCCCCGTCAACCCAGCCGGAGCCACGGCAGTCGGTATTTGCTCAGTACATATCATATGGGTATATTGGTAAATAGGAATGGATTTTTTCTCCAAAGTTCCTTTAAAAACTAATTCTAAGAATTCTAAAATGTGTTGAAAAAAGACGGTAAGTAAGTTCATGAGCACCATTTATCCTTGGGAGGTCAGCCTCCACATCTTGGCACCAGAAATGGTCGGGTGTCACCACGTTTGTCACCACTACGTTCAGCTGGTCACCAGCTTTCACCTGCCGTGCTGCCAATCGGATGCTAACTTCTGTCTCAGAGGGTGTGCAAGACTCCACATCGTCTTGCGATGACGACGAAACAGCTTCACTTCCAGTATCCTGAAACAAAGTAACAGTGTCAAGTAAGGTGAGTAAAGGTAGTGTATAATCTGTTGTTTGTTTGTTTGTTTGTTTGTTTGTTTGTTTGTTTGTTTGTTTGTTTGTTTGTTTGTTTGTTTGAGCCTTTGTTCATTCATGAATACTAAAATTGGCCTACTGGCTGCTTTTCATTCAGGTCATGAGGTATGAGGTCAGGGATAGATAAAATATTAAAGTTACATAATTCAAGTCCTTCTTGGCAAAGGTCATTAAAGTAAAATGCAGTTACCCTCTCCAATGCACACATAAAATGTGTGAAGACATATAGACAGAAAGTAAATTATCACAACTCAGGCAGGGTGCAGTTCACTCAGAATGTTTCAGAAGTAAAAACAAACAATAAGCTGTACTATTCATGGTCCTGCCAGACTGAGGTATGCCTACTTACGTTATCCTGAATCAAATGGTGTATTCCATATATCATTACTCCTGGCTGCACATAAAAATTTACCTGTGGTTCAGAAGACAGCTCACTCCCTTCTGGCTCCTCCCCCTCCCTCGCAGCCAGCCTGCGATCCAACAGCTGCTGCACTAGGTCCACACCTGCAGCCCAGGGGACAACAGAAAATGAATCCAATCCAACAAGATTAAAACTTTCTGTGCATCAGTTGCTTGTACATCAGTTGGTTCAAAGTGTAATGCTATGGCATTAGTGTTCACTTCAACTTTAAAAAAGTAAAGTATCTGCTAGTGCATAAACACTTTTCTCTCTCATAAAATGCACAGTAACACATCGAATGAATATTACTCCTCCCTCATCAAAACTACTGTCAATCATAATGAATAAGGCTACCTTCCACTGTGCAGCTGCCCAGAAGAACCTTCCCATCATCCTCCATGTCAGCGACCACGCCCCTGACCACGCCTCCAGTGCAGAGCTCCTCCAGAGCTTCCTTCACCTGGCACGTCCACGTTTCTGAGGTCGCCTCGATTCCGCTTATTCCACAGTGCACTGCCTGCGATTTGGAAATAAACGTCTTATTTTCTCTCTCTGTTTAAGTTTCATTAGTACTGTGAACAACCAAAATAACTACACTTGTCAAAATCTCAAAGTACAGTACATGGAAAAGTGACAAAAGATTGTAACAATATAGATTATAATCATATGACAACAACTTATCATAAACACAAATATCAGTAACCAGAGTTAAGTGTATGGACACAACACCTGAGTGGGGAGGTCAGCCAGCTCGGAGCGCAGTTTGCGGACATGACTGCTGTCCACAGTCTCTGTGTTCCCGTAGTCTACAAAGTACACAGTCACCTGCAGGGGAACAGGTTCCAATGTTGTACTCGCTTTGCATAAACATAAAAAAATGGAAAGTGGAAAAACATCTCTTACTTGGAATCAATAAAAGTTAAGTAGTGCTAACACGTTGAGAAAGTTCCAGGTCTCATGCTGGAACGTCTTTGGTGGGTCTTTGTTTATAGCTGATGATTGTCTGATAACTTCCCAAACCTCAAAAGCAAACGATAGAGCAGATTACCTGGTCACTTTCGGTGAACACCACTTCTGCCCTGTACCACAGACCGTCGGAGAACTTTGCACAGCAGACTGACCCTGGCAGGATGTCCCTGAACTGCAGGTCTGACTCAGCTAATCTGTAAAGAAGAGAAGAGAATAGTGTGTATCAAGAGATTTTCTAGTGGTAGTACCTACTTTTACCTCTCTCACATATGGATCTGCAATGGTCTTTAGGGTAAGACAGTTTCACAGCTATCAGCATGTTTTAAACAGATACACACTACTCTCTTAACTCCATCTTAGTAATGTGGAATCCTACACCACAGCAAAATAATATGCCTCAAATGTATAACATGTCAAGATGTTGAGCATTGAAGCTGGTGTGTAATGCTGAAGGGCAGTTATACTGGCTATTCCAATACAGATACAGAAGACATATCAGCACCTTGGTAAAAAAAATAAATAAATATACAAGGTTTTGAAATGCTACAGCCCATGTAAACCTACCCGTCATAGATGTTGCTGATCTTCTCTGCCAGGTTGTTGAGGTCCTGTTCAGACTTGACCAGCTGTAGCACCATGTTGTCTGGGTCTTCTGCACTCAGGAAGTAGAAATCCAGCTCCTCACCTTTGGACAGACGGGGCTTCTTGTACTGGGCTGGTGTCTCATCCTCTAGGTCTGTCACAAATAAATAAAATAAGGGGTCATACAGGGTTACAAAAAACTAAGAAAGATTTCTTCTCATCACAACACTGTTTTAATGTCTATTGGCAAGATGCTATAAAAGTAAGGGGTTATACTGGGTTACAAATAAACTAAGTAAGATTTCTTTCATCCCATTTTAACACTGTAGTTTAGTGTCTGTCGGCAAGACAATGTATCACAAAAGGAGGGTCCAAAGAAGAAGAAAAAGGAAGGTTGCAGTTCAAACATGGTAGTTTCCTTAGAAACCATTCACCCCAAAACTGTGCAGGGGTACCAAAAACTAAAAAATGCAGGGATGATGAAATGCCATAAAAATTTCAACTAATTTACAGATACTGGGAACTACGTGGAAACATCTAAACCTCACCTTCACTCTTCTGTTCAGCTGGACCCTGACCAGGCCCTTCCGACACTTCAGCACCGACCAACTGGTCAGTAACTTGTTCTGAAACCGATCCTGCCTCATCAGTGACCAGTTCTGGCTGGTCAGACACTGGTTCCATCTGATCAGCAACTGGTTCTGCCTGATCAGTAACCAAGTCTTGCTGACCACACATTGACACGGCCTGGTCAGTAACTTGATCTGGCTTATGAGACACAGGTTCTGTCTTATCATCAAGGTTTGGCTTTTTCTGGTCAGTGACCAGCTCTGGCTGTTCAGGTACTGATTCTGTCTGATCTGTTATTGGTCCAGGCTCATCAGACACTGACTTGATGAGGTCAATGACCAGTTTTGATTCGTCAGACACTGGTTCTACCTGATCGATTACAGGCCCTGGCTGCTCAGGCTCAGCTTCTGTCTGTTCAGTCACTGGTTCTGGCTGGTCGGACAATGATTCTATATGCTCTGTTACTGGTTCTGACTGGTCAGTAGCCATTTCTGGGTGGTTGGAAACTGACTCTGGCTGACTAGTCATTGGCTTTACCTCATCAGTAACTGTTTTAGGCTGGTAAGCCACTGGTTCTACTTGTTCGATAACCTGGTCTGGCTGGTCAGAGACAGACTCTACCTCATCAACTGGCTGCTCTTGCTGATCATACGTTTCTGTCTGGCAAGTGATCAGTTCTGGCTTGTCTGATTCTATCTTTTCCTCGTCAGAAACTGGTTTGTCCTGCTCTGTGACTACCTCCTTTTCTTCATTGGTCGACCGAATTTCAGACATAGGTGGTTCTAATGCTTCAGAATTTAGTGCTACCTGAGCTGTAGTTACCTCAGACTGTTGAGTCTCTGATTCTAACTCATTAGAAATGTCTTCACACTGATCAGAAACTGGTTCAAACTGGGTGGGAACAGAAACTGGTTCAAACTGGGTGGGATCAGAAACTGGTTCAAACTGGGTGGGAACAAAAACTGGTTCAAACTGGGTGGGAACAGAAACTGGTTCAAACTGGGTGGAAACAGAAACTGGTTCAAACTGGGTGGAAACAGAAACTGGTTCAAACTGGGTGGAAACAGAAACTGGTTCAAACTGGGTGGAAACGGGTTTCAACTGGTTTGAAACTTGGTCCAACTGGACCGAATTTGGTTCCTCCTTACCAGGTTTTGTCAGAGCTTTTGCATGCCCCAAGGTGACCATCTTCTGGTTAATGGAGCTGTCGTCAGTTTCACTTGGGTCATAAAGAACCACGTCAAATTTGTCATCATATTTGCCATCGAACTTGGCCTTTAGTTCTTTCTCTATGCAGGTGTCTGAAAAAAGAGAATAGGTATTGAAACTGTGTATATTACATGTTACTGATAGTCTTAAAACATAAATCTGTTATTGTTCAACGACTACGTCAATCATGCCAGCAGAACTTTAAAACAGAGAGTTGAGTGATTATTTTTTCCTTGCTGGCAGAAGTACACACCTTGGAAGGCTTGGATAGCCTGGTCACTCCACTTGTCTGCCACAGGACCCAGTGCTGCTAGCCGACATGATACAGCCTGCCCAGGTACCTGGGCCAGTTCCTGTGGAAGGGGACGCAGCTTGGCACAGGGGACAACTTCTGCATTCCCATAGTCCACAAACCTAGAATAAACAATAGGTTGAATTTGTGAAAGTTAATGTTGCAGTAAAGGAGAAAACACAAATCATACAATCATGTTTTTCTTCAACAGATAAGTTCTTATTTACATGCAATAGTTGGCTAAGAAAAGTAGACTTTTTTTATTACTGTGTCTCTTCAGACGCATGTGAACTTTTATCATGCTACCTTACCAGACAGTGTATATGCAACAAAAATATCAACAGCAATCAGTTGACAGTTAAGTAAAATGATTGATATGTTACATACCTGACATGGCACCCTTGCTCTGTAACAGCAGTGATGACGGCTCTGTACCACTGGTCATCCTCTGAGAACTGTGCCAGGGCAGTCTGGCCTTCCTGGGGGGATGACAGCGGCTCCACTACAACAAAACAAAACCAATAAATATCATCAGTTTGATATTCACAAAACACAGCACACCTAAAACATTTTCTTCAAACTTAGTCTCATGTACAAGAAATCAACAAAAAAGTATCTAGCAAAAATATACCAGTAGAACTAGAAGAAACACCTACCTGCAACAGCACAAAGGTTAGCGATGTCCTCAGCCAGTTTGGTCTGCTGTGCCTCTGCGCTGGCCAGCTGGCAGAAGAAGTTGTCTGGTGACTCCCCACACAGGTAGTACACCGTCTCCTCTGTCCCAGGCTCAATCTGCAGGGCTGGTATCACTGTGTCCTGGCTTTCTGCCTGAGCTTTCACATCTGAGGAAACAGTCTCACGACTCTCGTCTAACCCAGAGTCTGGGGTCTCGTTCTGTTTCACAGCTGGCGTCGTCTCAACAGGCTGACTCTCCTCCTTGCTGATCTCTTCTGTGGTGAGCTTCGCTCCGATCGATTCCTTCCCATCGAGAAGCCGCACATTCCAGCCACTTCCATGCCTTTTGTTGAACTCCACCATCAGCTGTCTCTCCTCTGTGAGCTCCATGAACTTCTCATTCGTTCCCTCCGGCCAGGAACCCTCCACGGGCGACACATCAGACAGAGTGCAGGCTATGGCCTGACCTGGCAGGGTCATGAACTTTGGTGGGATGCTCTTCACACACTCCGCTGGGACGACTGCTTCGTTTCCATAGTCGATGTAGTAGACGCTGACAGAATGGTTGGTGAACTGCACCCTGCCCCTGTACCACACTTCCTCTCCCTCCTCGGAAAACGGCACGATACACGGCATACCGGGTTTGATGTCAGCGATCTCTCGGTCGAGCGTACCGAGGCTGCCGTATTCCTCGTTTATCTCTTTCATCAGGGTGTCCAGTTTCCCGGCAGAGGTTGCGAGCTGGACGAAGAACAGGCTGGGGTTGGTGGTGTGGGAGACATAGCCCTCCTGAAGTTCTCCCTCGTCAATATCATTAGCAGCATATACAAAATTTGTTGGCTGGGGCATACTTTCGATCGCAGAGACTTCTGGGTCCACGCTTTGCAGACTGTCATCCTTGGATGGTGTGGAGGTCTTCACTGTGGTCTCTTCTACGTCTTCTTTTCCCACTTTCGGCACCATGTCTTTCAGAGACGTCTCACCTTGGGACACTTCTACCACCCATCTTTGTACTTCTTGATGCAAGAATTTGATGGTCAAGACTTCAGTCAACCCCTGCATGATTGTGGTGATATCCTCTGGCAGATCAGCGACTTCCTTCCCCAGTGTACACTCAACAGCTTGTGGTGGAGTCTCCAGGAACTCTGGTGAAATATACTTCATCCTTTCCAACCCAACAGCTTCAGAATTTCCAAAGTCGACATACAACACATTCACAGTGCTTCCTTCAACACTGAGAACCTGTGCTCTGTACCACTGGTCATCCACAGTATACATGGCCAATACAGGAGTGCCAGCTTGCAGGGTGTCTAAGGATGGAGTAGACAAGTGTTCGCAGTGCTGGATTTTCTCCATCAGTCCTTCTAGCACCTCTTCTGTCCCTTCCATTTGTATGTAGAACTTTGTTGGATCCACCACAGAACTGATGTAGGCTGAGTGGGTCTCTCCCTCCGATATCTCTGCCAACTTATAGGCCTTTGTTTCTGCTGTCTTCTGAATCTTTTGTGTCAATTCTTCATTGACTGACAGCTCCCCATCAAGGAGAATGACTTCTAGCACCTGCTTCTTGTCTTGCTTGATGACATCTTGTACATCGACTGTAAGTGCCTTATCGTTGGTCAAGTCAGAGAATTGCTTCACCAAAGGTGCTTCCCATGGCACAGGTATGTTCTTCAGTACACACTCAAACGCCAACTCTGGTAACTCCAAGAACTCTGGCTTTATCTGTTTCACTTTTGACGATGCGACTTCCTCAGTGTTCCCGAAGTCCACAAACTGTACTGCCATTGATCCTTCTTTTACTTCAATAACCTTTGCTCTGTACCATCCACCATCCTCGCTGTACTGTGCCAGACATGCTGTCTGTTCTTGAGGCATGTTGAAGGCGTCTTCCTCATCCTTCAGGTTGGAACAGTGTGTGTCGATAGTGTCCATCAGTTCTCCCAGGGCATCTGACTGTTCAACCTTCTGGCACCAGATGTGGTTGGACTTGTCCATGAACGAGATGTAGGCATCTACTCTGTCTCCTGCCTTTAAACTGTCTGTTTTGTAATAGTTGCTTGCTTTCTGTTGCTTGGTACTGCTTTCTGCTGCTATGGCTGTAGCATCTCCACTCATGTCCTGCAGCGGCTTGGCTAGTCCCTCGGCTACAAGCTGTTTCCCAACTGTCTCACCGGTCTTCAGTGCTTCCTTGTTTGCAGCTAGTTCCACAGTATGAAGGCCACTGCCGTCTTTTCCCAACACTTTGATGACATATGCATCCTCCTGAGAAGTACACAACTGTGTGAACTTAGCTGTGGTGTCATTGTCCCAAACACTGCTTGTTGAAGTTATATTTGCCAGACTACACTGGAAGGCTTGTACAGGAAGCTCGGTAAATTGTGGCTTGATCATCTTCACCAGTGACCTGTCCACCTTCTCAGAGTTGCCATAATCCACAAAGATCACTTCAACTCCGTCCCCCTCAACTTTCATGACTTTTGCTCTATACCAGCCTTTGTCCTCAGAGAACTGGGCTATGCATGACATACCCTGTTGTGGGTCTTTGAGCATTTCTTCTTTGTTGTCGGCTGCATAGTGGTCACAGATCTTTTCCATCAGGGAGTCTAGCTCTGAAGTTGAACTTGCAAGTTGGCACCAGAAGTTGGAGGGAGACAATGTCACTGCCACGTACACTTCAGTATTGGTTTCTTCAGACAAGTCAACCTCCTTCAGTACAGGGAGAGGTCCTGAAGATACTTCAGCTACTTGTACCGGGCGGTCTAGACTTGCTTCAGATGGTTGTGCCTTGATTTCTGTATCCTCCTGTATAGCATGTCCTCTCTTAACCATGTTTTTCCCGATATCTTCACTTCCGTCAGACAGCTTCACTCTGACAGGTTCTGTTGAGTTGAGGAACTCTGCTTGTAGAACTCGCTCTATTGTCACCTCTTTGAACCACGAACTGGCTACGCTGGACCAGTCTGACCCAGTCGGTTTCGTTTCATCCAACAGACATTCAACTGCAAATGGTGGCTGCTTCGGCAAATCAGCTGGTAGCTCATGGACTTTCTCTAGGGGTACTGACTCCTTGTTTCCATAATCAACAAACTGTACTCCCAGTTTTCCTTCTTCAGATGTATCTATGATCCTCCCTCTGTACCAACCATTGTCTTCTGAGAACTGGGCACAGCATGGGTCGCCAAGGCTGAGCTGTGTTGTAGAAGCTAGTGGCTTGCCAGCCTGAGCAGATGTCTCAACTGCCTCCATCAAACTGTTCAACTGGGGCTCTTGGTCGGCTACCTGGACCCAGAACTTTGCTGGTGTCTCACAGTGACTGACGTACACTGGCACTGCACCACCTGCCTGTACTGCAACAGGAGGGTACTTTGGAGTTGTTGATGCGGGGAGCTGTGATGTTGTTTCACTCTTGTTGGAGGTAGACATGCTTGGACCTTTTTCTCTCTCCACTTCCAGCTGTGCTTTTGGGTCCTCAGCTGGAGGGTTTGCTGTAGCTACCATCTTCAAGATCTCTTTGTTGACCTGCAGGGCCGATTCTGGGTTTTCTAGCTCCACTTCATAGATGTCCTGTTTCTTGTCAACTACGATGAGCTTCAGCTGGGCCTCGGCAGTTAACTCTGCAAACTTGACCTTGGCTTCAGGTGTGACATTCTCCACTTTTGATAGGTAGCAGGGGAAGGCCTGTTTGGGAAGGAGGGCAAACTCTGGTTTCAGGATCCTCATGTTGCTCTTACTGACTTGCTCCTGGTTTCCATAGTCCATAAACTGAAGGATGTATTGTCTCGGTGACACTGCCTCTTTCACTTCAGCTCTGTACCAGCCCTGGTCAACACTGTACTTTGCTATGACTGCGTGTCCAGGCTTCAGCTTTCCTACGTCTTCTGCATCCCCGCTTGAGCAGTGAGCATCGATGGCATCCATCAGTTCATCCAGCTTGGACCCCTGGCTCGTCCTCTGGCACCAGAACTTCAGTGGGTCATCTCCATAGGAGACAACAGCTATGCCTGACAGTCCAGTCTTAACCTCAGGGTCTGGTGGCACTGATGGGTTAGATGCTGCTTCTCTCTTGATGTCCTTGGCAGGTTCCGCACCTAACTTGCTTGCTTCTCGCCTGATGTCTTTGGCAGGTGCTGCTTCTAACTTGCTTGCTTCTCTCCTTGTGTCCTTGGGAGGTGCCGTATCTTGCTTGCTTGTTGCAGGCCTTGCAAGTTGTGCCTCAACCATCTTCTGAGTGATACTGATGTGCTGTTTGCACGTCAAGTCAATGAAGTACAAGGAGACACCCTCCTTGGTCTGTTTGCTTGAGACAATGCACTTGAGCTCCTTGTCTATCACCAAACGTTGCAGATGGCTGAATGCTCTGTTGCCCCATGCCTCTCCGTCGTAAGGCAACATCTTCTCTTGCAGTGAGCACTTGAAAGCTTGCTGTGGCAGTTTTGAGTAGCTCGGCTTAGACAACCTCAAGTCAGTAACCAGCCTCTTTTCACTGTTGCCATAGTCCACAAATCTAACTTCCACCTCGCGACCTGTCACTTTTGTGACCTTGGCACGGTACCACTCGTTGTCTTCTGAGAACCGTGCAATGCAGTCTTGACCCACTTCTGGGTTTACGATGTGATCTTTGGTATCGTCTGACTTGTTGTAATAGGTTCCCATGTCTTCCATCAATTTGCTGAGTCCATCATAGCTTTCAACAGGCTGGCACCACAACTCACTTGGGCTGACAAGGAGAGAAACCATCACATCAAGCACGCTTCCATCAGCGAAAGAGAGTTCCTGGTACACAATTTTGTCAGGTGCCTCTGCTGACTTCTGAGGAGCAGTTGGTTGATCTACAGCTGCTGGACTCACTGGTCGACTAGATGTGGGGGTTCCTGCCTTGCTGCTTACAGGAGTGCTGCCTCGGCTGGAGACAGACGGCGTGGCTTCCCTGGCAAATCCTGCCTGGACCAACTCCTGGCTCACAGATGGCTGGTCTTCCCCTTTCTCCACATCTCGCAGCTCCAAGAGTGCCTTTCCACGGGTGCTTACACTGATGACCTTTCCAGCGAGTGTCTTATCCTCGGTCAATGAGGAGAACTTTTCAATAGCTTTGGCATTCCATACTCCTGAGGTGGGTTTGATGTGTGCTACACTGCACTCAGTTGCATAGCTAGGTGCTACAGAAAACTCTTCGTCAAGTACTCGAATGTCAGTTGTATCCAACACCTCTGTGTTCCCGAAGTCAACGAACTTCACTTCAACTTGTTGGTCCAGAACATCTGTGATGACTGCCCTATACCACATGGAATCCTCCGAGTACAGGGCACAGCATCGCATACCAACTTCAGGATCGCTGATGAAAGCCTCTTTGAACTCGTCTGTATTATACAACTGCTGTAGCTTCTCAGACAGGTCCTCAATTTCTTGGAAGTCGTGCAACAGTTGAGAGAAGAACTGGTTTGGAGTGACAATGTGTGTTACGGCTAACTCTATTGTGGTGCCTTTCTTGATTTGGAGTTGATTGAATCCCATATGCTGACTTGGGTCAAGGCTACCTTTCCTGGATGAAGTGCTACTGGCCAGGGAAATACAACTGGAGGAGCGACTGTCAGCTGTAAGGGTTGATGGTGCAGTCACATAAGCACTTTGCTGACTGACAGAGCTTGAAGTAGAGTCTGTGCTTCCACTACTGTCAGATGCGGCTCGCTGTTCAGACTCCTCATTCGGCATCAATCTCTCCTCGCCTGTGTGATTGGAAGGACTTGGTGTGGGATTCTCCTTTGCTTCCTTCTTCTCTATCACCTCAGCCTGCTGCGAGTAGATGTACCCTTTGGAGATAGCTGTCAATGCTGCTCCAGGTGCGGGGATCAAAGGCAACTGTTTGGGTGGAGGCTTGACATGGTCCCGTCTGGAAACCAATGTTTGTGTGACTCGGCCATACTCGTTGTTGACATTCTTGCCTCTGTGGTCAAACAGCTCAATCTCGTACCGATTCTCCAGCTCTTCCTTGGCGATGATTTCTGCAACAAACTCCTTCTCCAGCACCATCTGGGAAAACTGCTGCATCTGTCTTTCTGTCCACATGTCATTCTTGCACAGCACCCCCAGCAAGGAGCACTGGATGGCTTGAACTGGCAGCTGCATGTACTTCAACTTGATGGCTTTCACATTGGCCCTGGACACAAGCTCAACATTCCCATAGTCTACAAACTTTACCTCCACATCTCCGCTTCTACATACACCAGTGATGACAGCTCTGTACCACTGCTCGTCAAGGGAGTACTTAGCCACACAGGACACCCCTAACCCACAGGTGTGTAAGGCTTCTTCCTCCTGGTTGAGTTGGGAGTAATGTTTGTTCATGTCCTCCATCAGCGTGTTCAGTTCTTCAGCAGAACTCAGCAGCTGACACCAGAACACGTCCGGGTCGGCGGCAACGGTCACAAAGACGTCCTGGTACATGTCCTCGTGTACGAAAGGCTGGATGAACTCCAGGTCAGTCATGCGGATCCCTGGTGCTGGTGGAGGGGACGTGGCTCTACCTCGCATGAAACCCTTCATGACTTTGCTTGCTGTCTGGTTATCCTTAGTAAGTTCAACTGTGTACCTTCCACCTTGGTCTCTTGAGAACAGTTTCATGTGGACAGTCTGATCTTTTACGAAGTCCACAAAGTGTTTGGTAAACTCTGGAGCCAGGGTTGTCTTGGTAGGTACGATATCTATCAGGCATGCTTCAAAACACTGTGGAGGCAGGTCAGTGAATTCTGGTTTGAGAACTTTCACCCTTGACATCTCCACGGTTTCAGTGTTTCCGTAGTCCACATATCTGACCAGAACTCCGCTGTCTGTTACTTTACGGATCACAGCTCTGTACCAGCCTTCATCTTCCATGAACTGTGCACAGCAGACGGCTCCTGGCCGGGGGTCCCGCAGTGGCTCCACATCAGGGCGTGAATAGTGCTCGTGTAGTTTGGCCATCAGTTCCATCAGCTCAGCCGTCTCTTGTACTGGGCTGCAGTGGAATTCTCCGATGTTGATCACAGACATGACATAGCCTGACAATACACTACCAGGAGGATATGCAGGAGGTTTATACTGTAACCTGCTGGCTTGATGTCTGGGACTGGTAGGAGAGGAAGGCTTCAGACTTGGTGCGCAGTCTTTTTCTAAGGAGACAGCTCCGTTCCTCAAACTGGGAGTTTTAGTTGGAGTAAACCCTGCCTTGGCCATCTGTTCAGCAATGCTCACAGGACTACCTGTACCCTTCTCAGTCAGCTCCAGAACGTGTTTCCCACCTGTGATAACGACAACTTTGCCTGTCAAGGGTTTATCCATGACCAGCTTCTTAAACTCTTCCTTGGCTTCCTTTGAGCAGGACGACCCTATGTTTGGAAGGCTACACTCGATAGACTGGGCTGGGATCTCGGCCATTCTTTGGTTTAGCTCTTTGAGGGCGTTTGCAGAAACTGTTTCTGTGTTGCCAAAGTCGACAAACCTGACTTTCACTTCTCCTGTGGTGGAAGAAGATAACACCTGAGCTCTGTACCAGCAATCGTCTTCAATGTACTTGGCCATGCAGGCTTTACCAGGCTTGATGTCGCAACTGGGCACTTCCTTGGCAGTTTGTGACAGATTCTGTAACTCCTCTGCAATTGTGTCAATCTGGTCAAGGGACTCTGGAAGCTGGCATGTGAAGTCTCCTGGACCTTGTGCATCAGAAACATACATTTCATACTCCTTCCCGAATTCCAGCTTTGTCTCTTTGAAGCCATGTACACTGTCTTCTTTGATCGATTTGGCAAAACCTTCCTTGATTAGCATATCTCTTATATCAAGTGTCAGCCCCCCTCTCCGCTCTTTCAGCTGAACATACAGCTTTCCCTCTGAACTTTTCCCAACGACTTCCCCTACAAGTTCTTTGTCAAGAGTCACCATTTCGAAGTAGTTCCTGACTTCGTCTGTCCACTCTGGGTTTGGCTGGATGTCTTTCAGAGTGCATTCGATAGCCTGCATAGGCAGGACAGCAAACTCTGGTGGGAGGTACTTGATGTTGGAGCGTGGGATCTTCTGTGAGTCCCCATAGTCCACAAAGTACACATCTGCAGTGTTATCATCCATAATGCTCTTCACGATACCTCTATAGTACACATTGCTAGGGTCATCACTTCCTAATGCTGCACAGATGGTGCCAGTTTGGATATCACGGAGAAGTGATGCTGGTTTGTCCATTTCATATTTGTGGGCCAAAATGCCTTCCATCAGCTCAGTGATATCATATTTGTAGCTGTGTAGCTGGACCCAAAACTGATGTGGTGATATGATATGTGACATGTAGATTCTCTCCTTAGTACCAGGAGGAAATGTGACGGTCTTGAGGCCCCGTTGTGCGTTAGTGTTACGACATGCAAATCCCTTCTGTATTAGCACCTCTGAAAGTGCCTGTCCATCCTCCGCCGACCCCTGGAATGCTTCAACTACGATGCTTTTGTCATGCACGACTTTGACAACTTTCATTGACACCTCGGTGTCGGCCTGTCCAGCAAGGAAAGATGCCGCCTCTGGGCTCCATACGCCGTCCTTCGCGGCTTCGACTCCTGTGCAGATACACTCAGAAGCTTGCGCTGGGATACTAGCAACCTCGGCTGGGCATTCTGTCGTTTTCGTGATGTCAACAACTTCGATATTCCCATAGTCGACAAAGAGTACTGTAACTGAGCGGTCCCCTGGGCATTTGGACACGACCCTAGCTCGGTACCACCGCGCGTCCTGCTCAAATTTGGCACAACAAAGGTCACCTACCTTCAACTGGTTGAAGTTGAGGGACTTGTCACTGGCTTCTAGAGACTGTTGCAGGTTTTCCATCGCATTTTCTAGGTTGATGGCGTTTTCTTGGTCGACTTGAGCCCAAAGTTTGACGATACTGGAAGTTGTGTCCACAGATGTGATATATGCACTAAGTCGGGCCCCTACCTCCGGTGAAAAGAGTTTGTTTGACTCCATACTGTCCTCCTTTTGGCCCCAAGGCCCTACAATAACCTTGCCGAAATAAAACGCCCTTTTGGTGGGTATAGTTTGCTGAAAAAGCCACGGATGCCAAGAAATCCTCCAGCTATCCACACTTTCCCGCCATCTTGCGCACAGCACGCAAACTTGCCCGAAGTCACAAATGAAGCATCCAACCACTGACGAGAGTGGTCAACGAATGACCAATCACAACACAAAGGTTTTACTTTGACCAATCATAGCCGTCCTAGTGTGATGTGCGGAGAAAAAAAAGTTGCACATGGCTCGGCCCCCTGGCGGGTAGTTTGATCACCATATGTATTGTATTAGGAACGTCACTCATGTCATTTGTTGTAAGGTCTCTGGGGAAGCCGAAATAATACCACCACAGCCATTCATAGGACGGTGTAAATGGGTTTGTTTTAACAATAGCCTATCACTCAACTTTGCTTGTTTAGTTCTGCAAAGTTTGCAAGCTTTTATGACTTCTTACCTGTCAGATAAATCAACAGGTGCAGTTCTGATTGGGGGTCATCCTATCCTTCAGGATAACGGTATACTAGTATATCGGGCAGACCAGAGAGGTAAAAAAAAGAGGCAAGAAAAAAATCTCCATCTCTCATAACAATGCTTCATTTTGTGGGTTGTCAACTGCAGTTGAGAAATTGTGATGATCGTGATGATAATTTCCAGACAAGGTGCCCCCAAGGAGGTTTAAACTCCATGGTGCCCCATAGAACAAGATGAAATTGCGCCCCTAGCGGCCATGCATTGAGATACAGTATCAATGCACTCTATCGGGCAGAATTAGTCCAAAATGAAACATGAACATGACTTCAAGCAATGCTTCAACAAATGGCTTGAAATTTATTTGTTTTGTTTGTCCTTTCTTTTTACTATGTCTCCCTATGTGGTCAACGCTTATGACTGTGTGTTTAGTTGAGTGTTTGACTCCAGTAGAGGACTACAGAAGTTTCCTGCCATACAGAATCAATTTTTTGCAACCCTCATGTCAACATTTGTTCCTGAAGTTTCTAACTCAGTATGCATGTAAGAAATGAGTGATGAAAAGACACAAGAGGTTCTTTTTGCGAAATAAAGATCTATTTCATTTTTATTCGCCCTCGCATATACGAAAGCAGCTTCTCAACACAAATACAATGTATAAGGCCAGGTCCTCTAATTCACCACAATTAATCTCATTCTCAAACAGTTTGGTCACAGGAAATTCACATCACAGAAAGCCAATCATTTCTTACATTCAGGCTTTGGGCTTGTGTAGCATTGGGGCTTACAACAGAACACATCTTCCCTTACTGTATAAATAACATTGTTTCATGTACGACTAGGTCTTGGGTAAGGTGTAGCAAAATTAAAGATGACTAACATCGCTGTTTATGAATGTATGAAAAGCGCAGCATTTCTTTACAAACAAATACATGTATGTGGTGTACACTACCACTTCAACATACTGTGCTGTTCTGTAAGGCTAGTGTTGATGTTTCCTGTCACAACTTCAGCGCACTGTAGGCAACATTTGTCTCCAAGGACATTCAAGGGGTGAGCATCAGCGGAACAACATTCAGAGCTTAATTTGTATGGACTGAACGTATCATTCTTCAATTTAGCACTTTTTGAACATCTTAGTCCAATGCACCATTGAACAGTGATGAAGCAACAGGTGGTTGGAGACCAAACATATGCCAGTTTACCAAAAGTACAGTATTATCAGTTCCTCCAATTTAAGTGTATCCCAGATTTTACCCCCCAGCTTTCACAAACTGCAAACCTGTTTACAACTGGACTAAAGTTGAGCTACACAGGTCTCAATATACAGTATATAAATCATGTTTCTGACTCAACACCCTAACCCTCCTCTTTCAAACAACAGAACATGATTGACATCTCTTTAATTTGCATTGGTAGCACGAGTCATCGCTGCAGCTGTGAGTATGACTCTACTTGGCAGAGTGGAACTTTTTGGAGGGGTCCTTGGCGTGGTCTAGCAACAGCTGGCATGGCTGGAACGCCACTCCATAAGCCTCCTCAAACTTCCTCATCCAGCTAACAAACTTGTCTGCTCCCATCAGGTCAACGTACATGAATGGGCCTGAAAGGCAAGGAAAAAGTCAAGACTCAAGAACATACCTCTTCAACTGTTATAAACACACCATACACCAACATTATATAGTAAACAAGATATCAAAACCTTAAGCTCTGCTATAGTAGGTTCCAATTTAGCAACTGGTTTTTGAGATGTCGGGACTGTACTTAGAAATATGTGAGTAGCCTTACCTCCATGCTGTGGAGGGAATCCTAGCCCCATGACTGCACCCAAATCACCATCAACCTATAGAGAAATAACAAGTGTACACATCAAATCTATGTATCGTACATACACATCTCTACAAGGGGAGCAGGTCAGATGTTTGTTTATTGTTGTTGTTTTTTATTGAAAGGGAGGGAGATTAAACACATGGGGAAATGGTAATAACGATGAAGAGAGATTTGTTGGTGTGATATGTACAGCTGAAGAATAACTTGAACTTGAACAAATCTCTGTGACAGACAGATCGTGTAAATCATTTTCCCAACATGCTGCGCCTGCAAAACGTTAATGAGAGGATTATGAAAACTTTAGCATACACACGTATGCCTATGGCTGTGAAGAATAACTAATCTCCCTCGTTAACCTTGTTTGACTCATGTATGATTTATTGAGTCAAATTTTTATCTCAAACAAACTTTCTTCTGGGGTCACAGTAGCAAGGCTGCAGTCATAGATGTCTGGCGGAAAGACTCCTTGATCAGACAACTTACAAGATACAACAATCTATAGAACTTGGGCCTGTTTGCAACAGGAAGCTAAAAGTTGTAAAGGCCTGTCAAAAACATTCTTTCTGCTAGGATAGTCTTTTGGCATCAAGGTTCTATTGGTTGTATGGTTAAACAGTAGTAAGAAGGTTAAATTCTTCAGAAAACTCAATGTTTGGGCCAAACATGACATTGAATTAAGGTTATAACACCAACATCATTGTCTAATAGATCTATCTGACTTAATTTTGAGTTTTCGTCAGGCATTTTAATGCTTGAACTACACGCCGCACACAAAAATGAGATTTAAGCGAGGTTTCAAGCCTTGCCTGTAAAAGTTTTCATCAAAATCCTATTTCCTTTATCAACAGATTTTCCTTTTGCACCTGGAGGTCAAAGGCCAAGGCAAAGCGTCCAGACATGCCCATACATTTCCTTCAAACAAGCAACTTTTTTTGACAGCTGTTGTTATTAATGACTACACCAAGCATGTCGGCATGTAGAGGTTATGGGTTTGATAAATTTTGAGAGAAACAAGTCAAAACACAGAGAAGTTACTGTCTGGCTGTAAAACTTGCACTGGTCTTGTTTCCTGTGAGCCACACTGCTGGCTAATATCCAGATGAAACAAAGAAGAGCTATAAAAGGTCTTGAAAATTCTTTCACGACAGACCACTTTACCAAAGTACCAAATTTGCCATCAATAAAGCAACCAAGGGGGTACAAATGGTAAGAGATAGGTGATGATAACATTTTATGTTTTTATTAAAACAAAAATTGTATGCAGGCAATGTTTCTTTCGTATGGAACCGTTTTGGGAGATTCTAATCTTTCTGACACATCATCTGTGTGATAATGAAATGTCAAAATAAAAATCTCTTCTCCAACATGTATGGCTGGATGATATGTGAAAGTGTATTCAATACTTAAAAAGTATTTGCCAAAAAAGGTTTGTTAATGTTCCTTCCATCTATTTTATCCAGACAGAGAATGGAATAGCATACAGCAGAAATTGGTAATTATTTTCCTGTGAAATTTTTGTGTCAAATATTATTATTCCCATCACACGGACCTGTCTGCACTGGTGCCTTTATGGTGCCTGATCCAAATGCACACTCCAACTTCTGACAGCTCTGCCAATAATTAATGACTTCCCCTGCCCCCAGCCAAGTGGGAGGAGATGTTTTGGAGATAATGTTGGTGGGAAAAAATTCAAAATAAGAGAAGTTCTGTGTGAACTGCAAATTTGCACACTGCCTGGCCCTGAGATGGTATGTAAATGAGGAAGTGTTAGCCTCCCCCTTACAACAGTCTGCTGTGCAACACTTTGGGAACAGTTGCGAGTCTGAAGTCCACAGGAACAGGCCCAGTGGGCAGAGGCTCCTGGTTGGAGCAAGGCGACTATGGTCAAGCACACAGGGAGATGGACGTACGAGCCCTACTCTAGACTAGAGCAGGACTTAGGAGGACTAAGTAAGGTAAGTCCAGAGAAATAGTAGATATTGATATAAGTATGCATAGTGGCAAACAGTAAATCTGTGGATTATCATCAGGCATGCCGGTAGTGTTGGTTTTATGTGTCATTAGCGGCAAGCCGCCAACTATGGCAGAGAAACACTTTCATTTCCCCTAAAGTTCCTACAAGGTTATGCACAGCCAAGCATCGATAGCGATTTATATATGCATTGATATAATCAGGCCAAGGAAATAAATTTGACCAAACAAAGCTCATTACTTGTTCAAGATACTTTGTCCAGAACAATCATAATATGCAGCAAGCAAAAGAAGATAAACATTGTTCATTTGTTCACAGTTAAATATAATAATGGTTCTGTTTTGGTCTGCCACTACTGCTCTATAAATGTGTGTCACATGTGTGGCAGTCAATAATTTTCCTTCTTAATTCCTGGCTTTCCCTCATTCTTCAATACTAGAATTGCTGGTTTGTTCTTCTTCCTATGCACATCTGTCCTTGTAAATTGAAGGAGGGCATGTGTGCATAGGGAAGAGATCAACTAGCCAAGTCAGCATACATGATGGACATCGCTTTCAGGATAATGCTGTAAATTGGTTCCTCCATGGTCCTTGTTTGTGTGTTTCCTATTTCCAATTCAAATTCTACAGTGCCAGCACTTCATCTGTTCTTTCTGTCATCTATTTTTCTTGTTTCCTTTGTAGATTTGTTTCTTATTATTGTCATGAAATTACTATGGACCATTGGCAGGTTTAGAACATATAAGTTATAACGTTTTGCTCATTTCAGTCCAAGCGCCCACAATCTATGGGGCACACAAATTTGTAGAAAACAGACTTTCTTCAAGTTTATGGTAAAACGCTATAACGAAATGCTAGCCCATTCAAGGGAAGATGTCAACAGCCATGATTTCTCTGTATCTTTCCTGCTTCTGTTATGACATTTTGTGGTCTGACTGAGTCCCAGGATAAATGTCTTATCAACCAGAATCCAACTTTATCAATGGCTTGTAGGTGGTCTCTGCAACGCTGCAGACCAGTTCTCAGACACATTATTAGTATGCTATACCCTGCCTGATGCGAAACCTGCCTGATATGTGTCATCAGGGAGTGCGTTTTGTACCAGGGGTGGAATGTGTCCTAGAACCTGCCATCAGAACATCTGTAATGCCATGTGGAATCTGACAGAACTTGGACGTGGTATCAGTCCATTCTGTCACAACAAATACTTCTGACTCACAGGTTACAGTCGGTGCAACAAGTATCTCTTTGTGAGCCTGATAAAAGCTACGAATCTATAAAAAGCTTAGGCCCCCTTAATGACTTTATATTAAACCAAACTACATTGTACTGGTATGACGAACCCCAACAATGCGTTACCAGCAATAACACAGGAGTTCCTTCTTTTGAATTGATTTCTTGTAGTTTAGTCATTGCTTATGATATATAAGGTTTTCGGTTACTCCCTCTAGTTCCTTGGTTATTTTGATAATGTAATAGTTAAATCTATTGTGAGCTATATCTATATATATCTAATTTAACAGCTTGCACAGCTGTTAAGTGTATATTTCTATTCTAATGAATCAGTCTAAAACAGACCTACGTTGCCAAATACACTGCCATTGGTTGGTAACAATGCTGAAATGTGCTGGGCTGTGATCTTAAAACAAGTTGCATTCTTAGTTGAGCAACCCTTCACAAGCATTCCACTGCATAGTACAGTATACACTTCGAATGTGACTTTTAACACAGGGACTGGTAAGACCATGACTAAGTAACCTTTTTTCTTTTCTTACCTGTATTTTCAACAATATCTTACTCAACCTTGTGAGTTGAAACAGATGCTTTTAAAATATGAAATGATTTTAGGTGTAATTCCTGTACGTTGTGACTTACCGGGCTGGACAGAATGCCCTCCTGTAGGCACAGGACCGACTCGTTCACAAATCGGGTGATCAGACGCATCTTGATGTCCTCGTCAGTGTTGCTGCATCAACAAAACAACAACAACAGCTGCGTTAGGATCACGTCATCCGCAGTCAGTAATCTTCCCATGGATGGGAAATTAACACAAGTGTTACCAAGGTCATCCTTGGCGATAATGAAACAAGCACACTGCTGGTTTTGCATTAAGACAATTACCAAAGCTGCTGATACCTTAGCTTGCAGACAAAGCAAAATATGTGACTACTTCATCACTTAGACATTCACAATTAAATTCAACTAGACGTGAGGTCACAACCATATTTTCTGTTTGACCAAGAAGGCCAGCTGACTGTACCAAATCTTGCTGTGTTGTTGATTTCTCTCTAATTTGCACTTCATACAAAGTTTAACACAACAGCCAATCTTCTGGATTACCTAGGACCAGTAAAACTCAGTCTGGCATTGACAGACATAATTTTCTTACTGCTGCGTCAAAATTGAATTTGTTGAACTTACAGTCCTTTGGATTCGATGCGGAACCTCTTGAAGATTGCCTCAGCACCAGGGTTCAGCTCACGGCCCTTCTTGCCCTTGCCCCCGTCGTACACGTAGCAGCCCTTCCCACTTTTCCTACCTGTAAATTATCAAGTGATCAGTTTCAGTAATAATGTTTTGTACATTCAACCACTTTGTGCATACACCTGGTTCTGGTCAAGTCTACCAAATGTACTCCATGTTTTCTTGCCTTAATATGGTGAGATTACTTGGTGTTCAAACTACAGCTAGTTCTGTTCTGTGCCTTGTGTAATGTATAAAATTATCAATATGAAAACCCACAATCACTACCAGCAACATCTTTATACACATATTGCAATCCTGGCGTAATACAATGGCAATTCTGAAACTACAGTATTTGATCTGTAGGTCTCACCCAGGAAGCCTTGGTTCACCATGGTCCTCAGCACCTCAGGATCACCGCCTCCAAACCTGACTCCAAACTCCTTCTGCAGGTCCTCTGCCACATGAGACCCCACATCGATGCCAACCTCATCCAGCAGCGTCGCTGTGCCCACTGGAAACCCAGCCCGTGTAGTCAGCTGGTCCAGTTTCTGAGGCCCCTCTCCCTCCTAGGACAACACAAGGTACTGTGAGCAATCCCCTAAACCTCACTCTGAATGGTGTACATTTTCACTGTACTAAGTTGCATGTTTATGTCTACTAGCATTTTTTTAAACCGTTACACCTTTCCACTTCTTTTCTGTATGTTCATTTTATACATCAACAATGAAAAAAAGTACAAAAGTTGGGGGATGGGAGAGTGTTAGCAATTATTAAGCAATAACCTTCTTACTAATAGTAACGGCGTAAAGGCATATAATTTTAGTACACATTATAAACCTTAGTACACATAATAACATAATCATGTACATGTACGTTCACTAAGATTGATCACAACTACTCCATGACCCCATATGTCTGACCTGCAGGAGCCTGATGATCTCCGACAGTGTGGGTGCCAGGACCCTGGTGGTGTAGAAACCGGGACCGTCCTTCACCACGATGGGGTACTTCCCCTGCTTCAGGCCCACCGCCACGGCCGCCGCACACGTCTCCTTCGTCGTCTTGTCCGTGGCGATGATCTCCAACAGGGGCATCTTCTCCACAGGACTGAAGTAATGCATGCCAATCACCTGTAGTACATAGAAACAGAACAAGAACAATCATCAATGTGAACTTGCAATTAGAATCATATTATTGGCACAAACTGTAAGACAACAATATTACATCATATCAAAGGCATAATAAAGCATCAAAAACAATTGAATGCATCTGTAGCTTATTATCTGTTTTTGAATTTGACTACCCATTGGCCATTAATATTTTGATTAAGCAATGCAAACTGTGTCTGAGTTGAAAAGTATTGTCTTTAAAATACAAGCACTATTAAGATTGTACTTAAGAAATTGTTCCGAACTTACCAACTCTGGTCTCTTGCTGCCAGCAGCGATCTGCACAAAACAGTACGCAATCAATTAAACAAGGATTAATAATTTTCAATTTAGTCTAGCAAATACTACTGGTTTAAGATAAAGTCTCACACAATGTATACTTGTCTACAAGGGGAAAAGTCATGTGAGGGTCAGATTTATAAATACATTTGAACACTACCAAATTTGATACTGAAAAGAGACAAAACATTACCCTGTGGATAGGTAAGGCAGATGTGTTGCTGGCAAAGATGCAGTCTGGAGATATGTGCTGAAAAAAACAACACAGAAAACATTCAAATACATGCAGAAACATTTCTGGTGATGATAAACAGCTATTGAATTGACTTTCATATCAAACCATCTAGAAACATATCAATGCCATTGCAAGACAGTCTTACCGGTACTTTATTTTAATGAAATCAAGTGTCAACTTTCAGACCAAGACTTCAATATCTTGTCTACAAGCCCAATGTAACAGTGCCCAAAGTGACCAAGTTACCTTCTTTAATACAATAATATGCACTGTTGACTGACCTGCTCTAGTTCCTTGATGACCTTGTGCTTGATGTTGATGTCCTCAAACACTGCCTCAATGACCATGTCCACCTTGTCAAACCCCTCATATGCTGTCTGAGCGTTCAGGTTAGAGATCAGCATGTCTCGCTCAAAGGTTGTGATCTTCTTCTTCTTCACATTGAGGTTCATCCTGAGAAGATGACAAAAGCTGTTTAAAAAATGTATTCTCGGCAGTAATCGTATAATTTTCGTTAAAAGGGACGAATGTTAAAGTCAAATTTCTGCGTAAATTGCTACTTAGGCCACACCAATTTAATTTCTTGGTTAACGGATTCGCCGCTTCATTTTTTTCTGATTTGCAAATAAAAATAAAAATCCAGAATCAACTGCAAAATGCTCATATTTTGCCCTGAACAGTTGAAAACAGACCTTTTCATCCTAGTTGTTACAGTAATTCCATCTTTCAATGCAATGGTATCATTAAAAGTTCAAAATTGATTGTTTAAATTTTGAACCAGCCTGGTGTGTTGAGTTCATGGCTCCTATCGTACCATTTTGGGGCATAATAGGATGCCTAGGCCTGTTTTTAATTTTATTTTTTTCGCCCTGTCGCTTCATATTTTTCTGAAAAAATCCGAGAACCAACAAATTAAATTGGTGTGGCCTTAGTTGTAAGTTTTCTGTTAGGTTCTCAAATGCTCCATGCTATGTTGACGCTACTGTCATAAAGTTCCATGGCTACAACTTAAGTTTTGACTGCTTACACAACACAGATGTCGTTAATAAATTGCTGTTAACAAAGAAGGGATCTCCCATACTAGAGGCTTTTGAGGATTAAATTACTTCATGCAAATTTATGGAGTAGGTAAGCATTCTATGCTGATAAACTAGCATGATAATTCAACCAATAAAGCATGCAGATAGCATAAAGTAGTGAATTAACAGAAATGAGAAAAGGAAGATCTGAAAATACATGTAGATGAAGCATAAAAAGCCTCTTTTATCCAGAATATTTTTAACAGCTGACTGAAACCTACTCCTTCCAAATGTGGTCCTGGCCCTTGCCCAGGTTCTCTGATGTCACGTCCTTCAGTATGACCTGGTAACCCTTCTCTAATGACACCTGGGAGATGCCAGCCCCCATCAGCCCTGCTCCTAATACTGCTACAGTCCTGTGGAGACAGTAAATTGTACAGTCTAACTCATCTGGGTAAACAGAGCATCCATATCACCCGAGCTCAGCAAAAGGCCAGAGGGAGATCCAACCCACGGCAGGGCTGGATATGACATAAACGTAGATATGGTACAAGCAGTCCTTTTACACTCATCTAATTTGTTACACTTTCTTAAACAGAAGACTCATACTTATACTTATACTTAATGCAAAATATGACATATCTACAAAAGGTATACTTACTTAATTGGCTTTGCTGGTTTGCCATATTTGTTCCTCTTCACCTCAGTCTGAACAGTAATGAAAGAAAACATTTTATATATATATATACTGATTGTACAAGCTGATAAGTTTGACTTTTGGGAAGATCATATCATCATTTCTGTCAATAAACCATTGCAATAGGGATACAAAATAAATTTCCAGAGAAAATATACTTTTAAAATACATGTACAGGTGAATTGATGACATACCGTAGCGTTGAATAATCCAATGAGAGCCTTTGACTCGTTGGTCATCGCCAGTTGACCAAATGTCTGTAAACAAAGGGTAAGAGTATGATATGTGTGATGTCAAAGCAAGGTGAAAGAGTATCAAAACAGAGGTACTAGTACCTCAAATACCCAACATTTCTCTATCAAGTATGGAAGTATAAAATAAGGACTAGAACCAACAGGGGTACCAGTAAGACAAACAATCTCACCTCAGCTTCAGCCAGAAATCCAGCATCTTTGCCTTTTTCTATTCCTGTCTTCACTACCTGCAGATAGAGGACAAGTATTACTGTATGGTTAGCACTTACTACCTAAATACTGGAGAATACGTGCATTTCTGGTGGATAATCTGACAAGTTCAGACAAAGTATTTCATTTATCCCAATGGGAAAATTCACCTCAATGATCTTCAGGGGAGCAGGGTATAATCCTTTGGTCTGCTTCATAACCTGAAACAACAGATGCATATACAATCTAGTTTTTCAAGATATTTGTATGGTATATAAATGGACTTTGTTACACAAAATTATCAAATGACAAAGGATGAATTGGACAAGAGGGGAAATTACAGTTTAGTTTTCTTTCTCTTTCACTCTTTTGGTACTCTCTTTGATGTGTACCATCACTGAAGACTGGTACAAAGATTTAAAATCACATGCTAGAAACTATCATTAAAGTACTTGGAGGATAAGAAATACTGTCCACACATACCTGTCCCTTGACCATGCCAAAGAGTCTTGACCTGACAAAGTCATACTGCATGGCCCAGTTCACCAGTCCTGGGTGTGACAACAGGACAAGTTACGAGCCAACTGATACAGCTAGACATAACATTTACACCTTATTCAATGGTTATATGAAGCTCTACAATAATGTTTATGACCCACAAGGTTGTCTTCAGTCATTATCTATACAGTGTCAGCAGCTGAGCTTGTGTAAGGAGAGAAGAGGACAGCAAACTTACTGGACTGCAGGTTCTGCTTCCTGGCAGTGCTGACCTTCCCAGCTGCCAGACCCCGGGCCACATCCAGGGCCACATCCTCCAGGTATTCTAATGTTCGCACTTCAGGAGGCTTCAGACCAGGTCCTGCACACAAACACACAAAAACACTGAACTCCGGCTAAACCTCTAAGTCCACTGAATGACCTGCATAATGTATTGCCACTGTCTTGTGCAACACCATTTGGTGTGTATACTCTTACATTTGTATTGGCAAACAATATTTTCACATGTTCACAAGTTAACATATTGAGGTGAAGTCATCTGCCTTTGTGCTTTACCTAGAGGTTCAACAAGCATGTCCACCAGACCAAGCCTCTTGGCCTTCTTGCCCTTCGCCTGTTTGCCTGTCAGGATCATGGGCATGGCCTCCATGAATGGTATCTGCCAATACAAAAATATGTTAATGCATCACGATGTTAAGTTTACACAGTGTTTAAGACATGTATTTTTAAGAAGCAAGACATACTGAGTAGAAGTACTTTTGCCTTTGGTCTTCATCAAAGTAAAAACCTAGTATGAGTTAACTCCCTTTACACCAGATGAGCTGTATACTAGTATCTTATCTATTGATGGTCAGCCTTCAGTGTAAGATGATTACAAACCAGTCTGGGTAGCCTCTGAGTTCCTCCTGCTCCAGGTAGCAGGCCCAGCTGCACCTCTGGTAATGACAGGGCTGTCTTCTTATCGTTCACAGCTATACGGTACTGGCATGCTAGAGCAGTCTGCAGAGGTACGACAGGTAAAAAAAAGAGTCACATGCCATGATCATCAAATCAGATGGATGATATACAGTATCTTACTTTCTTGATAGAATATTACATTTGTTTATAGCAAGGTTCTCATATGTCAAGTCAAGGCTCTCTAGCTCCCACAGTCATGACAAAATATGATAGTTTTTTTATTCTGAAATTGACAAACAATCGACATAATAATCACTATGTAAAAGCGTGAGACACATACTACTTCATCAGGGACTAATGTGTAATTTATGGTAGATAGTTAAATGGCACCTCAAAAGAGGATGACCTGAACTGAACTGAACTGAGTTAAACAATAACCAAAATATGGTCATCCTTGATGCTACAAGCTACTTCAGACCAACGTGCATACAATATGTCCCTTTATATGGCAAAAAAGTTACCTCCAGTCCACCGCCCATGCATGTCCCCATGATGGCAGCCACCACAGGCTTGGGACTGTCCTCTAAACTCTGCAACACCTTCTGCCCATCTGAGGCCAGGGCTTCAACCTCTTCTGATGTCTTGCAGCTGGCAATCATTCTGAAAGGGTAACGTGAACTTAGTAAAAGATAATAGACATTACATAAAAACTATGGGCTTTTTACCAAGCCAACAACTGTTGATGTTGTATAAAAGTTGACTACTTGAATAAAGTATTACGACGTGCACTATGATAGACACTGCGTAGGTATGACTGAAGTGATTGCTTTCCACATTAACATAATTGATTCCCTTGTCAACAAGCTAAAATTCCAAAAGCTACACAGACTAAAAAGAGGTTAAAAAATCACAAAGGATGGAACATTTTAAAGTGACAGGCACTAATTCCCCGATTCCCACATACCTGATATCAGCTCCAGCGATGAAGCAGTCTGCCTTGCCTGAGATTAGGACGCCGCTCGTCACCGACTCATCTGATCTCAACTTTTCCAACAGTTCTTTCACTTCTGTGAGTACCGTTCTGTCCAGTGTGTTCACCTAGTACGCATAAAATAACATAAAAAATGTTTGACAGAATCTCATATAAAACCTGTATGGGACACACGACTGCCTTCAGCTTGTAATTACTATTTTCCAGAGTTCCTAAAACCATAGATCCAAAACTGTAACGGCATTAATGGATTGAGAAAAGTGATAGACATTAACAAAGAGGTTTTAAAAGAAAGAGTGGGTGCATGTGTTTTATTTTAAGGGTGGATAAAAAGAATTCTCATGATGCCTTACCTTGCTGTCTGGCATGTTGAACCGCATGACAGCCACATCATTCTTCACCTCATAGGTGAAGTTCTTCCATGCTGGAACAAAGCAAGGGGCATTATGAAAAGTGAAGCTATACTATACTTGTTGTTCAATGAGATGTACATGTAGATGTAGATTCCTTCAAGCCAGGTAGGAATATTATCCAGTTTGGGCCGCTCTTGACTTCAGCCGACAGTCATGTACATGTATCTAAATATAAAATCGTCAGAGGTACAAGTGCTAGTTCTCAAACTAAGGACATTATATAAAGATAATGCCTTTTCTCCAACTAAAAGAGGATTTCAAGTTTCCTTCTGAATACATACAAGTAACGTTACATGTGTCATTTCTTACCTGCCATTGGTGATGTCATTGACAGATATCTCTGGAAGTAGAGCTGGCTTGGCCTTTGCATAAATCCTTCAAAATGAAATCAGGTACTTTATAATTAGCAGTTATAAAGGAACATTTAAAAACAGCCCCTCAGTTTCAGGTGGTCTTTCAAAATGTCAAGAAAGCAATACTAGTAGATCATGGAACAGTAGATCATGGAACAATAACATATATTTCTGATTATCAAAACACCAATTCTGCAGTTCTAAGCGCCACAAATTGGTATGTGAAAGAAGTGTTCTTGAGTGACCTTAAAATTGACCTCTAGCATTATTTTACAGTCCATGGAAGCAAACGAAGTCGGTAGGTATTTGACGACAAATTATCTAATGGGCATGTATTTACAGGATGCTGGTTTCAGAAACTTTTTTGAGTTGGAATCTTATTTTCATAAATCTATGCAAAATCATCAAGAAGTCAAGGCTAGAGAATGGGGGAGGGCGTGAGAAATTGTGTGCCTTGTCACCTTGCTGTTAGCCGTTTAATCCAATCGTGACAATTGTTTATGGATTAAAGGGGGTGTGAACTCCGACACTGTTGGCTCAATGCATATTTGTACTCACCTGAGGACAAATGCAAAGTCTGAGTGGAAGAAAACCGGCTCAGCGAGAGTAACCTCGTAGCTGCCGCCATGATGGTACGACCAAGGTGAGCCGAAAAAGGGTGCCTATGATTGTGACGTCAGGATGCCTTAAAATAGGGATGACAAAAATGTGCTTGTGAATATCAAATTATCCTAAAATTGTCCAATAGAGATTTCAAATAAAAGGTTTTGAATTTTTATCTATTCTATTAATGACATTCATCTGTTTTGTGTGAAATTTTTGAACCACAATGTAAATTTGAAACAGGACCAACTGTGTTCCTTCATTTGGACAGCCCACACGCCTGCATTATTACCGGTACCGACGTATCCGATGTCAAAGTGTTTCTACTTCTTTTTCAACTTCCATACTTCCTGGGTTTTAGAACTTACGTTGATCTTATATGGTAGCAAACCAGAACCCGACAACAGTCAACCTCTGTAAAGAAGGGAATCTGTTGAATCTGAGAAATCGTCTGCACTGCCGAACAGACGTCACAGAACCCCTAAGGGCATGATCTTTCACACTTGTGACCTCATTTCTCGCGAGACTCCTAAGATCAAGAGATAATAATTGTCCCAATCCTGCTGTAGACATTTCAAAGATGACTGAAACACATTAAGAAACGATATTTCCTTAGATTTTTTTCCTCGACTTGATGCAGTTCTGTCAAGAAAAGGAGAAAGGGGTGATTTATTTAAGTCTCGTGCAGCGCGAGACTTGCGACCTTTGACACCTGCACATTCACACTGCACCGGCACACAAGATGGCGACGGCGATGTTGAGATTGGCAAGGTCGTCTCACCGACTTTGCAGCCCTCTGGGCGGAGGAGGTAAGTCTTGGCGCATTGTTCAACATCGATGACAACCTTAAGTGTCTTAAGAACATTCGCAGCGTGTTTGTCGTAAAAGAACTGCGATAACGCTGCTAAAACAGAGCGACAAAAATCATGGCAGTCGAAAAACGTCATGGCAGGTTTACAAACGTACAGAAAACTTGGTACAGTACAGTCACCTATAAGCACGTAGATACCTATGTTACCAAGAAACCCGCTGCTAGAATAATTATTATAATCAGCAGTTGCTTTTAATCGATAACACTAACCTTTAGTTGTATATAACGTTTCAACTGAAGGTTTAATAGCAGTGATGATCAAAATTCTCAACGTTGCACACGTCATAGTCTGACATCATATGAATTTCTGTTTATCACAGAGGCTGTTCGGGCTCTGAGCACATCAGTCGTCCACCATGCTCCCGAAGCAAAGGCTGCAGGTAGGTTTTAAACAGGCAATAAATGTGCACATTGTATGAACGTATATATTCCACCCAAATGACCCAATGGAGAAATTTTCTAAGCAGAATTTGACTTTGATGGTTTGACCTACACCAAAATGCATGTAGTGCAATCTAGAATTTGACAGAAAGACATGAATTACTAATAAAATGGGGAAATGGTGCAATCCCTTAGCTCAACCTGAATTCACTCGAGTCACTCAAGGGGACCAGACTTTATTTTGGTCCCAGCAGCGTCTTTTGTGAGTCTTCTTTACACCTGACATGGTTATCACTGTTTCTCCAGCTGCCCCAGCCAAGACCAAGAAGACTCTGGCAAAGCAGGGAGTCAGGAACATTGTGCTGGTGGAGGGTGTCCGCACACCCTTCCTGCAGGCTGGAACCTCGTAAGTTCTTCCACAGCCATCAATGTATATTTAAGGAACTGTAGAGGTTACAAGTTATAATCTCCAAGCAGATCATACGGTGGCAAGGCAGTATCCAATGGCCAAAGGAGTGTCCACTAGCCACAGAAGGCTAATGGACACTCCCCTGGCCAATGGATACTGCCTTGCCACCGTATGATCTGCTTGGATTTTATTATTTTTTTTTTTTTTTAACCATTTGTCCATGTTAGATAAATAAGGATTTGGAGGGCAGAGCACTCACCCTAGTGAGTGAGTGAGCAGTAAAAAAGTAAGCAGGAAAGTTTTTTCTATTTCAACATTATGTCAGTGTGTTACTGTAACAAAAGTTTGGGTTTTTTTTTTTTGTTTCACAGGTATGCCAACATGATGCCCCATGATCTGGCCAGACAAGCTTTACTGTGAGTCTGTACTTTTGTATGATGATCAAAGTTAATTTATGCATACCAATGATTAAAATTCATCCTTTTAAGGGATGTAACTCAATAGGACCTTGGAAACTTTGGGAACAAATATTCTAAAGATAGATATTATAAATTAGGATCTCATTAGCATAATCATTTCCCATACTGTTGATTGATGAGACATCATATTTGTGAGCATTTTCAGTGCACCATTATGAAAATATATATTTTTTTTCATATTGATTTCTAGGTCAAATGATAGAACTCTAGATAAAAGAATTGAAATCAAGCTGTCAAGCATGATAAGCTGTCTTGTCTGCATTTTTTGTGATCCCCCTACTTGTTTGTTACAGGGGTCTTTTGCAGAGGACAGCACTACCCAGAGGTAATAGCAGCTCTCCCATTACAGTTTGTATACTTGTTGAAATTTTTCTAGCATACAGGGTTAGAGCACACAGAGGTTGCCTATTGTTTTTTGGTCAAGGCATTAGATGGCAGGGAAAAGGTTGATTTTGTAATGACCTGTGATGTTGTTATCCCCAGACATGGTGGACTACATCGTGTTTGGGACGGTGATCCAGGAGGTGAAGACGTCCAACCTGGCCCGCGAGGCTGCCCTGGGGGCGGGGTTCTCCGACAGGATCCCGGCTCACACCGTCACCATGGCCTGTATCTCCTCCAACCAGGCCATGACTACAGGTCAGGACATCAGGCTGTGTGCAAGATGGAGATTTAACTATCAGCCTTCTAGATTATAATGAAGGGGAAGAAGAGAGATGTAGAAAGACAGCATAACTGTAAAGTGCATATACTAGTACCCATATGTAGAGAACAAAATATTTAGCAAGGAAGAAGACTACATGTTTTCTTGTATTTCAACCATGATTTAGCAAGATATATCTTCATGTGCCTGTTGTTAACTTGATGCATCTACCTTCTGGGTGAACACTGAGTCACTGACCTATCTGTGCCATTGTGTTTCCTCCAGCCGTGGGCCTGATTGCTGCTGGCCAGTGTGATGCAGTAGTGGCTGGTGGGGTGGAGTTTATGTCAGATGTTCCTATCCGCTTCAGCCGCAAGATGCGCAGTATCATGATGAAAACTCCTAAGGTTGGCACAATTGATGGGCTTTAAACTCGGTGTGTTAAGGGGAGAAAGGTCTGGATTGTTAATTTTTGGTTTGGACAGAAATTATAATGATTGAGAAGCTTTGGTGTTAAAATATTGTGATTTCCAACACCAAATCATGGGTATATTTAGCTGAAAATTACAGGTCTTGTCCACAAATTACACAGTACTGACAAGTAGTTTACACCTTTAGTGTGCGTACATCACAGGTTGCAAATCATACCATTTCATTTCAGGCTAAGACTGCTGGAGCCAAGTTGGGACTCCTGGCCCAGATCAGACCCAGCTACCTGGCACCTGAGGTGAGCATGGAGTTGTGTTACATTTTTTAACTTATTACAAAAGCCATTCTGGATTTTGTTTGGGGCATACAGTTCTTGAATATTGTTGATGTTTTCTGTATGTATATTAAGATACATTCCATAGATTTGTTTGTCCTGTCCTCATAGCTCCCTGGTGTGACAGAGTTCTCCACCAATGAGACCATGGGACACTCTGCTGACAGGCTGGCTGCTGCGTTTGGTGTCACCAGGAAGGATCAGGTACAAGTTCCATGGCCGCAGGGTGAACCTGACAAGCTTTAAAATCTAAAATTTTATTCCAGATGAGGTAATGCTTGTATAAACATTTTCTGTTATAGGGCTTTGAAAATCAGAACTGATACTAGTGATAGTGTATGTATGTGCTGTTACCTGGTATAAGGCTTAGAAAAATCATTTGAAACCAGTACTGATTGAAAGCCATAATGAGAGTCAGTTCAATTCAGTTCAGTTAAGTGTCAGACAAACTTTCTTGCAAAGATGTTTCTTTCCCATTTTTTTCTTCAATATGGAGTGAAAGAACTTAACCAAGAAAGCATGGAAATGAGCCATTTGTTCTTAACTTTCTTTTTGCAGGATGAGTACGCCTTGCGCTCCCACACTCTGGCACAGAAGGCTCAGGATGAGGGGAACCTGTCTGACGTGGTTCCATGCCCTGTGCCTGGTAGGCTATTCTTTCTTTACGCTAATGATATCACTCTCCAACAACGGTCAATAATAATAACTAATGGCATAACTGATTTCTCATCCATTTTTTATCAAGGCATACAACTGGTAGAGCTGTAATGACAATGACAATGACAATTGCCAAGGCTTTGCAATACAATAGTACATGTATATCCATTTTTAGAGACAAAAAAACAAAAAAACAGTAACACCTATACTATTTGTCTATTGCAGGCAAGGGTGTTGTGACCAAAGACAACGGCATCCGAGTGTCCAGTATGGAGCAGATGGGCAAGCTGAGGCCAGCTTTTGTCCGCCCACATGGAACCATCACTGCTGCTAATGCTTCATTCCTGGTAAGTCACTGTGTTTCAGCACAATGTCATTGAATTAGACTTAAGTTGTTTTAGTTGGTGATTATCACTGGTAACTTATGTTGCTTGAGCCCAATGGCACAATGAGATATGGTTTGTGAAGTTTGAGTATGTTTCAATGGACTTGCAGGACTGATTGTTCATTTCTTATGTAGACCGATGGTGGCTCAGCAGTCTTGATTATGGAGGAGCAGAAGGCCCTGTCCATGGGCTACAAACCACTGGCTTACCTGAGGTGTGTACAGACAATTGTGTATATATTTAGAAGTTACATAGATGTTACTTGCACTTTCTAACACAGCATTTTGTTTATTTGTGCAGTTCAATACAGTCTATGATACCAAGGGGTACAGTAAATATACAATGCATAAGCTTAGAAAAACATTTCTGTACATAGTATATGTAAGCGATAAAAAGAAAAAAGACCATTCAAAATACATGTACGTCATCAAGTTTTTGTTTCACTTTGATTGCAGGGACTTTGTGTACACATCCCAGGATCCTAAGGATCAGTTACTGCTGGGGTAAGTCATAAGCAAAACTCATGTCTTATTTATTGCTTACACTGGAGAAAGACCATGTTACATACATGTATAAGCAATGGAATTGTCTTTTACTGTAACTTCCAATCTGATACATCCAAAATTCCAATGTGTGTGACAAGGTTGATGTTGGTGTGAAGTATACAAAGTTACAATTTTATCCCCACAGGCCGACCTACGCTACACCAAAGGTTTTGGACAAGGCAGGGCTGAAGCTTCAGGACATTGATGTGTTTGAATATCATGAGGCCTTCGCTGTAAGTATCTTCCAAAAATCAATATTTTAGAGACATTTGTCAACCTGAAAACACATTATGCACAACATTGCAAAACTGTCAAGACTGCTGTCAGCAAACAAATGTCTGTTTTCCCACTCTAGGGCCAGATCCTTGCTAACTTGAAAGCCATGGACTCAGACTGGTTTGCCCAGAACTACCTGGGAAGGCAGGCAAAGGTGAGAAACAACGCCATCTTTTAAAATTTCCCTATTATGCCTCAACAACACCATAAAGCTACTGAGTTAGTCAATATGATAATTTGATATCGTATCATTTGTATAGGCCTGAACTTGTTGAGAATCCTGAGTGTTGCCTGTTGAGATTCAGTATGCTGTAAAACTTCAGGTCAAAGAAATCCATTCAACATATATTTTTGCTAAAGGTTTGATGTTAAGAGGAATGCCTAACTGTGTGTTTTTATTTTGTAACTTGTAGGTTGGAGTGCCAGATGTGAAGAAATTCAACAACTGGGGAGGATCGCTGTCCATCGGTCACCCCTTCGGAGCTACCGGTTGCCGCCTGGTCACCACGACCGCCCACCGGCTGAAGAAGGAGGATGGACAGTTTGGCCTGGTGGCTGCATGTGCTGCAGGAGGACAGGTGGGGCAGTTCTCAGGCAAAGTTGTATGGCTGGGAATTCTAACACTAGTTTGTGATTGTGAGATGTGGAACCGGATAGAGAGAGAGAGAGAGTTTCTTCTAGCTGTATTTTACAAAGAAATGCGAACTCTGGCAATTGGAATGCTTGTACCAGCCGTTAAGAAAAGCATTACACTTCTCAGTCTGAGGCCAACCCATTATACATGTACCAGCATTTAAAACATTGTATTCAATTATGAACCTGTAGTTGCATTTACCAATACAATGGACATGTATATCTTTTATTGAGAGTGTTAAAAATGTTCTTATAATATCTGTTCTTCCAGGGACACGGGATGATTGTGGAGCGGTACCCATCGTGAAGAGCTGAAGGAAATGTGAGAGGGAAGAATCTTGGGATAGTAACATAGTCACTACAGTTGTGGCCTACATATAATATGTGTAAAGGTGGGAGGTCGTCAAAAAAGAAGATGAGAAGAAAAGTACAAGAGAGAAAGGGGCTTGTAGCTTTATTTGGAAGACCGTGATGATGTGTGTTATTTCTGTGGCCTTCTTAGTGTGAGTGTGATAACTATCTGTATATATGCTATACATACAGACCTGTAAGGGAAATACAAGTTTTGGTTGTAGTAACATATCCTGAAACTATTTTACATGTAGCTAGCAAAGCAGGTAACAGTCCCAGTAACATTAACAGTCCCAATTGTTCACATACATGTATATGTGTCTATATTGCTTCAGCACAAATATGAATTTGGCTAGAGGCCAAGAACAGATTTGATGATATTAACCTACAATTGTCACAACAGTCTGCTGTGATGGCTTTCTGTGTTTAATGTTTATCATGTCAGCTCAGAGAAATTACACCTGTGAAAAACGTTTCTCTTGCTGTCATCATTTTTTACTATTTTTAACAACAGAGCTTTGCCTCTTTCTAAGCAAAGTTGAAAATACACAAGGCAGTATAAAAAGGCAAATAGCAATATATACCCAAAGAAGGCATGAAGGTACATGTATGTAGCTAGACATTCAACTGAAGTAAGCATCCTTAGCTTAAGCAGTTGCACTACTCCTTTGCCCCACTTGTGCTGTTCATATGGCCATGGAACAGTTTGCCAATTTTCTAAAGGCACCTTCATTGCTGGTACTGTCACCAGCTACACCTACCTGGACCAGCTGGTACTGCAATAAGAATGCTCAGGCAGGATAACCTGATCTTCTTGCCTAGCGCCTGGCCTGAAATTTTCCAATGAAATTTTATAAATGTGTCATCTAAACCAAGTGGGGCCTGTGCTGCATCAAAAGCACTTAGTATAAGAGGAGAGTAGCAAATTGGCGCCTTGGACAGGTCAAGAACCTTGATCCTTCAGCTCTACTTGCTTTAAGTAAACATGTCCACCCTAAATGAAAACATTTCCCCTATCTTAACCTGGGATTTATTTCATGTGTCGTGCATAAACATCTACATAGAATATAAATATCTTTTAAAAATGAATGGCAAAACAACGTCAAGAAAATAATTTTGAAAGCCTTTACCGGAAAAAAAATTGAGCATATATCCCCAATCTACCCTTGTATCAGATTTCCTGTCACTGGGCCCTAAGATGACAGTGTGACTGTGAGGCCTTCTGGAAGGGTGTTGGTTAAAACTGGAGGAACAAGAAGAAAAACACAACATGGGCAAAGACAATGTAATGTTCCTACTCCTGTACAGGGGCTTGGGAAATGTAATGAAAGATTTTTTTCCTAGAAGGTTCTGTGTTATATTGCTTGGCGGTGTAAAAGGTGCAGTGTCAAGTGATTCTCAAGTACTAGTGTTACGCCCTCCGTGCGGTTATTGACCCCACATGCACACGCCCTCTTTCTGGTACCGACCGGGCACGTGGATATCACCGTGCTCTGTCTGGGGGAATCGAGGTCAAGTTAGTCTTGAACTTCAGGCATGTGTCAGGTAGAAATGAAAGTAGCGAGAAGTGCGGAACACATAAACGCACTTTCTTTCAACACTGTTGGGTTAGTACATTTGTACTACTTTGTTCTTTGTGAATCTGCACTGTAGATTGCCAAGTGGTAGCTGTTATTAGTAACGATAAATGAACAGTAGACGTGCCGTGCTATTGAACATATCTTCTCTCTACTCGAGTTTAATACCTTATAACCTTGTTACCGTTTCCAAATATCAACTCTATAAAATTTAATTGCCATCAACAAACTATCGAACGTTTTTCGTACAACGAAATATCTCGAATTGACGACCCATTTGTCCTTGATAGTGAGTGACGTAACGCCTGGGGTTCCAGTCTTCTATTTTCGACACCAAGCCATGCACGCTGCCGACAGAATGTTTATATATGTGATGTTGATATTCCTGGCACGTCTGACGTATTTAGAAATGACCTGCATTTTCCCAGGGATGTGGTGACGAGCATGTAGCCATTGGCATTGCGTTTCTCACACGCGTTTTGTCTGATGTGGAACCTACTTCCGAGTTTTAACAGCTGACATTAATGTCACCAGGATAACCAAACACTACTGAAGATCCAGTACATGTATATGTATTTGGTGATACTGTATTAAAGGAAAGAAAGCGCCTTTGGAAAATGAAACTGACATGTCATAATTCATAAACATCATCACATTTTTATATGCACGTTGAACAAAACTGTATTCAGCAAAATAAGAAAATGGGTCAGTAGACTGGTTAAACTGACAGCTAGGATTGAATTTCTCTCCAATGTGCTTATGAACATAATGCCCCACCTATTTAAAGCTCGTCGCCTGGCATACTTTTCTGAAAACATGTGGGGGCAAGCGTGCTAGTACCCGAGGCCACAGTGGGGTCTTTCTTTTCTAGCTTACTGTAAAAATGTTCCGATGATTCTCTTCATCTCAGCAAACCGCTGGTAACAGTCGCCTATTCAAAGGACATTTCATATGTGCAAGAACATTTATATATTGATGTGTGCTTTTTGGCTCTGTTTGATCTTATCTCTTACTTAAATCACAAAGAACGAAATGGCCCAAGTGGCTTTAGTCTGTATTCCTCATCAACTTCAGTGTATATCTATCATCCATCGTCTGGTGGAGAATGGAAGTATAGGACTGAACATTAAACATGAATGAGGTCAGAGCAACCTTGGCGTCGGTCATTGAACTTAACCGCGACCAATCAGAAGCCGAGATTTCTCCGGTATGATCATCAGCCGAAATAGGCCGCATTTACCCCTGCGATATTACAGCTGATCGTGTCGCAATAACCTCAGCTTCTCATTGGTCTATGTGGGTTCAATGACCGACGAAAAGGACCACCAAACATAAGTTTTGTTGTTGCATGTCTAATTCCAGTCAAAGGGGGTTGTTGTGTAAGGTAATATGATATTACAGGTAAACCCATGAAGTAGAAAAGCACGCCTTTCTCCACGTGTCGTCACTAAAAGTAGGTCGTATGGAGATGCGAATAGCTGTGATGTTGCTATCCTATGGTGCTAATATGCACATTTCTGGATGACACATCAAGGGTACAAGTGAAAATGTTACGTTTCATGATCAGCCCACTTTTATTACTCTAGAGCAAAGTGGGGAATTGCTTATACTTATACTATCCGTGAGACTCTCATGACCATATGATCTTAAAAGCCGTGTACAATACGTACGCACAGAAAAAAATGTGACAATTTAATAGAATCCCTTGCTGCTAACCATGTCTTAGTGTTTTGGTCACATATAAAAATCAAAGAGGTTAACTTACTGAGAATGGTTTTGACTTGGTAAAGGAAAATTGTATGGTACATGTATTTGTATTCTTACAACAACGAGGTTCAATGATAAAAACGACTTCAACAATAAATATCATTCAGATGCAGTGTTTGGTTGTCGGTCATTGAACCTAACCGCGACCAATCAGAAGCCGAGATTTCTCCTGTATGATCATTAGCCAAAATACTAGTAGGCCACATTCACATATTACAGCTGATCGTGTCGCAATAAACTCAGCTTCTCATCGATCGATGTGGGTTCAATGACCGACGAAGAAAATACCCGTCGAAAAGGTCCACTAAACGTTGTTGTTGTTGTCAATGCGGGGGGGGGGCCTACATCAATTTCACATCCACATAACCTAGCGGCGACCAATGGGTGACCAGCATTCCGCGCCACGCCCACTTTGCGGTCGATTCCATTCGACAATGGGGTTGAACAGCATCCTTCCGTACGGCGCGGCAGGTAATCGGAGTTGGAAATGTCAGATAAACAATGTAAGAATTGGTGTATTTGGGGTGAAAATAATGCAAGTACCGAAGTTACGGGTTCCTTTCTCAGCACTCGGTATACAGAGTTGAGGCGGCTTCCGTCCTAGATCTCCAGTGCCGAAGGTACGTCAACACTTGGTGTGTCGGCGGCTTCAGCACTGGAAACTCGGAATCGGCAAATCAAACCTTGTCTTTAAAAAGGGTATCGAGATGCTGCCACTCATATTTTCGAGATCATACCGCCGGGGTAACAAAGTTTAATCGGGGCAACAAGGTTATCGGCAGGACAGGACTGCAAGGCCTCTTTTCTTACATTTTCACAGACAAAGACTTGGCCTAAGATACTGTTTTGTACGCCGCGCGGCCGACGTGAGCACCAGAAGCCCAGTGCCGAAATGGTTTAACTCGGCTCGGTAGTTATTTTGCTCCAACTATTCAAAGACACAGAATTTCAGAAAACAATTTACAAATGTATCTTTTGAACAAGTTTAATAAACATCTTTTTCAACCATATCTTGCTAAAGCGCGGGTTGTGGGTGTGGCCGAAATGCTGCCCGCCTATTGGTCCCCGCTAGGCTGGCTTGGATGGGAAATTGAGGTTCCGGGGGGGGGGGTGTTGTGTAAGGTAATATGATACAAAGGCCTGATAATACAGGTAAACCCAAGAGCCAAACAGAGCCCCATGGATTAGAAAAGCACGCTTTACTCCACGTGCCGTCACGAAAAAAGTAGGTCGTATGGAGATGCGAATAGCTGTGATGTTGCTATGGTGCCAATATGCACATCAAGGGTACAAGTGAAAATGTTACAATTCGGCCCACTTTTTTTTACTCTAGAGCAAATTGGGGAATTGCTTATAAAAGCCTTTTACGTTATAATATCCGAGAGACCCTCACGACCATATGAGGATAAAAGAAGGCTTGTTGAAGGAAATTTGGCATTAATATGTGGTAGCGTTGTACAATACGTCCGCACAGAAAACAATTTAATAGAATTCCTCGATGTAAATCATGTCAAATTAACTACTATGTGAAACCAAGGAGGTTAACTTACTAAGAATCATTTTGACTTGGCAAAGAAAAAAAATTGTATGGGATTTGTTTCTTTACAACAAGGAGGTTAAAAAAACAACATCATTCAGATGCAGTGTTTGGTTGTCCTTCTGGCTATTACTAGGAGTCTATATTTCTCCATGTCAGGTCATATCATACATGATGGTGTTCTAACTACTAGTATATCACAATTTTCTTCAAAAGCAGGCAATTTTCACATCACCAAAAATATGGAACATGTCGGTCATTGAACTGAAAAGTGGCCAACCAGGAAGCGAGATGTCTTTAGGCTATCAAAATGTCGCGGCGACCCCGGCTTCTGATTGGCCGCAACTTTATTTGATAGTTCATTGACCTGCGACAAAGTTGCTTGAACTTTTGTTTGGTGTTTGCCACACTAATATCCTAATCACAAAGGTGATTTTGTTGTGTTAAAGATGTTGTTACACAGGTAAAACCCGGACAGTGCCCCATCACACGGTGAAGACGCACACCTGCCAAACGTGCCTTCAAGAAACTAGGTCATGCGGAGATGCTCTGGTGGAGATGTAAATAGCTGGATGTGTGGTGTTGACAACATCATTTGCACAACTGGGAAACTCATCCCTAGGCCTGTTGACCTAGCTAGTTATGGCTATACATTTAACATTAAAGGATTAAAGGGCGAAGAGTAGCAGTCCTTGAGTAGTACGTATACGGTGCCGAGAGTAGAAAATCGTAAGGAAACAATTGAGTAGTCTTACATGTTGGTCCTCCTGTGCCTATATGCGCATTGGGTAGCAAGTTTCTATTTTGGAAACGCTTACTACTACTGAAATATTGATGGTCAGGTTCTCCTCAAAAGCTCGAATTTAAGTTGATCAGTCTCCACCAGACTAATAACGCAGACTGAAAAGTAATAAAATTTAGCCAAGTATGGAAAATGATTTGTCATGGGAGTTTGGCCGCCTCCATCTGCACGCTCAGTTTTTTTTCCAAGCAGAAATGTTACCCTTGGGCGGAATCATTCTCCTGGCCAATCATTCCTATTTTTGCCAATTTTACTTTACATCCTCCCCCAAGAAGACCTGATGTAGGCTGATCGTTAACCCAAGAATATTTCTATTATTACGGGACCGTTACTTTTATAATATATAACAACTGTACGTAGGGTTTGTTATTGTTCCGCTTATCGTAATATCAAAGAGGGGCGTTCATGTCAGAGCCATCTCCTATGGCATTTGTCCCCAAACCAGGCCATTTTACATAACATGTCCTACTTTTTTACAAACCAATTTTCCGGTCCAAACTAGTTAGCTGACTTTGAAAAATGTTGTTTATCTGATAATCAACACCTATTGTGCAATTCCTTTTTCATAACATTTCATTATATCATATGCGTGAAATCGGATATAATGCATAAATCACAGAGTCAAATACAACATGTAATCCTCCGTATTATTGTCTTTTTTGATTTAGTAGTAACGTTAGGGTAGTAGCAGTTGGTCTCCAAAACATTCTGAGGGCGAGGGCTGAAAAATTGGCTAAACGGTAGGGAAATATCTTATGGAGTTGTCAAAGCTATTGGAGTGCAAAGCCGAAGAATTCCTCTGACAAATATTCCCCCTATCCGGCCAATTTCTAAAAACAAATTCAGCCCGCAGCATGGTCTGGTAGAGACTGGAAGCCATTAATCACCATTCGCCCCAAGGGCAAGTTTACACTCGTTTGCCAATATTCGGGCATAAGTCTTCAGCCTATGTCTTCAGACTTTGTCTTTCCATGTTTTACTTCATTCATACTGTGGGAAATGCATTATTTTCTTTTATTATTAGACATTATTTTTGGATTATTATGACGACTTAGCATTTCGATTGTAGGTTTGACCGCTAGTAACCTACCAGACGTTAGGTGTCATAAATTTGCATATCGCGCATGCGTTCTAAGCAATCGAAAGAAAAAAGAGGGTCAACAAGGCAGCACGTCAGACGATCGCAAAGCTCGCGTTTCATTCATTCTCTGGGCGAGGTAAATACCCCCAGACACCGACCGCTTCCCTCAGAAACCACTCAGATGTGTTGGAAGAAGGGGCCTACGTTCCGACTAAGACGACTTGTGCTCACGAAAGGCACTGAAGCCCGCCAGTTCGACAGACAACACCCGAGGCTTAGGACGCTGTTGTTTGAAAACCCTTCCCGACTTGCATTTTAAATAGCTCACATCTGTCGACTGGAAAATATTTTTTTCCGGCAACGTTTTAGCACTTTCGCGGTCGAAATCTACCAGAGTCGTCGCCCAAAGTGGTCTGCTACCGAGTTTTGGAATTCCTTTATTCAAGAAGTTCTTCTAAGTGAAGATATTCGACCGAATTCGGTCGGTTATCACCCGGGGTGAATTTTGATCTCGTCCGGTCCTCCATCTTGGTATTACGACGACCCCGGCCCGAACTGGTTTTTCCGCGCCAAATCAGCTCTGCTTCGCGCGCAGCTCAGGCATGCAATCATGGATCCGGACCTCGAACCATACCAAGTCCTAGACGAGATTGGCTCCGGGAGTTTCGGAGTGGTGTACTCGGCCATCAGCCTGAAGAACAGTAAGCACTATGCCATCAAGAAAATCAAGTGCACAAATCCCGAAAACATCGAGATAGCCCTGCAGGAAATGTGGACGCTGACCCGTCTCACAGACCACCCAAACATAGTCAAGATGATCGAGTGTTACCTGCAGAACGGCGGGATTCACCGTGTCAAACATGGTGAAGATGACTACCTGTGTTTAGTAGAAGTCTGCCTGAAGGGGAAGACATACCACCAACTTCCCTTCTCGAACTCCCACAAACCCTGTGGCAAACAGCTGGGCCCCCACATCCCCCATGGGCAGCTGAATCTGTGGCTAGTGATGGAATACTGTAATGGAGGAACCATGAATGACTATCTATTGGAAAGAGAACCTGATCCAGAGACTAATGCAAGGTTTATGACACAACTTTCGGGGGCAGTATCCTTTCTGCACGACAACAATGTTGTGCACAGGTGGGTATAGATATGAGAAATATCACACTTCAAGTTCATGTTTTACAGGTGCTCTGTCAACTTTGGAAAGTTTCCTGTCATCATTTACTTCCAGAAGTTGTAATATTGTAAAATTACTTGCAGCTGCCTCAAGTTAATATTTTGTCTTTCCTTGTTTTTCATCATGCAGGGACTTGAAACCAGACAATGTGCTAGTGTGCCAACCAAGAAATGGGGATCCACCACATGTGAAAATCGGGGACTTCGGCCTCTCCAAGATATGCAATGCTAGTAACCTTAGCCACAACACGGACATCAACGCTTACCAAATGAACTCTGCATGTGGCTCTGACTACTTCATGGCACCAGAGGTTTTCGAAGGGAGCTACACTGCCAAAGCTGACATTTTTGCTCTGGGGATCATATTCTGTTCCATGATGGAGAGAACTACATGTTACGACAAGGAAAGCAATAAACTGCTGCTGGTCACCTGCATCACCAACGGCAAGGAGAACGTTCCTGTTGGAAAGGCTCTCCAGGACGACCCAAAACTGACATTTGAAGTGTTGAAATGTGGACGGAACAACAGACTGAAGACCCTGGTGCAGTCCATGGTGGCCATTAATCCCGATGAGAGGCCTACTGCAGATGTACTACACAAAAAGCTGCAAGATATCGTCAAAAGGTAAAATATTCCTCATTTCTGTTTATGCCCCTTTGATAGCTTCAACTTTTTTTATACATGTCCAAATTAATCAGACAAATTAAAAAGCAGTAGCTACAGGTGTTTTCAACCCAGATTTCTTGCTGTATATTATGTAGGAATGCTAAGATTGTTCATATTCTCAAGTGATGCCTATACATATGAAGGTAGACATCTGGGGGCCTGTTTTCCAGGGATATTTGCCTAGAGTAGGAAAGGGTGTCCAGAAGAGATTTATAACATGCTAACTAATAAAAACTACTGTGCCAAGTCTGACATGAAGGCCAGCCATTGTTTGACTGGCTAGACATAGAAGTACATGTATTATTGCCTCTTTGTACTGACTCTCGCAACAGTATGATCAATATTTTATGACTTTTACCATTTCATTGGCTTGTTCTGGGTATTAATTTTGTCCCATTGCAATATACAGTATGTTCATCATCCAAGCACATGCAAATTTCTAGGCATGCCCATACATACCAAATATAGCATTGCCATCCCAGTTCATGGAGGTCCTCGTATCTAAATGGTTCATAGTAAGAATGACTGTGTGTGAGTGTCCATAACATATCTTTAGACAAAGTGTTTTGACCATCATTGGCCATCAATCATTACAATGTTTGCTTGTAATGGCCGAGCCAGCATGGCAACAAGACCACAGCTGGATCCTCAAAATAGCCTGTGTCAGCTGTGCTTACTGGAAGGTACCCAGGAGCCTGGAGTGCTTGTTACTCAGCAGATTTCACTGCTATGTCTAGGCTTGTTTTATGAAGCCAGCAAACTACAATTCTATGGTCCAGACAAGATTGATGTGTGGCAGAATGAAGATGTAAAAACATGCTACTTAGTTGGTTTTGTGGGTCATCATGGGTTTAGTAATCAATAAATCAATCGTTCATGTTGCTTGTTCACATAATGCATTCCAGGCAGCACTAGAATGTCCAGAAATGAGCTTTCTTCTGTCCTATTCGGACCTAGTTTGCTTTCTTTTTCTGCTGCTTGCCTGTAAGATTGTGTAGATTGGTGCATAATCAAATTTTTGTACCATATTCTTTTGAGTAAGTATTGTTATAAAACTACATTTATAACTGAAAGAAAAAAATATTCTGTGTATAGTAAACACAGTGATAGTGTGGCCCAATTTCTGTTACTTTAGTAAGTCATCATTCACTCAGAAGGAAACGTTTATTGCCTGAGGCTAGGAAATTTCCAAACTGCAGCGGTCCTCATTGTTTTGATAATTGTTCATGAATAAGCTGACCTTTTTGACTGGTTAGGTAGGACAGAGTCGCTCAACATGTTGTGAGGGACCCGACTTGTTGCATTGTTTTGATGATGTGCTGCAGGCCCCAGGGCTGATACGTTTTGTAATGATAATGTAATGTGTGTATGTTACCTTGCACTCGCAGTAAAGTAATGTTGATAAAATCAGTTAGCTACTAGCTGAAGAAGTGCTACCCACTTGGTGTTACGAAACTGGTAAAATTTTAGAGACATAGAATCTATCCCCTCAACCTGTAATGGTTCTCTGTTACATGTAGTTTTTGTCCTAAATGAATTATGGTGGTCTAGATGCAGATCATCATGTATCACAAGAAAAACTCACAACACTGCAAGAACAGCATATTGGTGCATTGGCTATGGGTTTTGAGTACAGTTCCATCCAGATATGTGATCACTGAAATTATGAAAGCGGATGCAGAATCTTGGAGGGGAGAAGTCTAGTATGACTAGGTAAACTAAAGGTCATGCGGCAGCTACAAGTGCGCCTTTGTTGTTATCGGGCGTTTGAGTCCAGAGTCACTCTTTGTGCTAAAGAGGGGTTTAGCTTGAACAGCTAACTGAATTTGGAGTCAGCCTTGGTTAAAATTTTCCCTGCTGTATAGTTCATTGTGAAGTTGAATGCCACCGTACATGTGCGCAGCCACCTGTCCCATTTTGGCGCTACAACCATACAAGGTAAGATCTGGGTCAGACAGGGGGAACCTGCACAATTGTGCCCTTTGTGGCCAAGTACAAAAGCCTTCCGAAAAGGTGAGGCCCACATGGAACACTGGCCCCTGGCTTCAAAACAAGTTGGACTGTACCATTTTAAGGCGGGGAGAGGAGACACCCAGTATCACGCTCTATTCAAAGTCCAAGAGAGTAGAGTGTTTGTTATGTCAATTAGGTCATAACGGTATTAATATTCAAAAGTGGTTGCTGTTTTAGTTTGACAAAGTTTGCAGGGTGATTTGTGTGTACATATTTACAATGGTATGGTCTCTTGAGGCAAGTGTACCCTAGTATATGCATAATACAAACCAACCAGATCCTGGTTAGACTGGTTTCTACTGGTTTTGGGCAAAATACACTGAAGAGGATGACCCGGAAATTTGTATCTGAACACCTAGACAACTACTAGCCCATCCGATCTGATCTAAATCGAGTATAGGATAGAGGCTCACGCAAGGTGTTACTGTTAGCAGTAACAATTGTCAACAATATATCTGCATTTGTATGATGTAGTAATGAAATGACATCAATTTTTTATTAAAATGCCAGTGGTATACATTGCATATTGAATATGCAGTGTAATATGCCCCTGTATCCAAGTAATCTGGTAGTATTAGTGATGTTTTTAGAAGATCTGGTCAGGTTGTTATCAGGTATGCTATAGGTATGAGTCTGCCATATGACATATTATTGTGATCAGATGGTAAGAACATGATATTGTTGCCTAGATGGTTTAAAGAGACGCTCACCAAACTCCTTGGTGTTCTCATGGTGCTTCTATTTGTTTGGCTGGGCAGTTATATAGGATCGCCCCCATTCCATCAGACATGTTATATACTGGTACTCAAGATCACTGACAAGTCTTGGGCCTTGTCTGGATGCCAAATGTCAGGTGTTGTGGATACAAACATGTTATGACTGGCCACAATACCATATGTTGTGACCCAGTTGTATTTATTGGGCAATTTGTTTAAGTTCAGTCTGACCTGTGGGTCTTCTATTCATGGGCAGAACACACCACTCATGGAGGTCCGCGTGCCATGAAGACAGGCTTTGTGTCTGCCAGTCCCAGTTACATGTTTAACCCATCTTCTGGCCCAGGTACTCAGATCTATTTCTAAGTCATCATGACATCCCTTTGGTTAGGGCAGTCACTGTTAGGTGTTTGTTCCATCCAGATCTATCCAGTTCTACCCTCCACCATCTGGAAGTCAATGTTTTTCTTCGCTTGTCCCAGTTACATGTTTAACCCAAATTCAAGTCCAGTCAGTCTGCAGGCAGGCAGTGTGTTGTCGATCAGATGGAGTGCCTCATGAAACATCAATACCCTCTCCTTGTCCCAGTTACATACATTATCATGTATTATTAGCAAGGTCAACATCGGCTAGGCAGGTCTTCTTTCATGTGGAATGTGAGGCATATTCTCTGTATTATACCGGAATGTTGAGTGGAAAACTTAATTTATCAGGAAAGAATAAATGGAGCATAAGAGCTAATCTTGTGTTGTTGTTTTTTTGCAAAGCTTAACCAGATTTTTGTTTCTTCTTGTCATCCCTGTGCAGGCAGCCTGGATGGACTGTCTGTGTGACATCACAAAGGGTTTCAAAAGGAAAGCGCAAGCGGAGGTTCACTGTGTCCTAACAGCCTCTAGGCTGCCACCGGAATACAACATGTCAGGTGTCAAGAATTCTAAAGTTTTATATGTACTCTATAGGAGATACTTTCTGTTCAGTTGCTGCTCTCAGTTTATATTACCGTTCCAGCGTTCGTTCCTTTTGTAAAAAAAATGGATACATTTCATTTATGTTTACTTTTAGGATTCTCCTTTCATTGCCTTTTCATTGGTCTATACGTGTTAACAAAATACATGATATTTAATGAATATACTTACAAAGTCTTCTCACAACTTGTACAATACCATTGAATGAAATTTTTGTAAGGTATAGACATATATTATGTGGATTTTAGTCAGAATTGACAAGGGGAAAGGAAATGTACTAGCCCTATTTTACCCTCCTTGAAACCATCCAAATGGCCAGGGGTAGACTTACCCCCAATATACGGCATTGTAAAGGATGTACAACAGTTGACAAAACAGATTACACCAAGAATCTATTTTAGTTCTGCATTTACTGATACTTTCACATAAAATGATCAGAAGTCTGATGACGGTTGATAGAATATTATATAAGGAAGGAACTTTTACTAAAATTGAAGAAGTCATACATATTCTGAATGATGTAATTGATCTGACTTGGTCATTATCTGTGAGAATGAAATGTAGCTCTTACAAAAAATAAGCTTATATTTAACGACTTTATTGTTGAATTTCTCACATGTATTCTTGTTGGGAACCCCATATGGACAGATATTCCATGTTAGCACCTTGATGGTCATTAATGTTGATGAGATTGAACTATACGGACTTTCCCGAAGACTTTGGTTACGCTGCTATTACCTATGAAAGCTCTTTGGTGCAATTTGTGAGGACACTTAAAAGTGTGAACAGTACTTAGTGATAGGTTTTGTGCCATACCATTCCAAGTGTTACAAGCAACAATTCAGTTAGGACTCAAAAACTGGTAACTTCTGTTAGTATTATCAGCAGTCAGTTGTGTTAACATCACTGTTGCCTGTTTTATTTCACTTGCCAATGTTCAAATTTGGGTACAACTCGACATGGAGTCAAGATTTTAAGGAGGGAAATGCACAAAACCGTAACAAAGGCTCGTGTATGTGAATTAGTATTGTTTTGTAGACACCTCAGGATGGGAAATATATTATAAGTTCAGGGCTATTATGCTGAATGTTAGAGAAGACATCCTAGTATTGTGAGATTATCAGTAAGCAGTGAAATTATTGTATACTGTATACATGTACTCATTATTTTCAGTTTTGCACATGCACACACTACACTGTAATTGTTCACTTGTCTGAAAACAATGTCTTGACTACTGCCATCTTTGCACTTTTGTATGCAAACATTTGCTGCATTCCATCTTGTAGGAAATTGAAAGTCATTTGAGATATTGAGCTGAGATATTGAAGTACATCAATACCTTTGTTTTAAAGATTTCAGTCCGTGTAAAAATTCATTCGCTGCTACCTGTAGTACATGAACACTGCAAGTCCTCATTCTGTTTCTTTAAAATGTTGTAGAACTGGTGGATGAATAAATTTTTAAAATGTATATGTATTGTTTTGTTTTGTCATTGATGACATTGACTACCCGGACATAAACTCATGGCACTTGAGAAGCTGAAAGAAACGTGTATGCTAATGAAGGGAGGGGCACTACACCAGTTTTGACCCTCCACTGAGTGTAAGGTCAGTCGAACCCTGATAATCACAGTGTTTGTCTGCTTTGTGCGTCACGGTATATTTATGGGTTCACCACACCACGAAGTGGTGTGGTGAAACCATATTGCTTTTTCTGATGTTTCTTCTCCTCCTCCTCCTTCTCCTCCTCCTCCTGCCATATCTTTAAATGGATTCAGCTTCTTCATTTTAGGGCCTAAGGTCCTGAAATTTGGTATGGAGGTACAGTGGGCAAATACCCCTAGGCGTTTTTTAAATTATTGTGATACAGGCTTTTAGAATGGTTTTATTTGAGTTTTTTGGCTGTGTTATAGCAAATGTATTACTGTGTTAGTCTGCCTTGTTTACCACGTTTGGGCATGAGTCATCAGAATGGAATGCAGGGCATCAACCAATAGGCATGCAGCTTTCCTCTATACTTCTTGCTGATTGGCTGTTGGGATTTAACTTGATTAACACCTGCACAGAAGCATTTCCATACTGACAGTATGTCTGTATTCAAGTGTTTTGGTAGGTATTTCAAGCTTTCCTGCTCCAGCATTGGAATGCCGGGCATGGACGTTTTTTTTTATTTTGAAAATCAACAGTTTGCATTATGCAATTAAAAATCCTAACCAATAAAGTAGGGAATAGCTATCCAACTGTTGTTTTAGTTGTATTTTACTTCATATTATAGTTATATCAATGTAAATCATTGTTTTCCCTTGTGTTTCCCATTCTTTCCCTGCCATGTCGTAAAATGTGGTGAACCCATCGCTGTATTTGCTCCAAAGCAAATATTGGCCTTTCTAGTTTAAAGGGCATTTCAATCAAAGTTCACTGGGTGGTATTCAACAAGAAAGGGCAGTTGAAGGATCAATACATTTGTGGGATGAATAAAATAATAAAATAAATGTAGTCCTACCCCCCTCAGATTTATTAGTATAAAACAGTGCTGCTGCAATCTTTACACTTGTGATGTACTAACTGCAGACGGGGTCTGACCTGTAAGGTTTGTTGTGGATGGCAGACAACTGCATAGGTGCACTTTGAACCCAAGTCATCCTTACCTCTCCTACTAGTTAATCATGTTGCAATGTGAGAGGAATGCAGAAAATCAACCATAGCAGGCCTAAGCCAACAACAGCACTACCTAAGTAATGCTTTTTGGCACTCATAAGATTTAATACACTAGACTTTAACAACAACAGGACCAGGATGTATGCATTGTGTATGTAATCTGATATGAAGTCTTAATGGCATAGCTATGAAAATGAAAATTTCCTGTCTGGGCAGGGTAATGTCACAGTTGTGCAGTAGACCATTGACCCTGTGTATGTTTGTAAACCATTTTTGTTGCTCTGGAACTGGTAATGGCAATGAAATAAGTAGGAGAGGAGGAAGACAGTAGTTTGGCTTTGGCTGCTCACTAGCCAATGGGATCAGACACTTTTCCAGTAACTTCAGAACAATTTTCTTTCTTTGCTTTCTCGTTCCCTAGGACATAGCACAGAAGCTATATTCTCTAAAGCTTGGGATGTTATAAGAGTAGCTTGCCTTTCTTATGTAGCCACCCGAATAATAACAACGAAGTTGACCCTGGCATTGCTGGCAACACTCTAGGCGTGTGTGCATTGTGCCAACAAGGTCAATGCACCTTGTGTATTGTCTTCTCAAAACAACTGCAGCAGTGTTCTCCAGTAGGTTGTAAACTTCTTTTTATCTCGGCCGCCTGCAGCGGCCGAGATATTGTGCTCCAAAATATGTACGTTGGATGGTTGGATGGATAAATCTTGATTTCGACCGTGAAAAAAAAACCCAATGAAACCAATTACTCTGCATGTATACTTTACTTTGTGGTGTCGACCTACCGGATGATAGTGTCGTTATTCTGATACAACGAAGTTGCTAAAAAAGAGGAAATGATGTTTACCACAAAACCATTGTTTTATATCATAGTATGCATTTAATGTTCTAGAATTTCGCTAATAGCTGCTGTAATTGGACCAATAAATCAATGACATAAATTATGTACATTAACCTTCCATATTTGCTTAAGTCGCAAGATGTCGCTTTTGATTTGGTGAATAAATCACTGTGACGCAAGTAAATATTCACTTGAAATGAGAAATTACCGCCCAACAAAACGGACCATTAGATTCCCAGTGCTGTATTACTCTTTTGTTCTTGTGGTCAACTTGTTTTCTTTGCTTGAATCGCGTAAAAGACCAAGGAAAATACAATGAAATCGGCAATCGCCGAGCCGCGCCCCCGATCTGCCGCCGCCATCTTGGATTTTTTTTGGAAAGCTGCAATTTGGCCCAAACCGCTAGAGGGGGCGAATTAAAATGTTTAATATATTCGGTCTGAGGTTTTAGTAGCTCTAGCAGTAGAGGAGAAGTTTGATAATGCATAGAACGGATAAAATAGAATAAAATTAAATGAAATAAAATAAAACAGAAATAAAAAATAAAATAGAAAAATAAATAAAAAATAAATAAAAATAAAAAAATAAAATAAAATGAAAATTATTGTAGTGGTTACATATACTTAACGTTGTATTGTATTTAGCAATGATCATTTTTCACTAATTCCATTGAAGCAAATGATAATGGAAGCCAACTTATTACCCTGTTTGGTGTTACAGGTATGAACATACTAGGTAATACATTCTTTCCTCTCTAGCAGTTACACAAATCTATGTGGACATCCTCCAAGAACACAAAACTACATGGCCAGCGGCCGAGATAAACTTTTTCAAAA